AGTGATAGAAGTCCAGGTCAAGTCGAGATGCTTTCATAAAATCTATTCCCAATAAAGTATCATTTTCTTCAGCATCCGGTAAGATCATAAACTCCTGAGGTATTACTCTATTCTTTACTTTGACATCTAAGGAGATTGTGAGTACTTTTTTAATTTGAGATAAACCGTCAGCTAATTTTACTCTCACTTGTCTCTCGCAGAACTGTTGATTGTTCTCCAGTAAGAGTGAGTAAAGTTTCTGACTTGCAAGGCTTCTCTTGGCAGCTGTATCAAGTAGTGCTCTTCCTCTTACGTTGAGAATTTCAGTTCCTATGATTGGCCGCTGATGTCTGTTCATATAATTTTCAAAAGAATCAAATAACTCCAATGCAGCATACTCAGAGTTATTTGCTGAATTACTATTGTTCAGGGCGCCATGCGCAGGCTTCTGGAGATCCTCAACCTCTTGGCTGGTTCCTAATAAATCCAAAGATGAAAATATAATATCCTCACAAGGCATGATTACACTACTGGGTATACCTATACTATGACACTTAGTCAATATACTGTTATTAGATATACTGTGGCCTTTGTTATCACTGTTATCAACAGCTGATGTCAACCTAGGTTTAGTGTCCATGACTAGTTCTGGCAACAAGAATGTGTTACTATTACATTCTGACATAGTACAACATGCCATTTCTTTACTATAGGGATCAATTACATGAACTTGATTAACCTTAACACTCTTATCAGTTAAAGAATTTGGAATTAATGTATAATTTGACATGGTACAACTTCAATTCCTTGAAATTGATCAATTACTTGAAATTTATTATCATTAACACTCTTATCAATTAAAGAATTTGCAATTAATGTATAATTTGACATGGTACAGCATGACATTTTCTTATTATAGGGATAAATTTCTTGAAATTTATTATCATTAACACTCTTATCAGTTAAAGTCTTTTAGGCATTTAGATTTTGACTTTTAGATTTATAGGCATTAGAGCTCACCGGGGAAAACTGCTTACCCGCGTCCTTTGACCCTTGGGCGGACGAATCTATGCTGGAATTGACAGAACAGAATGTAGCATTACACTTATCGCAATTTGCGCGTAAAACACCTTTCTGCCCACATCCATAACAATGCACAACCTTTACATCTGTTGCGTTATTACTATTATCATTAGACTTACACCTAGAGTCTTTAGGTAATTTACGACATTCTTCTATCATGTGGCCGAAACGTTTACAATAACCGCACTTCTTACTATACGATTTAGTTTTCGCAGTGGAGGCGGAGGCGGACGCAGTCGCGGTGTAGTGATCATCGACTCGAGGCGGCGGTGGCGCGCGGTGCACGCGAGGCGGCGGCGCAGGCGCGCCCACTGTGGCGCCGGCGCACAGTGTCTTCAACACGGCGGCGGGACGACTCGACGAGGCGTTATTCACGCACACTTCACTTAGTGACACACACTCTTCCACGGCGCGCGTCTTTTGTAATAGTATTTTAAATGATGCGCAGTCTTCTCTCTTGACACGTTTTCTAATTATTTTGTGTAGGAGCCCATACACCATATCAAGTTGGATCTTTTCAGAAATCTCGTTCCGCGGCAATTTTGCTAAAAGCGCTCTATACTTCGCAACGTAAATATGGGTGTTTTCTTCGCCTTGTGGTTCAGAAAATAAGTCGCGGTAAATACGCGGCGGAGCTCGACTATCGCCGTAGGTATGACGTAGGCTGTCTATAACTTCGGCCCATGAAGTAATTTCAGGTTTTATTCCTTGCCACCAATTTGCAGCTGAATGTGTTAGTAACATTGATAACCCACGAATGGCGTTTTCGTCTGAGATGTTTGCACAGTCTTTGTATGCTTCGATGGCGTCAATAAATCCTTCAATGGATTCGTCCGTATTTCCAGCGAATCGAGCTTTGCAGCGGGAAAAGTTTCCTCCTTCTAATGGTATCGGTGTCGAAGTAGACGACGCGTGCCTGGTGGTAGTGATGACGCTTTCCAGCAGCTCCTTGAAGGCGTTGGTCTGCGATCGTTGGAGTGACTCCACTAATGACGCAATGTCGTCCCTGGAGAAGGAGCCTTCTCTGGCCGACGCGAACTCTTCTCGCGACGGCGACGACACACGACGATTCCTTTTTGGCGGCATTTTATATAACCGCAGCGACTCTCGACACAAAAGTTCACTTTTTCACTATAGCCCCGTTTTTCACATAGCCTTTCACGCGTGGGCAGCCATTTTGTAGCGCCGGCTAACTCTGTTGGGTTCTATCTGCACTAGGCTATGTGAAGTGAAATACCACTGGTTATAGTAATAATAGTTTATTCTCGTAAGTAGTTGCACAATTAGAGTACACTTGAGATACTTATAAGAATATAAACTAGTTCTATGTTAGGTATACAATTACAGTCTATTAGCATACTAACTATAACGCGTCGGTTGGTCGAACTGCGCGGGAGCGGCGGGAACGTATTTTCAATCGGTCGCTCCCGCGTGGCGCGTCATGACTTTGAGCCGCGATTGGCTCTTGCGTTGCCGCCCGGGATTCGTCCAATCCGCGAGTACTATTAAGCCCGAGCGACTTTTGAAAAGGGCGCGTTAACAAACTTCCCCTCCAAGTTCCCAGAACGACCCGTTGGGGACTTGGTTACTCTGCTTTTGCGAGTACCAACGGGCGGCAGTGATAACTTAACATTAGGTGACCTGATGTTATTTTTTTCATTTTCAATAAAAAAAATCTTCACCATTTCCTCAAGCCCTCTTAAATCAATTGTAAGACATGACTAACTGAAAAAAAAAAAGTATTTTATCCTGACTTGAATTTTCTTACATCGTGTCGTTATCTCTTATCCTTTAAACGAGCAATTCTTGTATATATATATATATATGTCGGTGATAGGTGGATCACATGGGACAACTCGTTGCCAGGTCCCTCATTATAATTTACTTGTTCGATTAAAATCAACAATAACGAAAATAATTATTAACCACACTGAAGTAATTGAATGGAAACGTAGCAAGTTGGATACAGGAAGATGACCGTTCACACCACTGTTCCTTTTCTAAGTGGCGTGCCCGAGCACGTCCAGAACACACCCCCGTGTCCGATGTTAATTGACTTCATCAACTCATAATCGTCAAGTCAGCTTTCTCACTTCCTGTATCGACCTTACTCAAGCGCACTACTTGACGTTTCCGAGAGCTACCAATAGATGGTGTTGTAATCAAATTATAGCGCCACATCGTGATCCTGCGACACGGCCATTCTGACAATTCACACGTCCTCGTGTGAAACATCTCAAGCTTAAGCCAACATCGTCTTATGCTAAACCGCATGTAATGAACAGTTTATCTGGTTACAATCGAAATAAATAACTGATAACTTTCAATCGAAAATCAATGAGTCTAGTATGCAATACTCTACGCCTCAACCTGTTGACTCAAAGACAACCGAGACCAAATAAGCGAATGACCTAAATCCGGTACCCAATTTCAACACAAAATGCACTAATATCTCCATACGGCACGCAAGCGGGACTTAACCAGTACCCACTAACCACTGCCAAGCCTAAATCCGGCATGCAAGTGGGACTTAACCAGTACCCACAAAACAGCATCATGCCTCCATCCGGCATCCTATCGATTAAATAGGTCACTTCTCACATGAAGGTCTAACCCTTCATTATCATTAAGTTCTCACCAACTTCACTGGAAACTGATATTACCTCACCAAAGCTCGAACATAAATAGACATGCACGCCTATCGTAGTGGCCCGACGTCAAATGTTCTTGTGACATCTCACGTTAGGCGTATGGTCACATCCCATGGCGCGTTTTCGTTTCGTTTAGTATCCATACTCATTTCTGGCTACGACACTGTCGTCCTATATGAAAAGCGCCCTCGTGTGTTAATCTGGAATAATATTTTTCACACAGTATCTCATAGCTCCGTCACTACTGACCCAGCGATTTTCATGAGTCCTTGAAAAACGGTTCCAGCGATTTTCATGAAATTTAGTATGTGCGTAGATTCGGGAGCGAATAATCGATCTAGCTAGGTTTCATTTTTGGAAAATGTTCTTTTATCCCTGTTTGAAAAATATCATTCGAATATGACAGTAAATTTCGCCGCAAAAAAAAAATGTTATAATAGCTCGGTAGGTAATCGGGCGACCCCAAAACAGACGGTCGCGGTTCGTATCACGATCATTGACACACTTATTTTTTTACTTTTTTTTCTATATAAGATAATTTTCTTTATTTTTTTATTTCCAAAATATTTGATGATTTATCAAAAAAAACCGAGTCCTCCAGGTACTTGTTATTTACAAGCGAATTTGCATAGGTTCGTTTGATCATCGCATAGTTAATTGCGATACTGTTTATTTCTAAAATTTATTGTTTCCGTAAATTTATTACTTCCGTGAATCTTGTGTTCTCGTAAATTATTAGTTCTCGTTAGTTAATTATTTTTATAAATTAATTGACATCATCATTTAATATAGCATATACATAACCGATCAATTGACGTTTATATTTCCTGAATAAATTGCGATTTCAACTTTATTATTAAGCCCCCGTGGTAATAGTAAACAGTAAACTATATTTACTTATAGAAATCCCAAGTTGGAATGAAAAATTACAAATACACCTTTCTAAAAACATTTTACAAAATGTTGCCGTCTATATTTTTTATTAAGAAATACATTTTCGTTCCTCTTCGGTAAAATTCCAACTAGCATAAGCTGCACCATTTCTGTGAATCACTTAAGACGATGAAGAAAAATACTACTATTACTAACTAATACTGCCTATCAAAATTTTGTATCTGAGTTTAATTAAGAAAATATCGTAATGTCAATCATACTAAACAATCAAAAATGTCAACATGATTTTTTTTGTAAAAAATATCAAATGAAAAATAAATGTTATGCGGCTAAATTAAATATAATGTGACTCTTGGCAAGGTTTACCTAAACATATAAAATTATTTCTGTGATATGCCAGGACCTGATGTAAGAGCGGATAACAATGTACTTGGCGAGATGTCTACGGAACCCACGACAACTGTGCATAGCGGCGTGGAAGCTAAAACTGACAGAAAGCTAACTGTATTGGAAACTCATGGATATGTATTAGGCCGAACAATAGGTTCTGGTTCTTACGCTACCGTTAAGGTAGTTCATAACTATATCTAACTGATATCTATTTATGATAATACACTACTTTTTAACTTGTAAATAAGTGTAAAAGTACACAAATTTACCTGATTTGGTAGTTGTCATTCTTTGATACCTTGATATCAGCCAATTTCTCAATAATATATCACAGTTAAACGAAACTTAAGAAGTTATTTTGGGTTCGCTTTATTAATAACGTAGGGCCTTGTTGCACAGAGGTTTCGAAATTCGACTTCAGATAAAATAGAAATAAAATTTTCACGGCACAGGTAGCTTCAAGCGACAGACACAACTGTCAAGTGGCAATAAAAATAATAAGCAAGTTTCAAGCGCCCGGCGACTACCTGAAAAAGTTCTTACCGAGAGAAATAGAAGTTGTGAAAGGTTTAAAGCATGAAAATTTAATACGTTTCCTACAAGCAATCGAAACAACGCACAGGTTAAGTACTAGTTTAAAAAGTTTATTATACTTTAGTAACAATAGTTGGATTACCTGGGTTGGCGGACTCTGTGGTGCAGTTCCTAAACTACTGGCCTCAGACTGGAGTGTACCCACACGGTATTTGTGTGAAAATTAAATGTGTCTTATATAACGTACGTAAAATATACTGTCCCAATTTTAATATTGATCGAGTATTGCTCAGCTGTATCATATACAAAATATATGTTACATTATACAAAATCGAAATCGTTTTGACTAATAGCGGATTAACTTTGCACGAGCCTTCCACAAGAGGCCAAGATGTGTGAATGGATAGTGGAAAACGGAAACAATCTCTGCATACCCATCTTCGGTATAGGCGCGAACATGTTGTGTGTATGCTTTTAGAGTTTACATCGTGATGGAGTACGCTGAGAACGGTAGTCTGCTGGACATTATACGGAAGGATCAGCACATTGACGAAACGCGCGGCCGACGATGGTTCCGACAACTTGTGGAAGCAGTCGATTACTGTCACGACAGAGGAGTTGTTCACCGGTTTGTATGGTTTAATTGCATACCGCGATACCAAAGTACTTATAAGTTTTAAACGATGTGGTTGGCCACGTAATAAATTGCAGTTTAAAATATGTAGAAAAAAGCAATATTTACTTTCTCCGGCCGGCGCCCGACGCGCTAGTTACTGAGCTAGCTTTTCTACAAAAAAGGCAGGGTATCACTATAAAAATAAATATCATTTAAAAGTACCTATTAATCGCAATTTTGTGTTTTGTCTGGTGGGTTAGGTAACTTGAAGCCCGCTCGCTATTTTGTTTGGATATAAAAATCACAACAAATTAAAATATTCCATAGATATCGTTCAAAGACTCAGATCTCATCACTCCTCGATCTCGATCAAATTTTTCAGATTCACTTACCCCCATTTTGGAAGTCTTTACTGCTACGCATATGCCTGGCAATAAATGTTGACTACTACTACCCGTTGTACTCAATACCGTAAATCAACTATTTAGATTCGGTCAGGTTACTGAATTACAATTAATTTACGGTTGATAACGGAATTTATGGGTATCATCAAACAAAACGTGAAAATATTTCATCTCTTTATTCTCTTTTACGATATTAAAATTAACCTTGTCTTTCTCTTTCTTTATGACGCCTCGACATTGAGTGCAACTAATTTTTCAACCCTAGCGACATAAAGTGCGAAAACCTTCTAATGGATCACGGTCTGAACATAAAGCTGTCAGATTTTGGATTTGCCAGAGGTCATATGAAACCAAAGAACGGCGTGTATTCCTTAAGCGAGACCTTCTGTGGGAGTTATGCCTACGCCTCGCCGGAGATTCTAAAAGGGGTACCGTACAGACCCCAGGACTCTGATATCTGGAGCATGGGTGTCGTTCTCTACGCCATTGTGTACGGTCGCCTGCCTTTTGATGACACCAACTATACCCAACTCCTTAAGGTGAGTGAATCAAACACATTTCTATTGGCAGATATTTACTAGGCACAATTTTAATGATTAGAGCATTGAGCATGCTTATAAAATGGAATAGAACCTAGACGCATAGATAGGATATGGTTCGAGGTTATGGAGTTGATCACAATGGTTATAATCTGAAGATTTAGCCTATCTCGAAATCAGTGTAAGTACCATGTAAATTTAGATTGCATGTATACAGAAAAACTTCCACAATCCCCAAGCTACTTTTGCAACACTTACATCTATAAAATATCTAAAGCGCTATTAAAAGATATAAAGTATACACGTAATGTTGCTGCAGTCTGCATCATACAGAGCCTTGTTTCTCTTATCCGTTCTCCGTTAAATTGACTTGAAGTTAAAAATATGTACAGTAGCACAAAGTTACCACGACATTGAAGTTTTCATTTTATTTGTCTTCAGATTCAACTACTATTTTCTGTTAAGAACTATTATTTTATGGATTTCGTTTATTATACAATAGTTTACCTATTTAAGAGCATTAGGTCTGCTTCGTTTTATAATAACAGAGAAAGTAAAACGTAACTCACGTAGTAATTCGACACGTGATAAATTATTAAAGATAAATTGTTACCATGTGGCACCCCTGAAAAGTAAAAGTTTGTAGTAGTAGTAATAGTTTGTAATATTCCGCCGTTGTTCGCTAGAAGTGGGTTTCCGACATAAGTGTGACTTTACTGCGGTAACCGCAGCAGGTACAGAACAAGGTGTCGTTCCCGCGCGAGCCGAAAGTGTCAGCCGAGTGCCGCAAGCTCATCACTAAGATCCTGTCACCGCTTAAGATGCGCGTCAAGATACCGCAGATACTGGCTGATCCCTGGCTCAATCCAAACCAGTCGGCCAAAGAAGATAACGAACCACCGCAGGTAATGGAGCACTCGCTTCGGAGACTTTCGAAACAGTGGTAGGGCCACGCAAGTCTTCGCTGTTGCACGAATGGGCAGGTCCGTCCGGGTAAATACCACGGCCTCATAGGAGATCGGCGTCAAGTGGATGTGTTATACTTGTGCTATTCGTCTGATGAGTGAGGTAACCGGAGCCTACTTTATGAAAAGGTGACACAACGCATCTGCAACCCCACGTGTGTTGCAAATGTCGGTCGACGGTTATCACTTCAAAGAATCGCCAGCTCTCTTGCCACCTTTGCACGTAAAAAAGTGCGAGTAGGACTCGCGCACGAAGGGCTCTGTACCATAATCGTTGTATGTGAGCCCCAATTAAATATTTTTTTATTCTGTTTTTTTAGTATTTGTTTTAACGGCAACGGCACATCATCTGTGAAAATTTCAACTGTCTAACTCTCTCTGTCCCTAACAATAAAAGTTTATCTTGTCTCTAGGGATTGGTAAAAAATTCTGATTCAAAATAAATAAACTTACATCTAAAACTGCGCCATCTCAAATAATTCACGCTGAGGCATACAAGCTCTCCCTAGTTCTGTAAGTTTAATTTAGTTAGTTTGCATCTATTACGTTTTTAATCATTTCTTCATTCACAGGAACATGCACATTCCAGTAAGGACGAAATAAAGAGTGTGAATATCGGCACCGTTACATACGACAGACATTTGGAGGAAGTAAAATAACAAAAAATACAGAACGAAGAGCTATTAAATAAAAGACATATTAACAATAAATTTATCAAAAATATAATTACGAACTGTACAGATAATTTATTTCATTCGAGCAGAACAAAAAGGTGACATACCAATATTTCCAACTCATTTCCATTTATTCCATTATACGAGAGCCAATTTCGCTTTACGAGTGCTGTTGTGGTCAAAACGGAGAGAGCATAAGTTATTTATCCATTTAGTGCTTCATTCAACCGATTAACGAACTTTTGAAATGTTTGCATTTAAAATGGGAGCAGAAAACAAAAAGGCGCTCAAAAAGCAGAAAAGCTTAATGTGGGCTACCGTTGTATATTTCTCAATGTTTTACTAATATAGACGATTCATTGACGTCATTTCTTTATATTGCTTTACTATTAGTGATTCATGCCATATTATTTATTTATTTTAGGTCAGACAAGCTTCGCGATTCCATGCATGCCATGTCAAAATGTCTGTCATGTGAAAATGCTTTTTAACATTTTATCAAACTATGTTGCCGAGGTTCAGTCAACCATATTTATGGATTTTATCGTTTATTTTTTTCGTTCCCGACTTTTCGCTTTACGGCATCCATGTAAACAGGAAAGACCGAATACTTTAACGTCCTAATATCTAGTAAGCCCCAGCTAATGCTAGCATTTTTAAACATTCCTTCACTAATAATTAATTTACATTCTAAAGAAATCGCGACAATAGGTTTTACTACACGAGATATCTGTTCAACAACGTCCAACGGTGGTCGCTTCTGCGCGAAACATGACCAGTACATAGCCACTTCAAACGTTATCGAGATGTATGTTAAAATACAGTTACTTTTACTTCTCTCGCTTAAGATATTCGTGTAGTTAAATATGAAAAAAGCCGCGCTTAATTTACACACGTTTAAAGACGCAGAGAATTTAAGGCGAGACAAATCAGTAGTTCTGCAGATTAAGCCCTATACAAATGTACATGATTGTACATGTACGCTAGATTTTACACAAACAAAGTAAAAAGAAATTTACTCCGTACATGACACGCATGCTTAGACCCATAGATGTGAAAGATGCGAATGTGATATAAAACGGTCGGTTTTATTGTTGATGCTGTTAGGAAAACATATTTATACCAAATACATGACTAGGATTAAGAAATCATAACAAACGGATCTATATCGTTATAAGTTTTATATCACTTTAGACTTTTCTTCGCAGTAGCGGTCGTCATCTCCGCCCGTTACAGCTTTCTTGCGTTCGTCGCGTCTGGCTTTGACCATGCAGAAGTAAGAAAGGCCAATCAACACGGCGTAAATCGCCGCGGCAATCCAGCAATTCACAGCCAACTTAATGAAAAATAATTCAGTTAGGATTATTTATTATTTAATAGATATCCAAATCGTGGAAAAGCCATTCTACGGGTTTGATAAAACTTTAGTATTTGGAATGTAAGCGCAACTTGCGGGAACATAAGACAAGAGTGAAATAAACTGATTTTACTATTAAATTCGCTACCTCAACAAGGTGATTATAAAATTTTACTCTTCCATTTTACCCGTGCGAAGCCGGGGCGGGTCGCTAGTTTGTCAAATACGGGACTGACATATGCATGATTGTGTAAAAGTTTCCAAATAAAATAATGATATACAAAAACTATTACAAACGTCACTTAAAATTAACTGGCGATGAGCTTGTAGAGTGCATAGACATAAATGTTACCCAATGTTTTTGCAAGAATATCAAGTTCAAAGAGCCGAATCGGATACCACTACGATTCGATGAGAAGCAACAACTTTTGATGTTTTCGCTAGTACATGTAGAATATCATGTAGACTATAGATGTCTCCGTGGCGCCGTTGCTACGCTATTGGATTGATACGGATTGACGTCGGGGCTTATGGGTTCGATTCCCATGCGGGAAAAGTATTTGGGTGACAGACAGATAATTGTTTCGGCTCTGGGTCAGGCAAGCGTCCGATATTATAAAGCATAGTCAAAACCACTTACAACATGATTCACATGTTGTGCCGACCCAACTGGGTGGAATAAGTGACGATGTAGACTATCATACCCTTCTCATCAGGTAAGCCGCACATGTGCTCAAGCGTGCGTTATCTATTGAGGGAGGAATTGTCACCAACGGGCCATCGATGTTCGTTACGTGGCACCGATGGCCGTTGACTGTGTCGTTCTTTTACTGGGAACGGTGAGAACCGTCGGGTGTACATAGAGTAGCAACTGTACCTTATGTCGCGTTGTGTTTGTTTATTCCTATACATGTACGAACTGCTGGGTCATTTATGTCAGCAATGTATTTTTTTTTATGGAGAAAAGGGGCCAACGAGCACGTAAATGTCACGTATGTATGTACTGTTGTCGGGCGATTGCTTACTAGTAAGTACTAGCGATCATTATTTCTCTATGTATTATGAAAATTAATTAAAAAGAATCCAAAATCCAATGAAAAATATATAAAAATAAATAAATAACGAGGTGTCCGACATCTGAGGTGGTTTGTCGACCGAAATTATCCCGATAGTCGTTTCTGCGAATAGGTTAATCCCAGTCAGTCTTTACCAACATCTGAGGCGACTGGGACTCCGGGACGGACCGCTCCAAACTGAAATGCTCCTCCATACCGCCCGTATAGTCCGCCGGTTTCTCTTCCTTTCGCCCTAACGCTCGGCCGTTTGGTCTACCCTGCCGAGGGCTTCCGTCTGGTTGGGTCTTATTTATTTATTTTGGGTCTTATTATATACAATAAATATATCTATGTTTATTTTTATTTATAAACCCAACTAGACGAGAAAAAAAAATATCCCGCATAGTAAATAAAAAATATATATATAATTTAGATACTTTCAATTAAAACGTATGACTATGCATATTGCAAATAATATAAAGTTTACCATCGCCCGTCTTACCATTAAAAAAAATTATGGAGATTTTTTATGGGGTAACGTGACAATCGAGTAAGCGTTTCATATAATATTAGGTTGTTATCATCGCCCGTAGACATCCAGCTGCTTTGCTAAGTGGATATAAGTTAAATCGATGAAACCCAGTCACCTACTATAAGTTTATATAGTGCGAGATTCAATACTATTCACTATATTTGAAAAGTTGTCAGTTGAGCAGGTGGTTAACCTAAATGAATACCGCCACCCATAAACATCTACAACACCCAAAGGCTTGCAGATGCGTTGAAAACCTTTGAAAAAGTGGGCCCCGGCTACCTCACTCACCCGAGGAAACACAGAAGTATAACACTTCCACTTCACGCCGGTCTTCTGTGAAATCGTGGTACTTCCCCGAACGAAGCCTGCCCAGTTATGCAACAGCAGGAGCTATTGGTCTTTGCTGTAGCCTGTAATGTCACCCTTTAAATGTCCCACAGCTGGGCATATGTCTCCTCTGCACAGAGAGTTTTAGGGCATAGTCCACCATGCAACCCCATTGTGGATTGACCGACTTCACATATCTTTGAAATTTATTTTGATATTATTTCGAAAATATTCACGTTTCCTACAATGCAACAATTTTCCTCATCGCAGAGCACGTGATAAGTCAGCACTTAAAATTAACAATTTCGTTCGTTGGTGCCGACACCGGGGATTGAACTCGGGTTGCTCGAGTATATTGAATTAAAAGCCAGCACCCGGGCACTGAGCTATCACGGCTGTTACGTATATAAAATTAAAGATGTTAATATTTTTATTACAAAGCGTGCAACGGCAAATGGAATTAGTATTAATATTAACTATTGTCAAACGCCAGTGACATTTCTAGACGCATACCCGCATTTCCAAACGGTTCTTTGTTAATATAATATAAATATTTCACTGTGATATGCATCAGCTTTTGCTGTTACTTGTCTGCGAGGCATCTGGCCCGGGGCCGGAGCTACAATAATATAGCTCCATGATTATTTAAAAAATACTACACTGAATTTTTAAAATATGAATAAACTAAAAGCTTAAGTTAGCCAATGTACCACAACTACCTGCTAAAAGTCAACGACCGTAGTCCTCAGCCACGACGAAAAGAAAAAACATCAGAAATAAGTGAATAAAGTAATCTACCTTAGTGTGAATAAATAATCGCTCTTTATATTTTAATATTATAAAATAAACCGTAAAATGGCAGTACCAAAAGAATACCAAAGGATAGATTAAAATTGAAATATTATTAAAATAAATCCGTACCAAACTATAATTTTCTTTAGTTTTCTTTATAAAATCATCGATATCCGTATACTCTTCCTCTTCAGCATCCTCCAAAAAACCAATTGCCTCTAGTTTCATGAATATTCCCATTAGTAGCTATAATAAGTAAAAAATTTAAACGTCCAATTAAAATTTTATCTTTAGGTTCACTATCGTTAGTACTACTTATATACATTTATAGAAACAACAACATTAAAAATTAAAGTAAAGTAACCCCTAAAATTACAATAATTCTGTTCCAATTGTTTATATTCCTGTTTGGTAGAAGTAAAAATGTCCTTAATATGAGGATCATCCATTTGCCTATTTGACATCGTTTACTTAAGGTGGAACTTGTGGGTGGTGACAATAAGGCAATTATTAGCAGTATTGCAGACATCCAAGATCCAACAACAATGTCACGTCTCCTTTAGTAGGTATGCGATTGAACGCCTTGTCATAATTATATATCAAATCAAAAAGTTTACTAAATAAAATATACCAGTTGCAGGAAACCCCAAGAACTTATTAATATACAACATAAACCACAGTTAAATAACAGACTCATGTTATAAATCAATCTTAAGTGGTCTAAATTTTATACATTGAACTTCAGTTGTCAATATTATAATCGAATGTCATTATTATCGTATTAAAAACCCTCTTTACGACAGAGGTATTAAATTTACTGTCTGTACACGTTTTATATTTAAATATCTTGACAAGGTTAACGTATAATTTTTATCAAATAGCATATTATTGTATAGAGTAGAGTACCTACGAATACGAATACGAAATTAATAATAAGATGTTTAAAATGCACCACGCTTTTTTGTTAGTGGAAGCTGGTACACTATGACGCCATTCGTTCCGCTGTGGGTTCAAACTTCAGCTTAAAGCGCAATCCATAGTGGAACCTATTTGTTAGTAATAATAAGATCGGAATTGCGATTTAATCACGAGACATACCTCGACATACCTAGCTAGACATCGAACGATCGCTTACGAAAAGTAAATTACGCACAATTATCTACATTCTTTTTTCTCACTTAAATCGATGTTTGGCGCCTGTATTGTTGCCTTTTACAGCACACCAAAAATTTTAAATACATTTTTTAAAACGATAATTCAAACGGAAAATGTCGCCTTTCCTATTGAAATTAAATTTTATAAAATATAAAAGTATATTTCTTAAAAATTTAATTACGAAATAAACTATTCAAGAAAACCATTAACCTTTGAAAATTTTAAATATTAACTTACTGCGACGTTGCGAAACTAGCGACCGGTCGCGTTCGAACTCGATTAAATAACAATGACATCACATTGTTGATGTTGATAGAATGGGATATCCGTAAAAAAATATTTTTTATAAGTTTCACTTATAAAAAAATGGCGGGTTCGTTTAATTCGTAATATTTTTATGCCGTCATTATTGTTAGAAATTGCGAAATCAGTTCAAGTTATTAAGAAATTATCAGACAATTATTTTATTCGCTGATTATTTTATGATTGCATAATTATATGACCATATTGATCCACAAATTGAACTCCTAATACTTTTTCCCGATGCTATGCTTAGAAGTTTGCGAAACTGTCTTTAAATCACAAAATTTTGAAAACTGTAAAATTTAGTGTCCAGTTTATTAAAAAAATAAAATTAAAGAAGGATTTATCACATAATTATCATAAATGTAGGTAGAGGCTTTAAAATATATATAAACAAGTTTATTTATGTATGAAGTCTCTCTAGCAAATATATATTATAAAAGAAGACATATTTATTGATCACTAATATAAGAGTTCTAACGTTTTTACCTTGATCCTAACATTTTAAGTATTACTGAACTTGAATATTAACAACTATTATATAACGACAGCAGCGCTAGTGGTTATATCGCCGTCCAGGAATGCAGCCGAAATCCAAGTGACCACTCCTCCATGCGACCATGTCTCCCTTGGCTCGAGTAGATAACGTCATAACCGGTATACAGTGTTGCCAGCGCCAACATTCGGCCGTCCTGCATCACGCCTTCGTCCTCGAAGGGCGTTGTAGTCTGGTACAAGTAACCTTCATAAAATTAACACCTTACCCTGTGACTTATCTCCCTCAACTAGGATGAATATCGCCACGTTCATAACACCTTACACTGTGGCTTATCCCTCAACTGGGATGCATATCGCCACGTTCAAAACACTTATCCTGTGGCTTCTCCCTCACAACTGGGATGCATATCGCCACGTTCAAAACACTTATCCTGTGGCTCGCCACGTTCAAGCCTTAAAAATTTTCCAACAACTTAATGCTCGGTAGCTTAACCGGGTAAACCAGTAGTGTATCGCTATTTTACATTTTCTCAAATATGATAAGTAATTAATTAACTGGAAGGTACTCACCAAAACTTTCGTTACATTTAACCAAAAGATTTCTCACCATTACGTATAGTAAGTATGAAACACACTGTTTTATTTTACGAGGGTAGGTACAAAGGAGAAAATATGTCGCCGATTGTTTGAACAGCCAAATGCGAGTGAATGAATCCCACTTCTGATATAAGAGTTCTAACGTTTTTACCTTGATCCTAACATTTTAAGTATTACTGAACTTGAATATTAACAACTATTATAACGACAGCAGCGCTAGTGGTTATATCACCGTCCGGGAACGCAGCCGAAATCCAAGTGACCACTCCTCCATGCGACCATGTGTCCCTTGGCTCGAGTAGATAACGTCATAACCGGTATACAGTGTTGCCAGCGCCAACACTAATTATCACTTTAACAATACAGGTCATAATTTAATTAATGTATTCTCATCAAGTGTTCAATATAAAATAATATAAAGGATTCTATTGAATCTTATCTCTCTAACCAATACTTCATCATCATCATCATTTCAGCCTGTTTGAGTCCACTGCTGAACATAGGCCTCCCCCATAGACTGCCATGAAGTAGGATCCTGAGCCACCTGCATCAATACTTATTATCTTCATATTCGAAAAAGGGTATTAGGACTGAAGGAGAGGCAAATTAAATAACAAAATAACATTAATAACTTTACTTCAAGAAAAAAAACTATGTATTCATTTTACAATGTTCCTACAATAATTAATGATAATTATTTTATGTACAATATGTAGCATTCATTTAAGATTTATTCTTTCAACTTTATATTAAGTATAATACTCAGCATTAACGACATCATTTGCAATAAAATATTATCCAGTAGCCAATTTAATATTTCTTTAAATTTGCATGTAGCTGTTGGATTTACAGCAATAATTGCAACTTCTACAATGACATTTTTTTTAATATGCAATGCTTAACAAATATGTAAAAGGTTCAAGTATAAATTACTTTTAACACTTATTAATACAAGGAATAATTCTGTGCATCAAAATAAATATTAGACAGGAGTGTGTTAAAGAGTTTTTAAAGTTCTTTGGATCCTATCAAACTTTTTTCAAATATGACAAGGCCATATCATAGTAAATGGAATGGAACTAATAAAAAGCAACATAACAAGGTACCAACTGTTGATACCATTGTTTCTGTTTACATACTAACTGATGAACGGTTGTTCATCCAGAATTGATGACCAGATATTACTAAAGTTATTACATACAGAAGAGCAGCAATCCAGCAGTTGTAAGCATTCTGAAGGGAAAAAAAAGAAAGATTAGTTCATATTGTCTTTTTCAACCATTTTATAGTTTAGACTTTGCAGAATAATGCTCGGTTTCTGAAACAATGATCATCAAATAAGCTTTTTTTTTATGTGAGAAAGTGGCAAAAGAGCTGGCGATTATCTGATGTTAAGTGAAAACCGCGGCCCATGGATATTTGACACCCATAGGATTGCAAATGCGTTGCCACCCATAAGTAAAGTGGGCCCTGGCTACCTCACTCACATTTACGAAACACAGAAGTGTAACACTTCTACTTTATGCCGGTCTTCTGTGAGGTTGTGGTACTTACCCAGACAGACCTGCCAACACAACTTGATGGTTAAACTCTTTGACTTGATCATTCTGATCATTAAGATTATTTTGATGAAGTCAGAGACTAACCCTCCTTTTGCCAGCTCAAATGAAATTTGAAAAGCCATTTCACAGCTGGTTAGGTATTTTATATGATGATCATCAGTGTTTCAGAAACCGGGTGTTAGACTCTAATTGTAATTATTCTCCTTTTAGAAATTGTTTTACTTCTATCATATAATTTTATTTTCACATAATTACTTCACTTAAAATATTTAACAAAGTTACCATAAATACAATAATTAAAAATAATAATGCTATTTATATCTGTTCATGTGAATGTGTGGGTTCTTCATATTAAACAGGTTACAATGGTAAACCAATACTGAAAACATAAAAGGGAAAGAATAAAAATATTTTTCTATATTATGATACAGTGATACAAACATAAGCAAAAAAAAAACATTACTGTCATTTGAATATCACTGCATAGAAATATTAAATTATGCAACAAACCACACTGATGAGTTTTATTCATCATAATTTATGACATTTAGCAAGTTTTTTACGTTTTTATTTATTTATAGAAGTACATTTTAAAGAAAATAATTAACCCTCAATCAGTTGGTTCTAAAAGATGCTATATGTAACTGAATTTACTTTAAGTACTCGTTACAGCTGAATAAAACCTTAAAATGTTTCACATTCTTAATTAAACCTTGACATTCTATTTCAGTGTACAATTAGTACTTTTTACCCACTCACCTGACTGTATCCTAATTCAACATGATGAATAAATTGTTCAATCGTGTGGTGGCCACTTTCTTCCTCGAGCGGCAGATCTTCAAGAAGAGCTACTGCTTCTATGTAATAGAAGACGCCCATCAAAGTCTGTAATAGAAATTTTAGTAAATTGATAATTTAGTCTCAAGATTAAGCCTTAAAAAAGGCATCGATACTGACCAATTGAATGATTCCCCATACACTTAAAATCAATCCACACAATGACAACTTAGGGCCACAAAATTTACAGGCCATTTTGTTCGTTTATTTAATAAAATTACGAACAATAAATGAAAAAATATCGACCACTGGTTGTCAGCAATTGTCAAAAATCACACTTTTTAGGAACACTCACATGATTATTCTGTGTCTATGGTCATCGATCAGGAAATCTTGTTTCCTACCTATTATAGTAATATTAAACATATCTGTTAGCATTTTCAAACGTTAATGTGTGGATAATTTTGTTTAAGTTGTTATATAAACAAATTATATTATTTTAAAATAAAAATAACGATAAGTTATAGCACAATATTGTGAAATGGAACGTTTTCATAAATCATTCCTTTCTTGCCATATTTGAATTTATCGATAAAAGTTATTACAATAAAATATCACGTGTATCTTTCTAATGCCCTTTTTTATTTACAATTATTTGCGTATAGTACATATTTCTAACTCAGTTTGCTAATTTAAAAAATAAAGTCTCCTTTCGCATTAATGATTTAGTGTTGCTTAGCACCTGTACTGTATATGGCAACAATTTCCTCTGAATGACACATTTTTCTCTGTCGTATCGTGTACCTACTACAAATTGAAAATAAATTTTTATAATGGTGGATCGTTTAGGTACGTAAGCTGAAATCCTACACTCATTCATATTGGTGATGTGATAACTCCTATTTAATATTTAATTAGCAACTGTGTTTATTTTGTATTTATCATTACTAGTGTTAGTTTCCATTGTTTGTTCATTTGGTCACTTTCCTTTGACGTCAAACTTTGAGAGTGTACCGCAACTCGAGCGCTTATTTCTCTTTTCTTTCAGTTAATAGCGAAGCAAATGCCAGACGAATTGCTATGGTGGAGAACTGCTTCGGCAGTTCTGGCCAGGTACGTTTATGCTTTAATCTGAAAATATGCAGTAACGAAGTTTGATACGATAGTTTTATCAGCCGACAAAGTTGGAAGATAAGTTACTATATGTACCTACGGTCAACGAGTTTGGCGAATTCGATATCTCATATTTATCAAAAAGAGGAAATGCTTATATTTTCAACGAAGTTACCACATTACAATTTTTTTTGTTTTTCTTTTATATTGAAATAATATGTGATGTTTCCATTTTCTTTAACCTTTAATGGCTTTTCAGCCGCTTGCAGAACAAGGCAGAGTGCTTGTGGGGGAAGGTGTCCTGACAAAAATGTGCCGCAAGAAGCCAAAAGCTAGACAGTTTTTTCTGTTTAATGATATACTTGTATATGGCAATATTGTCATCAACAAAAAAAAATATAATAAGCAGCATGTTATCCCATTAGAAGAAGTGAAATTAGAGTCTCTTAAAGATGAAGGACGTAAGTATAATGAAATAATATGTATTGCTATAAAAGCATTTAAATTTACATACAATGATTAGATTTATAGTAAATATATTTTATTATTCATACATTTAATCCTTACAATTCCACAATTTTTCAATTCCTTACTCATTACTATTTGAATTTCTTGGTTATTAAATCAGAGATATTTTTATTAGGAAGCTTTCAATTTTAATTCGAAAGTTTTCGAATCAAAATCTGCTTCTACCTAGCATTTATCCCAGCAATTGCCAGGGTATAATCAAAATATCACATATTAATACATCCAATGATAAGGTGATGTCTGTTCTCGTTTATTTACCCCATAAATCTATTTACATTGGGATTTCCGCTTGCTTACTACAATACAATATTATAACTACATATTTATTAAATACATGAGTCATTGTGATGATTCATACCTTTTTTATAATAGATTTGGCTGGTTTGTGATATTGTAACAGTTTGACAATGTTAATCTAGCTTATCTTAATATAAAAGCTTCAATTTTTAATACATACTTATGAAGGTCATATTGGGTCATGTTTATGTCTTTAGCACTATAGTTCTAATCACACTAATTAAAGTTTATTTTTGAAAGATAGTATTTTTTTTGTAAATATGATCTCTTTGGGGTTTTTACATTCAGCAGTGGGCTCGAAATGGCCGAAAGGATAGTTATGTTGATATGAAAATCATTTTAACCACCGACCATCAATAAAAACCATCAATTTTAAGCTATATATTGTTCCTTAAAATATTATTTATATGTTGACAGAATACCGCAATGGCTGGTTGATACGCACTGCCTCCAAATCCTTTGCTGTTTATGCTGCAACAGCCACTGAAAAAGAAGAGTGGATGGCTCACATAGAAAAGTGCATAGAAGATTTGCTAAGAAAGAGTGAGTTGTATCAGTTTTGTAAATTGAATTTTGTTGTAAAATTTAAATCTGGTTTTTTTTGTTGCCCTTTAATTCTCATTAATTTATGATGATTAGTTTAAATTTTATCTTGGATTGTTGAGCTTGAATTGTAAATAGGATTTTTACTTCTTTGTAAAAGTTTATAGTGACAAATAAGTCACAATAGTGATCATCGCTGCCTTTGGATACTTGTAATACTGCAAGTCACAAATGCGTGCCCTATTATGGTATATAATCAACTGTATGTTAAGACTATGTTTAAGTTTTGCACTGCATTATTTAGTGATACACTTTCATTTCTATTTACATAAGTCCATGAATGATATATATATGTATATGGTATGTACATAAAAAACAATAAATTTTGAACAACTTTTACCAAATTTTTTGGATAATACTTATTCTTCTGTAGTGCATACAGAAGAATAAGTATTATCCAAAAATCATTTCTATACAATACTGTACTGCTATTTGATGACTCCGTGGCGCAGTCGCCAAGGTATCGGCTTCGGCGTCGGGGGTCGTGGGTTCGATTTCCCACACAGGACAACTATTTGTGCGACCCTACAACACAGGATTTGTTTTTTTGCATTAAAAAAAGAAGAAAAAAAAACTACAGGTTATATTTAGAACAATTAATTACTAATGACAGTATGCCTAGCTAACCAGCCTACGATCCAGCAATTTTATAATTTGCAACAAAATTTTATGATGTCATCAACTCCATAAACAATGCAATAGATATTGTCATCTTTGCCTTATCCTTTTAATGTTTATTACAGGTGGTAAACAGCCTCCATTGGAACATGCTGCTGTGTGGGTGCCAGACAATGAAGCCGCAATATGTATGCATTGTAAGAAGACTCAGTTTACTGTTCTAAATAGGAGGGTATGTTATTTACATTCATTAATTTTATAAATATAAACTTTACTAATCTACCTGGGATGAGTATCAAAATGAAATGTATAGACAATGCTATTTTTTTTTAAAGACATTGCCCTCACTTTAGGACAACAGTGTAGCAAGGATGTTTTTACATAAATTTCACGTGGACAAACACCCAGATGCGAAACAACTATCTGTGGGTCACACAAATAGTTGTACCGTGTGGGAATCGAATCCACGACCCCCGACGCCGAAGCCAATACGACTTGACAACTGAGCCATGCAGTTACCAGAGCTATATATTCAAGTACTACTAAAATCTGCATTTAATTTGTGTTCTCAACTTAAATCAGTGTTCTCAACTTTTTGCAGCATCACTGTCGCAAATGCGGCTCTGTGGTCTGCGGGCCGTGCTCATCGAAGCGATTCGTTCTTCGCGGTCAGAGCGAGAAGCCGTTACGCGTGTGCCTACAATGCTACGACGAGCTGAACAGGGAGCGCGCCCGTGTCAATCCCGCACCGCAGCAGCCTAGCACTGTGCCCGGTCAGTGGCATCCTCTGTGACCTATCCTTACACTGCTGCTGGTAGCGCAAAGGTAGACTGATGATAAAAAAAGAGAAGACCGCAGTGTCTTGTCGGTGCTTTGTCTGCACAAGTCTAGATTAGTGAACCGGTAGGATTGACGTACAATAGGAGCTTAAAGCATGCCTATTGAGTAAAGGAATTTTGATTTTGATTTCATGATTTGATATTTGGAGTATTACTTACACCTGCAAAATTATTATAAATTTAAATTGTTATATCTCTGCACTTAAGATTAAACAAAATTAATTTTCTACAATTTAAAATTTGTAGAAAAATGTACGAAAAGTTTTTCGAACCCACTGTTTTTTTCGCATTTCAAGCAATGCTTGGCGCATCCATTGTTATATCCTTCACAGCATGGAAACAATTTCGTAAACAATATCGCTATACGATAATTCGAACGAGAGATGTCGCCATTGCTATTAGACATTAAAAATTTTATAGTGCTATGCTGAAAGATATTGTTTTAATAAAAGGCATATTCTCTTAAAAGCTAGAAGAATAAAAATGTTTAAGATATAAAATAATCATAATAATCGCCGCTTGCAAACCCACCGCGCCGTTGTCTCGATCTCGTTCGGTATCTACTCAATATCCAAACGAGGTAGTTTCAAGGGCAAGAAAATAACTCAAGTGTCGCTTTATAGTGAAAGTGGTTGCGGACGCGGCGGGCTCAGGTGGGGACTCCTCTCCAGACGACGACAGCGACGACGAGGACGAACGCGCCGCCGCCGAACAGAAACACGACGAGGTATCTCTATTACATTTTATACATACATTTTATGTCTCTTCTCTTACCTTTTCTCTATCTCTCTCCCTCGCCTGCCTTATGATGATGGGTATACCCAAATGATGCCTCATCATTTAGCAGGAAAATTTGGAAAAACTATATATTTATATGAAGCTGTATAATTTAAACTGAAAACTTTATTCCATCATGGGATTTTCACTCTTCTATACTGACAATTTAAATTTCATTGTCTCAGTACATTGTTAATCTGCTAATGAGTTACGTAATTTAAGTCTCAGTTATGATAATAATCATGGTGGAATATAATATAATTTTACTTAACCTTGAAGCATAAATTAATATTATTTCACTAAGTAAAAAAATCTACTGCTACAGAATTTTTTATCATCTGTGCTAGACATGTAGATAGATCAACCTAATTATTTGCAAAAATTCAACTCAGAGTACCATGTGTTATCTACCTAGTTAGCACAAACTTCATCTATGGTTTAATATTCAATTGCAATTGCATGTTTCTTAATCTACAAATTATTTTTGAGAATTCACACTCAAATATAAATTTCGATTATATGATATAAATTTTGAGTATAGTTACTGCATATTTATTTTTAAGTACTTTAAGAATCTTAAAGAACTTAAAAATGAAATTATTATTTGCAATCAAAATCATGATTTATATCTGTAGTCTGTAGTTTAATCATGATTTATACAATATTCATTTGTTCCTTCAAATACCTTGTAAAAGTTTTGCATTCCTAGTTAATTAAAAGAGTTTATCTGATGTATTATTATATACATATAGGACACAAAACTTTTATTCCAATATTGCCCACCATGTAAGAAATTTCTAAAAATGTTTTTATTGATAAATTGTTTTGAATTTTATCATACAAATAAGTAATACCGAAGAAAAAAATTATGGTCACAGTACAAGAACAATACATCTTTGCCATTTTGACTAAATGCTGCTATTGATTAACAGCATAAAATATACATAATATACAATGAAAAAAATATTATTATTTATTTTTAGGGCTTTACAAGTTATAATGGTGTCAAAAACGGATTTGGAAATAAAGTCACGACTGTATAGTACAAATTGCAATTGTGTAAGTCTAGAAAATATAAGATTCCTAAGACCATGCTTACAGTTATACAAAATTTGTGGTTTGAGTTGTGTTTTTTTTTTATTCACTCTATTTTGTGCTAGCCTACCATATTTAGTTTTTTTTTTTTGTCAATTGCAATTTTTTTGTGAATATTGTCAAAGGTATTTTATATACTTCTTCATGTTATATAAAGTATTACTACTTCCTAAAGAGTCTTTAAATTTACATATTTATATCACTCTTTTTATAAATCCCTTTGTCAATATTTATTAAATTTGTTTTAAAATCATATGTTATGACAATTTATTCATACAATCATTGTTGCTATATTTATTGAACATAGATTTCTTTAAAAATCAAATGATGATAAAATAGCACCATCAATCTTTTGAAACATACATTTTATGTCTTTTCTTGTTCTTACATCGCTAACCATTTGTTGCCTTGTTTTATTTTGTGTTGTTTTTGTTATTTCTAATTATGACATAAAATATATATATGTACATAAAACATTTTATTACTTTGAGTTTCATATAAAAAAATACTACTTTCAACCATTTGCCTGTTGTTATATCTATATTTTTATTATAATTACAGCCAAAGTTCTATGGTGATGGCGAAAAGACTGAAGAGATCAACAATCATTCGTCCAAGGAAACCAAATGAGCAATTCTGAGAAAACTGTTACAAAAAATCACATTGTTCATAAGGTTTATATAAATCTAGAAGTGATGTATTTAATATGAATATTAAAAGAATATTTTAGTAATGTTAAAAAAATTACAAATAGAAACTGATTGTACTGCGTCTTGATAAATAGTCGAGTATTTAGTATGTAGATAAAAGATTGTAATATACCCAGTAAATTGGCCTAAATATATAGAGCATACTTGAGAGAAATATGGAGACTATTTATCAAGTTGCAGTGAAATTGGGTCCAATTCTAGCAGATATTAAATCTGTTAACAGGTCTTGATTCAAATTCACCAATAATGCCTTCTAAATTAAATAACAGAACTGCATTTGTTAGGTAATACTTTTCAAGTGATACATAACAGTTTTTTATGTCAGTGTAGAACAAGTGGGCCTGCTCCAAAATTGGTCCAAATATTGTTCACGCAATGTCTTAATAAACAAAATACCTTTGGAACATTGAGTTGGCCAACCGGTATTGATTTGTCCGGTCTTTGGCTCTGCTTAGACTTAACATCAACAATTGGGCGAATATATGGGGCTCGGATTTTTGGCTTGCTAGACTCCTTTAAAAACGCTCAAGCACTTAGCGTGTTGCGTAATACATCATCTAAATCGCGTAATTATTTTAAATTGCATATTTATTTACGCCTTTTTAGATCCTTTAATGGCTCTAATAAGTTATAACCACTGTTTAGTATAAGCTGGCAATTGGCCACAACATATTTAATATTCTTATGAGTTAGCATATTATATCGTGAACTTTACATTAGTTTATATTTTTACTATTTGTTAAATATTAATTTACAGATAAATATATTTGTTTACTTAGTTGTACACGTTAATTTACGCAATTTTCTTCATTTTTGAACAAAACTTCAGACTCACCATATAAATTGAAGTTTCATATAATTTTTACTTTTATCATAATTAAGTAAGTGAATAATAAAAACAGGAATGTGTTGCCTTTGTCACCAACTTCAAAAAGTTAAAGATTTTTGAATTATATATATTTTCCATTTAATATTTTTTTAAATTGAGTATTGTACAAGTCTATAATGATCGGTTAAAAACCATTATTTGTTACTACCATGTGCATCTAAGTAGAATAATGTCAATTGTATGTATATTAGGATTTAGTTACTAAGAGGTGCATTGAAAATTGTAAACTTTGTTTCAATTAGAAACAATATTTTGTAAGTTGTTTAGGGTGTTGCGAACAGGTAGCTTATTTAAGCATATTTAATTAAGGTTGGATAATTTGTGGAAATGAAATTATTTATAACCATTATGAATAACCTAGGCATAAATGTTAACATGTTATGTAAGACCTGTTTCTGTTAATTATCCTTAAAATTGGGAAAAATTACGATACTGTTTCACTTTCGGTTGACAAATATACAACAATATTTTCATAGATCATTTATTTCTTTATTCCCATTTCAGTTAAAAGCTCTGTAACAATTTGATAACGATAACCATGTCGTGGGTTAGATTACCACACAGGACAAATAATCCTTACAACACTTCATGTTATCCTACAGAAAGGGCATTGTTTTTAAAGTACAAAAAATATTGGAGTCGTAGAATGGTGATTTGTCAGAATGGTGATATGGCTCGATCTAATATGTGGTACATCAACAGTATTAGGTTTTTTCTGATTTATTATGTTCTAAAATCACCGGCTAGGATTTATAGTCGCTGTTTGGCAAAGGCTCTTCAATTGTTTCAATTCAAATTTAGTAACTGTATAGAAACAGATAATACTATTTATCCCTCTCTCTTTCATAATGGATTAAAGTTGTGGGAGTATATAAATCATTTATGACGTTGCGAATTTGGAACAAAAACATGCACCAATTCCTTCCTAGCAACCTTGGGATGGAATGAAAGTATAAGATTTTTTGAACTTAGTACATATCAACTACAGAGATTAAGCTTTTCGTATGTTTAAATAAACCGTAAATTACGATGGGCCCAAAATAAAACTAAAAAAATAAAAAAAGACAATTTGGGATTCACCAATTTATTTCCAATATACCTATAATATTTTTACGTAACAAATATATTGCCATTCCTTTTCCTTCAAACTCAAATTTCGTCCAAATTTTTCATCAAGAGAAATAAGTTATATAAACTTTTGATTTATACTATATTAAAACTTCTCTACTTAATTGTTATACATAAAAAGACTTATTGAAAATAAAAATGGCATTGCTGTCTTTTATTATACTTGTTTCATAACTATCATATTTCTTGATTTAATAGACCCTCCACAAAGATCACAAAACTAAAAAATAATTTTTTAAACAGTTCTAAATTGATTCCACTAGATTTGACTGAACTAAAGTTTCTTCTTGGCCGATTCCTATATGCCTACTGAGCCAAATATGTACACAAAAATGTGATATGGTTAAACAATCACAGATCATGAGTTTGGCTATACATTTTAAAATTAATCTTATCATACTAATCAAACCAACGAGGGCTCATAAAGACGGAAGATTTGAAACTATAAAAAGGGTAATAATATATTACATCTCTGAAAACTCATTTCATGTAACTAAATTTACTGGACAAAAAGGGTACACTGGACAAGTAGGCGGATGAGTTCGAGTTCCTGTTATAGGGCCACATAGTGGCTTCTGCTGATGCATGAATGTGCAATCTGGTCTGGAGAAGTCCACACCTACTCAGAAGACCAGTATGAAGTGGAAGCATTTATACTTTCGCGTTGCGTTCATTGAGACAGCTAGCTGGGACCCACTTAAAGATTCGCAACATATCTATAACTGCTCAAGTGGATGTTCATGGGTTGCCTTAATCACGAAAATCAGCTAAACCGAGCGTTTGACGAATTTTTCACTTAATTATGTTAGCTTGACACATTCGTTGCCAGCTCAAACCACTGTCTCAGCGCGTCACCCAACACATTGGGCAAAGCAGACATGTCCCTCAATATCAAATAAAAGGGGAACGGGAAGGCGTCCAAGTATGATATGAAGCCCGTCAAGGAGTTTGTTACTGGATCAATCACTGGTCTTCTAATGTCCATTATAGAATCCTGCAAAATATTAATTGATTGAAATACCACAGTGTAATTGTGAAATAACGATAAAATTATATATCTTTTGCATATGGCTGTTATTGACCACTTAGACTCTTGTAGACATTCATTTAGTAAATAATTGTATCTTATTAATAAATATGATAATAAAATAACAGTAATACTCAAGTAGCCGTGATAGCTCAATATACTCGAGCAACCTGAGTTCGATCCTCGGTGCCGGCACCAATGAAGTTTTTAACTTTAAGTGCTGTCTTATCACGTGCTCCGCGGTGAAGGAAAACATCGTGAGGAAACCTGCATATTTTCGAAATAATAAATCGTAACATATCTTCGAAAAAAAATATTTCAAAGATATGTGAAGTCCGCCAATCCGCAGTGGGGCCGCGTGGTGGACTATGCCCCGATACCCTCTATATAGAGGAGGCCTTTGCCCAGCAGTGGGACATGTACAGGCTGTTACTTTACTTTTTTTTTACTCAAGAAGCATTAGTTCTGGAGGCTTCGAGATGCGATAAAGAACTTCGGAAATAAGTGAGATCATTTTAATTTTCTTTGTTTATACGCACTGTAGCCTACAAGAGACCCTTTCTCTTCAGCAGGACATATATATCTGAAACTCTAATCCATCTTTTATAATACAGCCTAAAAACCAATCGCCTCTATTCTGGCCTACCTTTCCCTATTACTAGGTTTTTTTTTTAATTTACATGAATCAACTGTTACTTTACTTTTATAACATGGAAAACCTGACATGAATGACTCAGTGGGTCGGTGGCCAAGGTCTTGGCTTCGGCTTTGGGGATCGTGGGTTCGATTTCCACACGGGACAACTGTGTGACCCACAGATAGTTCTTTCGCATCTGGGTGTTTGTCACAGGATAATGTTATCCTAAAGTAAGGGCAATGTTTTTTATTAAAAAGAAAAAGAAAACCACAAGTCAAGCGACTTACCTTATTGTCGGGATTATCTATAATGACGTAGACGCAGAATATGCCCTGCTGTCTCGCTCTGCGCACTGCTTGCACCACCCGAGTCTCGCCCTCCGTGAAGATGCCTCTGCCATCGCTGACAATAACCAGCAGTTTAGCGTTGACCGCGTCGCTCCTCACTGGCTGCTGGTCGAACAGCACCGTGCAGAAGTCGAGGAGTTGGGCGATCTTCGTCTTCGTCTGGTCAAAGCGCAGCCGGTCGAGGATCTTGGCGCCAGAGTGCTCGGAGAACTGTTCCGTGAACGGATGCAACAGGTCGGGTTGCTCACCGAAGCTCAGCACGGCCAGGTCGCCGGACTCCAACAGGTTCAGCGCCTGAAATGACGCGGTTCGTCATGTGATTTTCTCTCTTTATATTTTAGGTATTATTTAACCATTTAAACACAATAGTTGTAGGAATTAATTTGGAAGTTTTTATTATTTCCCTATCGATTTACTGAAAGCTAAAATAATTTTCTCTGTTCTTCCAACACAGTAGCTGACAGAAAATTCTTTTGTTTATGTTGTAAATCAGCGATAGCATTTTTGACTCATTCTATTTGCTAACGCAATATTTATTGAATGATTGTCTCTTAAAAGAAAAAGTGGTGTGCAGTTGCTAAGCTATTGGCAAGGATTGTGATTCGATTCCCAAAAGTGACAAGTATTTGTGGTCTTAAGGTGTACTCAAGTAGAGTTCACGTCCGACAGGCGGTCGGTCGTCAAAAACTTAGGCAATGGTACTAACAGCATCATCGATAGGAAGTGCCGACCCCACCGAAGCTTCCGCCTAAATTTTCATGTAAAACATCAGCTTCTGGCCTTATCTCAAGCAGAAGATAATGTCTTCACAAATATACCTTGTGAAACTGACAACAAACAAACTAGACATTTGCAACACTGTCCCACAGAGGCAGTAACATATCTCGATAAATATGTTAATATTTCTGTTCCAGATTTTAAATTTTGTCATATAGGCCCGAATGATATTATTAAAACATTTAAAAATCTAAATAAAAAGAAAACAGAAGACTTATGGGGCTTATCAATATGGGCAATTGATCTTATAATCTATGACATTGCTTGCATATTAGCCCAAATATTTAATACATGTTTAGACAGTAGCAAATTCCCAAAGTTAATGAAATATAGCAAAGTTGTGCCAGTATATAAATCGGGTTCGAGAGATGATGCCTCTAATTACCGTCCTATCTCTATGTTGCCGGCCTTAAGCAAAGTGTTTGAGAAAATAATGCTGGATCAAATGATAGTACATTTTAACAAATATAAAATTTTAAACCAGCACCAGTTTGGATTTACTAAAGGTAGATCTACAACTGATGCAGGGATAGAATTAGTTTCATATATCCTGCAGTCCTGGGAAAGCTTTCATGACACCATTGGTGTGTTCCGTGACCTTTCCAAGGCATTTGACTGTGTAGATCATACAATTCTAATCAGGAAATTGGAATATTATGGTATTCGCAATTGTGCCATTGACTTTGTTTCCTCATATCTTACTGACAGGGAACAAAAAGTAATCATAAATGGTATATTGTCAACGGGGTCAAAAGTAAAAATGGGCGTTCCTCAAGGATCGATCCTGGGCCCTTTTCTGTTTTTAGTTTATATTAATGATTTGCCATATATAGTGGAAAAAAGGTCTCAAATTGTTTTGTTTGCGGATGACACTTCATTATTGTTTAAAGTTAAAAGGAAAGATGATGCACTGGAACAACCAAATGAAATACTAGATGTTGTGTCTGGCTGGTTTGCTACCAATAATTTACTTTTGAACTCCAATAAAACAAAATGTATTAGATTTACTCTTTCAAAGTTGTGTCACCAATCAGGAATCTCTATTGATGAGAAAATCCTACCCCTTGAGGATTCAACAGCATTTCTTGGAATAAGCGTTGACTCCAAGTTGCAATGGGGATTACATGTAGATAAGTTAGCTAAGAAATTGAGCGCTGCCGTCTTTGCCATACGCAAAATCAGGCAGCTAACTAGTATTATGCTTATTTTCACAGCATAATGTCCTATGGTGTCTTACTTTGGGGTTCCGCATCCGGTCTAGACACAATATTTGTATTACAAAAGCAGGCTATACGGGCCGTCTATGGCTTGGGTCCACGTGAGTCGCTACGACATACATTTAAGCAAATAAACGTCTTGACGCTCCCGTCGCTTTACATACTTGAGAACATCATGTATGTACGTAATAATATCGACCTATTTACGAAAAAACAATCCACATCGCGTCGGGGCCGTGGTGACACTCTGGAAGTACCGAGGTTTAGATTAGCTAAAACCATCTTGGAAGATGCATCAACTTTTATAATAAAATAGGTGACATCCACAAACAACTAAGTATAAACAATTTCAAACAATTTGTAAAAGCTACCTTAATGGCAAGGGCTTATTATAATATCCAAGAATACATAGAGGACAAGGATGTTTGGAAATGACTCTTGCTCTGCACTTGCAAGACCCTGGCTGCTGCTGATTTTATACCCAAATAAGTGTGTATAATTGCATTAAAAAAATATATATAACAAAAAGAACAAGACCGCAGAGTTTCTTGCCGTTTCTTCTCTGTGCAGGTCTAGTTTAGTGAACCGGTGGTAGATTTTTGTTGACGTTCAATAAGAGCTTAAGTTAGGCCTATATTGAATAAATATACTTTGACTTTGACTTTGACTATAATGTTACTAATTTACAGGTGAATCGATTCTGCGAATCATCATCGTCATCCTCCTGCCCTTATCCAACTTAGATGAGGTCGACACAATAAGTGAATTTGTAAGCAGATTTGGCTGTCTTTTTACGACCGGCCGGCTGTCCCGCCCTCCATGGGAAACAAGCACCTAGATCCGTAACAATGAACTGTGGGTAACACAAATACTGGTCCCTTATGGGAGCCGAACCCACGACCCCTGACGCCAAGCCTTAACACCAGCGCCACCGAGTTATTCTGCGAATATAATAAAAAATTGTATAATAATGACACATTTAGTACTAGTACTTAATGCATGTACAATGTAAGTGTGAGTGTGAGATAAATGTGGTAGGACCGTGTAATAGCCTTCGCAGTTGTAAGACTGGGCAGTTCCGTCCGGAGAAGTACTACGACCTCACAGAAGACCGGCGTGAAGTGCAAGTAGTACACTGCGTTTCGTCTGATGAGTGAGGTAACCGGGGCCCACTCGATTAAAAGGTGGCAACGCACCGGTTGTCATAAATGTCCGTGGCCGGCGGTTACCACTCAACCTCTGGTGAGCTTGTACCCACACCTCACTCAAAAAGTATGTTAACGACGTGTCTCACTGCACACCCACCTGCGACACCAGTGCCAGACTCTCGAAGGCGAGCTCCTTGCTCCTGTTGTCGCACATGGAGCTGGAGTCGTCGACCGCGATCGCGATCTTGTAGTCGCGCTTCGCCGGCCTCGTGCGCCGCAGCCAGATGCGGTCCTTGCGGAACTGCGACGCGATGTAGGGGATCACGCGGCGCATGTTGATCGCGCGCCCGGTGCGGAAGTCGCCTGCATAGCGTCACTTTTCACTCAAAAACTGTCTGTGGTACGGGAACTACACTACAATGGATCTAGGCAGCTGAGCCAGCCCCTTCCACACAAATCCTAATCGTAATCATGGTACGGGGAATATCGAAGCGAGGAAAATTATTTCGATGTGAGTCACATAAATCAAATACGATGTAGTATCATACAAGCTACGTGTGAGAAATGGACGAGGAGTTTTTAAATTTATCTTCTCTAAATCTGCATTTTGAAATCATGAGTATTTTAAAGACGTTTGGGTTCTGGTGACAAGCCCTTGCTTGTGGGTTACCGCAAATAAGTTTTCTTACGTCGAATTTCATGGAAATTATTCAATTTTGGGGTAGAAGCAGCAAGTTCGATATTCTTACCAAAAGGGGCAGAAGGCAATAGAAGCCTTACTGACGGGCACGTGGTCTGCACTGAAGTGTATGTAGGCCACTATGCGATGACTTCAAATAAAATGTAAATGGGATCAAGTGTGAAAGTACCAGGGGCGCATAAAGGGGGTAGAAACTTACTTACTGATCGACACGTCGAGAGCGGTGCATGGGCTCGAGTGTGAAAACACCAGGGGCGCATAAAGGGGTAGAAACTTCCTTACTGACCGGCACGTCGAGAGCGGTCCATGGGGGATCGAGTGTGAAAGTAACAGGGGGTGCTGCATAAAGGGATCATGCGCTCACTGACCAGCACGTCGAGAGCGTTCCATGGCATGGAAGTACCAGGGATGTGGAAGTACTAGGGGCGCATGAAGGGATCGTAGGCTTAGCCATCCATAGACACGAGCGTGGAAGTACCAGGGGCGCATGAGGGGATCGTGCGCTCACTGACCAACACGCCGAGAGCGGTGCATGGGCTCGAGTGTGGAATTACCAGGGGCGCATAAAGGGATCGTACGCTTACTGACCGGCACTTCGAGAGCCATCCATAGACACGACCATGGAAGTACCAGGGGCGCATAAAGGGGTAGAAACTTCCTTACTGACCGGCATCGAGAGCGATCCATGGGCTCAAATGTGGAAGTGTGTGGACACGAGCGTGGAAGTACCGGGGGCGCATGAAGGGATCATGAGGGGCTTACTGACCGGCACGTCGAGATCGGCCCGTCGGCTCCAGCACGAGGCGCAGTCGCTCGCAGAGGGCGCGCGCGGCCGGCTCGCTGTCCCGCCACGCGGCCCGCCACGCCTCTACGGCGCTGCCCGCGCCGGAACGCCCCGCGCTCAGGTACTCGCGAATGCTCATGTACTGCTCCATAGTGATGTCCTCCGCCGGCTGCTGCTGCTGGTGCTGGTACTCTTCGATCCTGTGATTATTACATGTATGTACGTCAAAGAAACCATTGAAAAAGTATAAAATTGTTTCGTTTAACTAATAAGTGACATATATCAACGTAAGAATACTTATTTGCTGTAACCTACAAAAAGGATGACGAATAATCGAATAAGATCTATTACAAGCTATGTGCATAAAAAGTTAATTTTTTAAATCATCAATGACACCAATAACAGCTCTCTGCTAATCTTGTTTTAATCATGAAAACTATCAATAGTACTTTTTTACTGATTACATTTTTTTCCGGAAGACGCTGGTTCAATATCAAAACAGTCGCAGTATCCATTTTGTCAAAGTTTTGTCCATTTACCTACAAGAATTCTAGCCAGTACAATTTTACTGCTTTGCAGCTTGTCCAAGCTAGGAATTGCAATAACTTACTTCGTATGATACGTTGTTTCGCGTCCGCGTGGCACGTTAGTTGTAAGTACGGTATCACCGTCCACTTCGATTCCCGCTTCGCCTGTCGTTTCTTCGCCGCCCTCATTGGCATTACCAGTTTTATCTTGATCTCTATCTTTGCCGTCTTTCACTTTCTCCGGTTTAATTTCCTCGGACTTTTCTATCTGAAACACAAAGTCAACATCGCTTTTTAATCTTCCTAAAAAAATAACCACTTCATCGGTCGTTACGTTGTCTTTTATGTGTGAGTGAACTTAGAACTCATTATGATAAATAACATAAAGTTTTTTTTTTACAAAGAAGTCTCACCTGTATGTCATCTTCATCAACTTCCATGGGTATTTCTTCATTCTCTTTCATTTCTTCGCCTTTTTCATCGTCCTGTTGTAACGTAGGTTGTTGTTCGGCCTGTTCTTTGGTGGCCGCATCTATCGCCTGATACGGGGATAGGTTATACATGTAATTATTAGGTAATTACTACTTAATAATTTTAAATATTGAATTATATATTCCAGAAACTTTGAAGCTAACTTCTTACATTCTAAGTTTAAGTAAGTTGAAATAAAAACCATTCATGTTTTAAATTTAATTGTGTTATTTCTTATATATCTTTACTGTAGGGTCACGCCGCAGTTTCTCCTGTTGCACGAATGGGCAGGCTCGTCCGGGGAAGTACCACGGCCTCAGAAGTCCGGCGTAAAGTAGAAGTACTACACTTTCGCGTTTCGTCTGGTGAGAGCAACTGGGGCCCACTTCTAATAGGCTGGCAACGCATTTGCAAATGCTCGCTTGCCAACTTTTTACATTAAAAGAAAACAAAATTTTTAAAGCACTTCTTGCACATGTTATATCCATAGATAAATACGTATTGGTGATTTTGTTGTTTAAACAAATAAAATATAAAAACACTTAAATTGGTAATTGGCTCGTAACATACCTGCAGATCATCTTTCTTCGCTTGTTTAACATGCTGGAAGGCATCCGCATCTTTTTCCGCGTCATTTTCCGCTTCGCCGCCATCTTCTGCATTCTCCTCTTCCCTCTCCACGTTTAGAGTCCGCGCCCGTTTCTGTTTCTGCTCTTTTACCTCTCCTATTTTACGATAGCAGTTTGTCATTAATCACATTAATTACATACTAACTTTGTGTGTGTGTGTGTGTGTGTGTGTGTGTGTGTGATGCGTCAGTGTTTGTTTTTTCGGCCGCAGCGGCTAATGTAGATTTGGGATAGTAAACGAAAAGTAATTCTATATTTGTTCCACTGCCAGGCAAATACCTCCTCTGTACAGAGGGTATTAAGGCATAGTTCAACGCACGATCTGACTGAGTATTGTTAGATTTCACATGTTCAATTTTTTAAATTATTATTTCGAAAACATTAAAAAACGTTTTAACGGTGTTTTACGTCCCCGTCGAGCGCGTTATAACTCAGCATTTAAAATTGCAATCAACAATTTCATTGGCGCTTGCACTAGGATTTGAACCCATCATCCTCGAGTGTAAATTATAAACAAGCGACTAGAACACTGAGCTATCACGGTACATGGATATTTTTGAAAGGAGATGATGGTTATAGCAGGAAAGACCGCTGGAAACACTGGTTTCAGGCATCGATGTGTCGGTTGGTGTAATTGCTATCAGATGCAGTGCAACGGATCAGTGAGTTCCATTCCCGCATGGGTCTCGCTTATTTATAATCTGCAGATAATTATATGATACAGTTCTTGGTCATCGTTTAAACACTTTCTTTTTTGTAAAACGCTACTACCTCTATGGAAGATTGTCGAAGACTGTTTTAACAAAATGTAAATGGTGAGTTGCAATCAGATTTACTAAGCTAACTAAACTGCTTTTACTGCATCTGAAGACTTTTTTATCGCTTTATTATAATCATAAAAAAAAAAAACTAAAAAAAATGGTATTACTTATTAGTAGTACTTATCATATTAGTATTAAGACTTACTGAATAACTAAGGGGAATTATTCCGAGTGAAACTTTGTTTTAATTTCAGAACAAAAAACTAAGGAGACTTATTACGTAACAAAAAGATCGCATATATCTCACCTAGGGTCCTCTCGTGGTCAGTTTTTCCGGGCTTGTTTTCATGCCGCTTCTGTGAGTCCTGCGAAGTGTCTGCTCTGGCGGCTTGTTTCTCACCACGGTGCCCTTTATCGCTCTTGTCTAATTCTGAACGCCCAGTCGACTGCTTGTCTTCGCCGACTTGTTCCTGGGCTTGTTCCTAAGCGTAAATAAATGAATAAAACAAAAACTCCCATTGTCCATGTAGGTAGTGATGACACAAGAGATCGGAACAAACATAAGTTGTCATAAACGATATACCACAAAACCGCATCACGGATTCGAAATAAATTTTCTGAAATTCAAGACATATTTTCCTGCAAATAACTTGATTCTTTGCATCTTAGTCCGTTAAGCGGATAGTATAAGATAATCATTAAGTAGTGGATAAACTAAAAGAATACGAAGAAGGAAAGATCCTGATTATATCAAAATAAAAAAAAATATATAAAAAAATTTAGCATAACAATAAAAAAAAACTATAAATATAGGTTGACGGTGCGATGCTATTGGCAAAATATTATGTTATAAACATGTTCTACTACAAGTTTTAGTTTTAGTAGAAAATGTCATCCATCCAGCAGTCCAGCATCCATACATACACTAGTAAAACAAGATGTATGGATGTTTATCAATTAATACCCAAAGTACAAGCTTTACTTTGTTTGAAACTAGATAACTAGATAACATTGAAAATTTTTCTTAATCGAAAAATTGTATTTATATATTTATTTAATATTTATATATGGTAATGGCTGTTATATTAATGTACTTACATATGGTGCAGCTTCCTCATCTTTAGCTTGCTCGGCATTAGTATCGACATTATCATTGGCACCGCGGTCCATTTCTGCATTCTCAGCCCTCTCTCCCATCGACGGATCATCACTGGACGGGTTAGCTTGAGGGTTTGCTTCATGTTCTTTCTGTTCAACGTTGTCGTCTTCGTTTATGTCGTCTGGATTTTTTGGAATTTCGCTTTCGGGGTTATCTTTATCCTCTGGCAATTCAGGATTCTCTTCCACGTTGTCTTGAGGATCTTCAGCAGCGGTATCTTCGTCGGGGACTTCTTCGTCTTTCTTCTCATCGTCCTGTTCGCACTCTTCCTTTTCTTGTCTATCGTCAACATCTTTCTCCTGAACAATGAACAGAAAAATATTGAAATAAATCAGATTACATTATATTAGGACGTGTTTTTTATATAACAAGGACAAAACAAATGTGCATCAAAACTAATTATTTGAAAACTATCTATTTGACTTTTATTTACACATTAAAGAATTACGAGCAGTAGTAATTGTGCTAATTATTTTAAAACCTAACCTGCGACTCATCTGGTTTGTCGTTATCGCCTTCATCTTCGTCACTAGATACTTCAAGACCATTCTTGTTTCCTTTCTCTTCTTCATCGTTCTTCTTATCGTCTTCTTCTTCTTCTATTTTCTCCTTCATGACATCTATATCGAAAGGATTTTCGGTTTCTGTTTCACCTTCATCCTGTGCAAAGACATTAATAATTTCCATATTAAAAATGCTTTATCTTAAAGTAAACTGTATTAGATAATATACAAACATAAAAAATATAAATAATAAACATAATTAATACAAACTGAATGTCACGAAATTAAAATTCTATTTACTTTATATTTACCTTCTGAGTATAAATACTCAGAAGGTATTTTCTTTTACGTTCATAGCTTATTTAAGAAAAAGAAATATTAAATTAATAAATAGTTTTAATAAGTTCCCTAAATGACAACATTAGGTATTTAAAAAAGATATTGAATATTTCCATTACCTTCTCGTCACCATCCTCCCCATCAACGTCCATATTATCTGGTAGTTCAAAATCTTCTGGTTCGGGCAGCTGTTGTTCATTACCATGATATGGATCAATCTAGAAAAGGGACTTTATTTTATTTAAGAATCTATAAATTTTATTAAATTGATAATAAGATATCTTGGCTTCATTACTAATTTTCTCACGTGCGATACCCGTTCACTAGATTGATATAACTTAGTTAAGTTAGTCACAATGTTTATTAAAAAAACCATTGTCTTAAATTAATAAATAACTCACGTTTATAAATCAAGACTGTGCCTCATTCATGATTCCACGGACTTCGCCAAAAACGGCAGTTTGCTTTGCTGCGGATGAATACCGTGAAAAAATAACAAGAGCGAGTGTAAGAGTGAAACCACGGGGATCATAAATAGTGACCAGCCACACCTAGGGTCTCACTCTCAAGCCTCCACTGCCCATCATTACAACTTGTATTTTTATTATCCTATTCGATACCACTGTTTTTATTTTTATTTTACCTTTTACTAGGTTGTCCGGAAGAAATCGCTGTCTAGCTATAAGCCCGCCTATTTATTGTACAGTTTTGTATTTTTTGTGTACAATAAAGTATATTTCATTCATTCATTCATATACTTACGTGGTCGTCATTAATCTCAGGTTCCTCCATCTCGTTGATATCCTTCTTCTCTTTCTTATCCTTTCCATCCGAACCGTCATCAGTCCCTTGTTCTTTCTCCTTGGCAGCCATTTCTTTCTCCCCGGTACTCTCTCCCTGTCCTTCTTCTTCCTTGTCCTTCTTTTTGTCCTGTTCTTCATCAAGATCCTCCTCTTCTTCAGAACCCCAGATCTGTTGATCCAATCTACAAAGAACACGATTAATTATAATGTACTGTCATAACTCTACACTTAAAGATCACTATCACTGTACTCTCATAACTAGAATTTCTTTTCGCAAAAACAATCTCAATTGTAATTACAATAATACTATTAATTTTTGAGTTTTATTCGTCATTGGTTGACAGAAAGAGATTGTTTTATCTACTAAGTCAAAATGACAAAAATTGACAAGTGATTAAACTATTCAAATAACCACGATTTATAGGGCTTGCGAAATATAATGTATTATAATAAATTTGTTTAAGTATACGCACTTTTCAGCTGCGTTATCGGTATCGCCCATTTGTTTGTCAGCATCTTCCTCATTATCTTCTTTATCGGAGTCATCTCCTTCTATTGAAAACAAAAACAAAATATTGATTTCAGCAGTTGATATGACAGCAGCGATAGCCGTTATTTGGGTACGCTATTCCCACATCGGAAGCAATCATATTATTAGTACCTTCATTTGTTTAGTTTGATCGTTAGCTTAATCCCCGCTTCTTCATGAAACTTGTCCAGTTCGTTAAAATACTTTGTATAATATTTATTAAGTTTATGTGAAATTAATATAACATTACCCTTTTGTTCCACATCTTGTAAATGAGAATCAAAGTCGTCAGTCATGTCGATTCCCTTCTCTTCTTCCTTGCAATCTTTGTCTTCTTCTTTTTTCTCTTCGCCAGGTCTTTGTGCATCATCCAATTGATCCTGTTTATATAAAAAAAATATCAATAACATCGAATATTTTCCGTATTCTAAGAAAAAGACACTTATAATTTTCACTATACGAGTTATTGTATAATGATAAAAATAAATCTATTTCGTTAAAACTATTAGACCAAATTAGTATCTATAATTTTTTATCAATAGTCTATTACCTGATTCTCAATCCTCTCTGAGACATCCTTTTGACCTTGACCCTCCCCAAGTCCCATACCGCTGGATAATTTGCCAGGGCCCTCACCACCATCGCCATCTTCCATGTCTAAGTCCGATGGCTTGCAGAATCTGTCAAGTTAATACTCTACATAGTTAATACCATACGATAAACGATGAAATGTAACACAAAACCGAAACAACACTGCACTCACCCCTTAGTAGCGAGCTCAGAGAAAATCTTTAATAGTACTGACAGCATTTTGCACGACACTCTATGTACTGCTACCTTTTGCGATACAAAATATTGTATGAACAGTAAAGCTTGTTCCAACAGAGGAACTACTCTAGTAACGGCAATCTTCACATCCTTAGTTTTATTCACTGTTGCGACATATTGAACGTAACCTCTTAAAAGTGTATGGACTTTAATAATTAGACCGTCTAATTGAAGTAATTTAACATCACTCGAAAGATTTTCATGCAAGCGTTCCTTTAAATGGTTGTCCTCAAGTATTTCTTTGGATTGGTCTCTATCTTTCTCATCAATTATTTCATCTATTGCGCTCAACACGTCGACGTTATCGACACTTTTGTCTAATGGCAAATGTTTTTTGTATAATGACTGGATAATTAAAAGCATTGTTGCAGTCAAGTCTTCAGTTTCTTTGATCAATTCGTTACTATTCTCTTCCATGTTTACATCGATAGGTTTGTCCAATTGATCAATTTGATGGATTGTGTCTTTCAAATATGTTTCTAAGCTATTAAGAGTCCTCAATATAGGGTGTTGATGTATAAAGTCACTACCGACGAAGGCTTTTAATTTAAATTTATATTCTTCTTTGATCTCATTCAGTTTAGTAGAAATGCTGTCTAAGTTGCTTCTAGCTTCATTTGTAATATCGATATGAGATTGTGAGGGAGTAGGTACATTGTTCCTGCTGCGTCCAAATTTATTAGGTACAGCGTTAGCTAATTTATAAAGGCTAGTTTTCTGTTTAGACACTTTCGTTATTACTGATTTAATAGATTTATAGAGACTGTTCCACTCTTCACTATTTTTATAACATTTTGTTATTGCCGAATCAAACATTATGGTATCGAATTCTGGTTCACAACAGTCATTCAAAGTTTTCTCTGGGCAGGATTGTAGTAGTACACAGAATTGGTCAAGCAGTATACTTGTGTTTGCGTAACATTCTGAGAGAATTGTCAATTTCTCATTCAGCGTTGATATATTATTACTGATAATTTCATCGGATTCAACCTCTAAGGCCGCTGTCAAATTCGTTGTGAGGGTTCGCAAATCGCAAAGATGCCTCGAATATTTTGCGACGGATTTCTTTTGCATTATTGTTAATTTCTGTAAATAATTAAGGTGTTTAACATATACTTCATTTAGAACAATACTTTTTAATTAATGTAAAAAAAAACTGTTCTATTTTGTTTATTTAATATTGAAATAATTTTTAGCCTAAAACAAATTACCAGCAATTGAGCAGCGAACCCTTTACATCTCTCGATGTTCTGCATGCTAAGATCTGCGTGTGGCGAAAGCAAAGACGCGGAAAGCAATCTATGGCGCGCAATATTCCTCTGGAAGTATTTTTCGCAGCCGGACCAGAGTAAAGATAAAGTTGCATCGCATCGCCTGAAATAGTAAGGATCAGTAATGAGGCACCTCTTTATTATTTCTAAAGACTCATCATTATGTGATCTTATAAATGTGAAAGAATAAAACTATATCATCTTTATACATTCTACCTTTACTATGATATCGTATTCAATCACGTGATAAAGATCATTTCTGTGGCATCAAAATACCATTCTTATCGATAGAAAATAGTATTTTTAAAATTAAAAAAATTTTCCGTTAATGTATTATTGATTTATAAAATTATGTATAACGATTAAGAAGAGCCGTGATAGCTCAGTGTCCGGGCGCTCGCCTTTAATTCAATATACTCGAGCAACCTGAGTTCGATCCCCGGTGCCGGCACCAATGAAATTGTTAAATTCAAGTGCTGAATTGTCACGTGCTCAGCAGTGAAGGAAAACATCGTGAGGAAACCTGCATATTTTCGAAATAATAATAAAAAAAAAATATTTCGCAGGTATGTGAAGTCCGCCAATCCGCTGCGGGGCCGTGTGGTGGACTATGCCCTGATACCCTCTGTACAGAGGAGGCCTTTGCCCAGCAGTGGGACATGTATAGGCTGATACTTTAAGTATAACGCTAAGAGAACAATTGGACCTCACCTAAGAGTAAGATAAGGTTAATGTTTACTTTAAAGATTTTTTTTTTAATTTGACAATATCATGGCAAGAGTGAATTGACTAACTGTGTACTTTAATGTGAACCAATTATCTTTAAACCACTGCTTACCATAAGAGGGGATCAAGCACTAAATAGTACGTAATAAAAAAAGAAATATTAAGAAGGTAGTTGGGTAACCTGCTCTTTAAGTAATTCATGGCTGCATCTAGATCGACGGGCGGTATGGTAAAGTCATAGAGATCGTCATTCGAAGCCAACAGGATGACTAAACCAGTGCGATAGTTGAGACCGATTTTGGCCAGATCCTTAAAGAGATCAGCGAGAGCCTTCCTCTTTTGCTGGACTATATTCTTTGCTTGAGATTTCTGCTTGTCTTTCGGCACTGTTGTGTCTACCTGAAATGTACGTTCTACGATACAATTATCTGTCGTTACGTTCGCGAGAGAACACAATTCACAATTAACTTGACATTATGAAAGTACATAAGTTCAAGACAAGTTCCACAATTGAAATTAATATTGTTGTGAAAATTAACTACTAGCATGTCATTTCAAATTTAATTTGGAGTAGCATATCTCACACGCTCAATAGACACGTATGACATTTTTATGTGAAAAAAAAAGATCTCTTGATGACAAAATTGGCATAATGGATGGTATCATCCATTAATATATGTATAAGAATTTATTTACAAAATAAAAATATTTTTGTCTTGTTCTGTAAGTAAGTAACTTTACTTATTTTGGGACAAGAAAATAAAAATATATTTAACTTATAGGCGTTGGGGCCAAACTATAAATTACAGGTAGTAATAAATATACAATAAAGAATCACCTCTAAGGAAGCCAGGTGGCTGTTGGACTCTATGATGATGGTGACGAAATCGTCGAGCGCCTGCACCAGTGATGGGTAACCGCAGTTAACCATAGTCTCCTTGCATAGGGTCTTGGCTTTATTTAGTAAGCTCGGAACCTTTGTGAGGAGGCTACCATCTGGCACGAGGCTGCAAGGCTGCTCCGACAGATCCAGATATTTCTGAAAAGTCAACCGCCGATAACTTATCAATGCACTTAGGGAAAAAAATTAAACCAGCAATTGTTGGGTAATTAATAATGATAGTTACTCATACAAATATTTTTGGATCTCGAATTATCTCAATACTAAACTTCATAGAACTTAATGAGATATAGAAACAAGGTAGTTAGTGTAGTTAAAATTTGTAGAAAAAGTACGAAAAGATTGTCGCCTCTGTGGGAATCGAACCCACGTCTTCGGAATTCGCGGCCTGAGGCTTTAGCCACTAATTTTAATATTTAATCTTAAATGCAGAGCGATGGCGACATCTCTCGTTCGAATTACCGTTGAAAAACGATATTCGAAATTGTATGTGTCATATGTGTTGAAAGGATATAACAATGGATGCGCCAAGCATTGCTTCAAATGCTAAAAACAATGTTAAGATACGTTGAGATACAGTGATATAAAACATAAAACTCATAACGAACATACAAGTTACCAGAAGTTAAACCAGTGTGACACTCGCAATCGAGCATACCTTGATATTCCGAGCCATGACGATGTGGTTCTGGGGATCGATCATGTAGGCGCCACCGGCGAGTGGGTTGGCGCCCGTGGCACGCTTAGGGCGGTCCCAGATTCCCACGTGATCGGTACGGGTGTCGGAAGAGTAATCCACCAGCCAACTCGACACGCCCTCCTTCAGAACAGTCTGAAATAACGTTTTACACTTGCTCATAACTAAAATTATTCCTCATCCCTTAGAAAAAACTAATTTTAACAATACATTATTTGTCTAGAAAATATGTGTTTGCGGCAAAATATTCAGATACAACAGTTTTTTTTTTTAAATCTAATTTATACATATTAACATATACAACGGACTTTTACAGATATTATCAAAAGTTTTTTTGAAAACAAAAATTAAAAAAAACTGAAATCATTACATAAGCTAACAAAAAGGACTGTCTGAATGAATTAAAAAAAATGTCGGACGTAAAGAAACTATAGAGTAAATAAGTAAGAAGAATATTATTTATTCAATTAAATTTTACAAAAACATAAATAACAACCAATTAAATTTTACAAAAACATAAATAACAACCAGGCATCATATCTATATTGAGTAATAAGTTTAACATTTAAGTCCTGTTTTTTTTTTTTTTTTTTTTTTTAAAAAACACTGCCCTTACTTTAGGATAATATTATCCTGTGTTGGAAAGGACGTTTTACAAACATAAATTTCACGCGGACAAACACCCAGATGCGAAACAACTATCTGTGGGTCACACAAATAGTTGGCCCGTGTGGGAATCGAACCCACGACCCCCGACGCCGAAGCCAATACCTTGGCAACTGCGCCACGGAGTCATCAAAGCTGTTATGTATGAAACCTAGTTTGTTACCTCAAACTCCTTGGTGTGCTTATGCAGAGCCTTATGCGCCTTTTCAACTGTGTCTTTAACACTCCAATAGCTGAGATCCCTGTCCCAAGAGCAGATCTTAACAAAGTCTCGGAGTTTTTTCTCTATGGGTGCGCGCTTCTCTTTGATTACATTGGCAATTTGGGGTGCAAACTGGGAATAGTAATTGTAGGTGTTCCACAAGATAGATAGCAACTCATCTGTAATTCATATATTCAAAATAAATCACAAACTTAGTGCTAAAGTATAATGAATATATAGTTTTTGAATTAACAATTCCACAAATAGAAAGATCCTTTAAAATATTTCTTGCATTTCTACAATATTTTTTTAAAATGACTAATTTTCTTGTTGCTATATGTTTTAGCTTTTCTACTTAACCTTTCTGTGAACTATGCACTCGAAATGGAATAAAGTTGTTGTTTGGAAGTTTTCGCCTATCTGTGTGTGTGTGGGAGCAAAACTGAAAGCTAGTATCATCGATTGTATCGAATTCCTAATGTAATATATTTTTAACGTATATACATGTTTCTATTTTATTTTTTTGTATTATATATTCATATTTAATGATAATTTACCTCTTCTTGGGCTCGGTTCCAGATGAACTAAGTGGCAATGGTATATGTATATGATGTCTAGCCTCACTTCGTATTCCGCCAAATTCGATATCTCCATGAAATCTTTCAGAACCGATATAACTCTTGCAGCTGAGATGGGTTCCTTTACGGGCGACTCATCAGAGCGAATTTCCAAGTAGGAATTAACAACAGAGTACAAATAAAACCAGTATTTGTGGGCTTCAGCTTGTTTTCTGTAATTTGAGAATTGAATGTAAAAATTTAAATTCATAAGAAATAGAATAAAGTAAATCCTACATGCCAGTTTCCTCCTGATATATTCCTTCACCCCTGAGCACATGGTAAATCAGCACTTAAAATAGTAATTAAGAACTTTAATGCCCTGGAATTGGAAGTCTGATAGCTCAAGTAACTGAATTAAAAGCAAGAACCAGGGCACAGAGTTGACACACCTTAAAAATATGTTGTACTATTCAGAATGCCTTTTAAGTTATAAGTCCCAAGTAAAGTGTAGACAGGCTGTGCTGGTCCCAATTAAAATGGTACATCTGTATGGCAGTAGTTATCCAGTAACCCGATTCATACTGATGATTTCATATGGCGTAATTAAGATGTGAAGCATAATAAGATACCATTATGAATACTCCTTATATTAAATAAAATTACTATGTAATTTGTTATAGGCAATTATAATTTTATAAAGGTAAAACAGATAAGCAAAGTTGTCTCATTGTAACACGTCGCTAATTAAGCCAGTTGCCTAAGATATATAAAATTATGGTCAACATGTAAGAAACTCTAAATGGATATGTCATAGAAAAAAAGGGAAGATACAATCTTGTATTTGATTTCTTCACTCAGACAAAATTTGAAAGTACATTCCATTTACATATATTTATACCTTCATACCAGTCTTCCGTGAGGCTGTGACACTTCCTTGAATAAGCCTTTTTTATGTGAGAAGGTGGTAAGCGAGCTGGCGGTTCACCTAATGGATGGTAAGTGATAACCGTCGCCAATGGACATTTGCAACACCCGCAGGGTTGCGGATGCGTTTCCATCTTTTAATAAAGTCGGCCCCGGCTACCTCACTCACCAGACGAAACGCATTAGTATAACACTTCATTTCATTTAAAAATATCGTTATTCAAATAGACGCTTGCGCTTTCTTATGAATCGTCGAAGTTTACAAAACATATATAGTTATAGGTAGTATATTTATAATAGGGTTCTTAAGGTACCAATTGTAAGGTACCTTCCACTTCACACTGTTCTTCTGTGAGTTCGTCGTACTTCTTCGGAAGGACCTGGCCACTCGTGGCCCCACCACAGTTAAGAGCCTGACCATTTGTACAATAGCAGAAGTTTCTGCATGGTCTACCACAGTCACACGTACCTCGCATATAAGTTGTTCAAGCACTCCTTCCAGTGGGACATCTCCAGCTTCCTCCAGTTGACGATCTGCTGACCGACCTCCAGGGAGATGTCGATCATGTTGTTCCCTTTGTGCGCGTTCTTGTTCCACTCCTCGATCTTATCCCGGAGCAGCTCCAGGCCGGTGAGGAAGCGAGACACGGGACTGGTGATCGAGAAGTCCAATATTCTATCCGCGATCACGATGATCTGAAACGGAAATTAATGAATTGTGCAAGCTGCAAGGGTTCCGCGAACCAGCTCACTTTTCTTATGCCCGGTTCCTATATTCAACGAACGGCCGTTAGTTACATAGCTTCGTAACTTTCATTAAAAAAATTCCAATTAAAAAATAGCCTATGTCCTAGACTAGGCTAGGTCAGGCTCTAGACTATCTGTGTACCAAATTTCATTGATATCAATTCAGCAGTTTTAGCGTGAAAGCGAGACAGAGTTACTTTCGCATTTATGATATTAGTATGGAATTGTGGTTTAGTTAAAGGTTATATTCATGCTTTTGTTGAAGTGAATCGAAATTCACTGCACGTTAACGTTTATATTATAAATGATTGCGACGAGACAAATACGGATTTTTACTGTAACGAAGCTTTAATTCAGTCAAACAAATGAAAAATAAATATGATTTTGTTTTGTCACTCACATCTTTCAGTGTTGGGAAATCGGGCCACTGGTCAAGCAACTCATTGGTCTTCTCTTTCACTCTTTGCAACAAGGGCAGACACTGTCTCGTTTCAGAAACCCACGCTGAGCGATAGAAGTCGATCTTTTGATTAGACGAATCTGTTAAGTAATACAAGTAAATTAAAATTAAAATTTTTCTCTTCTACGACATTTAATACAAATCATAAAGTCTTCTTAGGATTCGGAACAATTGTCTGTGAACCACACAATTACTTGTCCCGTGTGGAATCGAACCGACGACCCCCGGTGCGAAGACAATGACTTAGAAATTGCTCATATCAAAGTTGAGAGTACTTACCATTCCCGTCCACTTTCTCCTTTATATGGGACACGAGTACCATCATACTTGGCGAAATCGCACCTTCGAATTCAGCGTCCAACGCCTCCCAAGCGTCGTCTACTAGCCGACTAAATATGGGATACCTCATCAGTAAAGGGCTGATAACGTCGTTGCCCACCAATTTCTTTGGGCTGGGTAGCCATTCCGCTGTAGTCATGTTGCGTACAAAACTCGAATGCCATTTGTATATAAGTGACACGTCTTCGCTGGTGATCAGCTGTTTGTCTTTCTTCTTCCCCTCACTTACAGTCTTTGATTTCTTTTGCTCTAAAGTCACGGGTTTGAACTCCGCGAAATCCGTATCGGAGAATGACGGGAACATTTCTCTTATTTCCTCCTGTGCAATCGTCTCCTCGTCCTCATCTTCGCATTTAGACCTTTAAAAGAGACGAGTTTGATTAAAAATACGACGCCATTTGGTGAGAGTTTAGGCCTTGTGGCGTTTAGACCGGTGCGTTCCGTAGGAGATCCCGACGAACGGACAGAAGGTGGCTAACGAGGGAGTTTTAGTGGGTACGAACCCGTCATGTAAAGTGACAGGGTTATCATTTGAAGATCGCTCCCCCGATACCAAAAAAAAAGACATCGTGGCGGTAGTGAGATTGCGGTAAGGTTGATTATAAAGTTTAAGTCGTAATAAAGTAGTTTATTTAGGTGAAACAAAATGGTATTAAGATTAAAATGTTACATAAGTAAGCTAATGTTATATAAAGTAATGCTTTAGTCGGTAATGTCAGGTGCACCCGGCTGACACGCGAGTTAGAGGTAAACCGTCATTATATTACTAATTATTGGTGTCGTTACAGGTATTAACTCGAATAGTGTCTACATACGACTTATAAGCACTGGCCAGTTTGTCACAAAAAAAAAATTCAAAATAATTTTTCATTTATTGCTTTTAAGTTATCATCTATTAAACAAAACTTAATAGTGCAACGACAACGACGACCGAAGACAAAATTAATAAGGGTTAAGGTACGTCAGAAATATCGTTCATAATTTACATATGAAAAATATTTAAACAAAACTATAATTTGGCAACACTCACTTTGTAACGTATAGCGCTTCATCGTCTATTTTCTTTTTCTCCATTTCACGCCTCTGATTCTCCCAAGCGCTTACTATAGAGTCCAAAGTGTTCAGGATCGCATCGAAAGTCACTTTGTCGACGCGCTCCATGGCCGTACAATGCATATTTAGCTCCGACAAATTCATTTTTAAGGCCCTGTAAAAATAGAAAAAAAAAATCTTGTCAACAACATCCATACATAGTATAAAACAAAGTCGTTCCGCTGCCTGTCTGTCCCTATATATGCTTAGATCTTTAAAACTACGCAACGGACTTTGATGCGGTTTTACGAGATGCATAATCGAGATATCCATGCATAATATAGTAGAGAAACACTGATAATTTTAGAGGTTTCTAATGCGATGTCGAAAACAAACATTCAACATTGCACCCGTGCCAAGCCGTGGCGGGTCGCTAGGGTCCCATATTTATATATTTAGCCTTAAGTTCAGGAAGGGAAACTTATAAATAAAAATATCACGGAATACACAATTCCGTAAAAATGAACATTCTTTAATTAAATAAATAATAAATAATTTAATTTTTTAATTTTGTTTCTAAATGAATACACTTTTTAACATCGAATAAAATCCAATATGCTTACGGCCGCTCTCAGAGAAGCCAAGCACTACTTAAAATTATTAAAAAAATATTGGTTAATAGAGCACTAATCAAATTAGTAGAGTACATTACCCAGTCTCAACTAATTTAAAGTAAAAAAACACACTTAAACATACTTTGTATTCCTTTTGTAAATAAATAAAACATTTGTTTGTTATCGAATTATTTATATATTTTTTATGTTAAAAGTTGCCAAACGAGCAGACGGTTCACCTGATGTTAAGTGAACACCGTTGCCCATGGACATCTGCTACACCCGAGGTTTAGCAGATGCGTTGACCTTTTTGGAAACTGGCCATTACTGGGCATTATAGATACATATAAAACCCAGACACCAGAATAAGAGTACACTTTCCAGTATTCTGGATCGAACTGATGATCAATAACTAAGCAATAATTAGTATCTCAGTAGAGCCGGCCACTATACTTACTCCAAGCACTCTACTTCGGCGCTGAACAAGTCCTCGTCACAGGTCACCGCGCCCCTCTTCAGTATTTGCATGAACGATGACGTCACAAATCTGTTCAGATACCTCTCCCTGCTTTCTTTGGCGGGAATCAAAGTCGGGTACAACATGAGCCCGGTCACAGTGCTAATTAGGGCGCCTTGTTCGACTCTAGCGGCCATCTCCCTGGCGATATCGTTCAAGTTGGTGACGCTATATATTATCTGCGATACAGACAGCAGCAGCGGCTTCGCCAGGTCGGGGAACGCTTCGGAATACGTCTTCTCCACGTTCATATAGAACGCGCCAACCGAGTGCAACCAAGACGCGGTTTCCCTGAAGACCGTTTTCGCTCTCTTCGTGACGTTTTTGTCGACCCTACCGGATTGCGAACTGTCGTAAAGGTGTTCGCATATCTCGATCAGGTTCGTGCATATCGCTGTGGTGGTTCTCTCGGATAGTACAGATTTCGTGAAGTGCTTGCAATCCTGTAAATATTATTAATTATTATTAAGTTCATTACTCTTTTGCTATTCTAAGTTTTTATTACAAAAATAAAGAAACGAATTAAGTAATTGCTAGATATATTATTATGAATCTTATTTAAACGCAATTTATTACTTTTTAAACTATATATACAAGTAATAATATTTATGAAAAATGTATTACTGTCACGCTCATAATGAAAATGGCAGTATTAAAAAGAATTATGCAACATTACCTTCGCGAAACTACCGTACGAGGGTTCGTTTGGTCGGAAAGTATTGCCAGACGCGTACTTAAGCACCCCTTTGGCGGTTTTATCCTTCAATTCAGCGAGAATAGTGCAATAGGGATGTACTCTATCCAGCCTTTCCTTATTATCGGCCAAGCTCCGAACGGGGACCTGCGAGCTGCTTTCGATGTTGCCACTCTCTAAAATGCATCCGGAAACAACACCCTGTATGTAATACACGCTGAGCAGCGTATCGAACATCTTCACGTCGTCTTCTATGTATTGCACTTTTAGGCGGTGTTTCTCCACGTGGTCGATTGGGCTTATTTCGGCCATTACTTTGACGAACGCGAAGCTCGTCAGTACAGACAGTTTGGCGGTCAGTATCCTCGCCTTAATCTTCGATTCGTCGCTTCGAGAACTTTCTCTCATGAGTTTTTCGAGGTCCTCGTACGCTTGAGAGGATTTAGTTATAATATCGACGAAGGTAGCGTCGTTTTCGAAATACTCCCTAATGTGCGTCTCTGTTATGTGGGTAACGGTGGAGTTCGGATCGATACGCAGTCTGTCACGTAAAAAAGATTTAATGTGATTCATCAGCTGTTCAAATTTTTTCGTTTCGAACTCGAAGTCGGATTTCCTGTAAATTGCAATTGTTATTAATTATTAAACAGAAAATCTCTGCCCACTTTGTTGACTGGGAGAGAATGCCCAAATGGACAAAGTCCGCCCTTTGTAATCCTTTTTTTTTAAGGTTTTGCAGAAATAAATGAATTAATTAATATCGTAAATATAATTACAGTTATCTCAACCATCAAACTTTTTAACTTTATGGAGACAGGTACATATGGGATGTAATATTTCTGGCGAGATTACATAAATAAATGTTGGGTCTGGTAACCTTTAGACACTTATTATTTGAAAAATATAAATGGACATTCTGATGACTGAGACGTCTATAGTGGTTACTGGGGTTAGGACATTCGCGTTGCTTTTGAGATGAGTGAGGTAACCGTGGCCCATTTTTTTAAAGGTTGGCAACGCATCTGGTCGGCGGTCACTTAACTTTTATAATCGCCTATATTAACCTATAACATTTTCATCTTAGCATTTCATACACTGCCAGCTAAAAGTTTGAGACCAAAAAGTTGTGAAAATAAAATATTTGTAACCAATAAAGTATTTGAATATGGTAAAGCTAGTTTGTACACCAGCATATTCTATTGTTTTCAAAAATATTAAAACTAATAGTTGGTCTCAAACTTTTGGCCAGCAATGTATATTACACCTCAACCAGAATAATTAGCAAATATTTTTGATTGAAGTGTACTGTAACTTTTTAATTATTGTCCTTGCTGAGTGGCTACTCACAGTTTTAAAAGAGCAGCTGTATCTAATGCCCCTATATTCTTCCAAAGGATGTTGAGGACACTGCCTAACTGCATAGAATATTCAACTCGATCCTTCAATGACACCGATTCATATGCCAAAATGTGCCGGGAGCCTGTAAGCAATTTAATATATATCTTCCCCATTTTTCACAACGATGATATTACATGCTCTCATATTTACATATTTCCTACTTAATAAATAATTTAGTACAGAAGTAAACAAGCATCAACATTGTTTACTTCTTAACTTTAACGCCCGGTTTCTGAAACACTGATTATCATTCTAATCATTAAGAAGGTCATTGTGTTCAATTCAGAGAGTTTACCCATCCTTTTGGCAACTAAAATGACATTTGAAAAGCCATTTGACAGCTGATTAGTTCATTTCTAAGATGATCAGTGTTTCAGAAACCAGGCTATCAGTTCAAGATGCTGTAAAATCGTCAACTCACCCTTGTCACCTGCCGAAATAGTTAACTTTTGAACATAGAAGGGCATCAGAGGTAGATTAGTTGACATTCTCTTGGTGTTCGCAGGAATGTCTTGGGTCGTATCTTCTGGGAGTACTGTTGTTGGATTTAAGAAAGGAAGAGGATACACCACTGGTGAATGGACGAGCATTTTGTATAATTCATCCATTATCCTCACAGGTATAGAAGATATACTGAAAAGCACAAGTAGATGTGATATTATTAAATATTCCGTTTAATAATAAATACGCAAGAAATTGTAATTTAAAGAATGAATAAAGTTTGTTGCTTACCTCGGATAGTTTACTTCTTCTTTCTTTAGTAAAATAAATAAAATTAATCTTAGCAGATGTAATAGTGCTGGTGGAAATCCTTTAATTTCCCTGCCAATATTAACAAAATATTCCAGCACATCTTTGAAATGGTTCGATAATCCATTACTTCCATCATTTGAATTTAATTTGCCCACAATGTTCAATAAATCCGATCTTATTAGGCAAAGCATGCGCTGCATCACATACAAGTGTATGGGCAAAAGTTTCACATGCGACATTTGCACTAAAGCTGTATTCTCTTGAGATTTCAAGGTATCATTAATCATATTTAAAATACTGTTCTCAGGAATATCCATAATAATAGAGGGATCTATGGCAGGTGAAACGGTTGAATACATTTTTGGGAACTGCCTATGAATGGGTTGACCCATATCTAAGGTCAGAGATTTGAATATTTCGGCTCTTTGAATGCAGAGATGCTGTTCCATTTCATTTTCGTATAATTTTGGTTGACCGTATAACTTCCTCAACTTTTTGCTGAGCTTGAGCATTGTCAGAGAATCGTTTTGATCGGTTAAATTCAGCTTTTTCATATCAGCATTGAACTTTTCCAATCCATTGTGATTGGCTGGTAGCTTGAACAATTCCTTAAGTAAGTACTTCTGCAACCATTTATTATGCACACTAAGCAATGGTATGATTTCCTCTTTTAAGACCGGTGCTCTTTTGTTTTTCGCGTTGACGAAAATAGGCATCAGACAGATCTTTACGAAGCGACTCCGCCAGTTCAAAAGCTGAAGGACTTTGCAAACAATTTCGTCGTTACACGAATCATTTGCTAGATTGAGAGCCCTCACGATTTCTTCGTCAACGCGTTTAAGATAGACTGTACAAGACTTCAATATTGGATACTCGACAAAGTCGTCTATCATGTCTTTGGAGAGCACAGCTTTTGAATACTCAAATGCTGAAAAATTGTTCTCGATGTGCATTGTTTTGTTGAAAACCATAAGTAACTCGTTATAGAACAAAACAAAAGCTGAATTCGATTCGTGTGCGTGTTTAGTATTCTGCTGTTCGGATTCCGGGTAGAATCTCTTATGGTTCAACAAATTTCTGTTGTTACGTTTTACGTGATCATACGCCGTTTCGTTTAGTTTATTAATCAAAGACGTTGTATCGTTATTTTCCCCACAGTTCACGTATTTCTTTATCGTGTTGTGTAGAACTTGCAAAATTTGACTGGGAGCTTTTTGGTAAGCGACTAGTATATTGAAGAGGGAATGTAGATCGTCGATTGATTTGGTTGGGCGAGAATGACGTATCGCCGGGAACGCTATCTGATTTGCGATTTCGTAGGCGGAGTTCGTACATAATCCTTTTACCGACAAAGTGTGAATCAAATCGTTTGAATAAATTTCACAATGTTCCGCACTCTCTAGTTCCTTCTCTAAGGCTTTCAACATAGTATTCTTCATCTCGGCTAACGAAACGTTCACGTTGGTTACGAAATCACTGCCCGTTCTCGGTTTTATGTAGACATCGGAGAAACTATTCAGCAGTGCGCTTCTGCACGATATGCCTCGGACGAGTTGCTGCCATATCAGATGCGAGGCTTGTATTAAATGGGATATAGTTGGTCGCTCGAGACCTGTTTTTAAGAGATAAATGAGGTGTTAAAAATCAGAAATTACTTTCAGTACTCAATTACAACAATGGTAGAGTAAAGCACTTTGTTTAAAAATGGGTAATATGCTGATCATAATGATTTGAAAATCAATATTATGTATTTCTGTTTAGTTGTTAGACAAAATTATGATCTTGTCGAGATCAATTATTTTAAGTAGTATCTCTACTAGTTTACAGTTTGATACTTACGAAGGCTGTTCACTACTAGCATAACTAGTTCAATAATAAAATTAGGAAAATATTTTTGTTACTATACATACCTACAACAAAACTCGATCTAAAGGGGAATAATCCCAAAAAAGATAGTAGTTTAAAAATATGTTGTGTGCCCACAATGGAATACTTCTTACCTTGAATAAATTCAGTCATCAGTTCATGACACTTAATGCATACGGAATAATACTGTTCGGGAAGACCACTAGAGGAGAGCAGTGCTACTAAGTCCAGATATGGCATAGTCTCAGATAAACTGGTTTCCCAATCATCGCACCGTAGGAGAAATAGCTCCACGCCCCGGTTCCTCATTGCCCTCGAGATTTCGCCATACTTGGGATCCATCGTGAAAAACACTCGGAAATTTGGATGTGGCTTTATCTCGCTAATCTCTCCTCGCTCGGGTATGCTGAGAACACCGTCTGGTTCCAGTAGCCCGTTAAGCCTGTCTAACACAGCGGCTGACGTCAAATTAACATTATCCAATAGAAGCCACGACCCTTCCATCAGTGTCTTTACGAGCAAAGAATCAATCCATTCAAACTTGCCACCAGCATTCACAGACGACGTTTGAACTTTATTCCGCAAACTGTTCAGTTTATGTATATTTTTCTGCACTTTACCCATAAATTCGCTTTCCAGTCTCCGTTCCAACAAATCGCTGCAGTGTTTTAATAGAAACTCTATTTTCGCGATAAACTTATTGCTGTCGCTAATGTCAGGTGTTTTATCACTTACGAAGTCTGTCTGGAGAGTTTTATAATAATGTAAATTGCTTAGCAACTTATTCGTCTTCCATTTCCCAACTTCCCCTGTCAGCCACAAATTGCGTACAGTGTATTGAGTCAATGTGTCTATCTCGTCAAAGATGTTCTCTAGATTTCTATTATAGTCAACTTGTTCGAAGCCGCCCAGGAGATCAGACACATCCATAGCGGATGTCACAGGCACCACATAAAGGTCGTGTCCCACTAAATCTGCTAATATTTGAATCACACTGCTTTTTCCCGACGAAGTCGCCCCCACTAATATTGTCAACCAATTCATTTTGATATTTTGTGCAACTGCCTTCATTGTTGACATTTGGTTGCGCAATAGCAGTAAGTTTGATTCCAACGCACGTCTGTTTTTGAACGCTTTCTCCTTATTCCTCTTTAATTTCACATCCCCAATTACGATCTCTTCGTCATTTATATTAAATTGAGGGTTGGTGTCGCTTCTTGGATATTCGGGACAAAATATTTCATCGTATGTTTTTATCATTTGATTTTTATCCTCAATTGTTCTCATCCTATTAATATACAGCATATCAACGAACTTTCCCGGTACAACCTTATTGCCAGCATTTAAATCAGTTATTAAGGCTTCACACCATCTTTGTATATCTCTCAAGTTCATTTCCCAAGGACCTCCCCTGTGTCCCCAAGATTGATGCACAGTGACATCGTGGGCAACTTTACAATTAAAATTCACTATTCTATGTAATATATCTTTAGAAAGCATTGGATACTGTGATTCAACGATATAAATAAGGTCTTCTTTCGTCAAAGTGTCAATATACACTTGTGTGAAGCGGTTTAAAAATGATAAAGGCAGTCCTCTGCGAGCACCGCCTTGTTTAAGAGGATTTTGGCATGCAAATAATTTTGTCTCTTTCTTGACTTTGAATGTCTTTCCCAATTCAGGTATGTAAATTTCACCTCTGTGATCTAAACAGGCGTTTAAACCCTCTAAAACCGGTTGCGGGGCTAAGTTAAGTTCATCTAGCAATATCCAATCTCCATTTTGAAGAGCACTCAAAAAGGCTCCTTCTTTGAAAACAAATGATCCGTCTTCAGCGGGAAGGTCCGTTCCGAATAAGTCTGTAATGTCCTGAAAAAAGAATTTAAATTAATATTTTTGCTTTTCCTAATTAAAACTATTAAAGATGCTTATTTACGAATTAATCGAGTTTAATTTATATTTAAATTTCTGAAGCTGTCGAACGCTACAGCGGCTATGGACAGAATGAGTATATTTCTTTCTTAATCTTTTTATTATTTATTTTAGTTCGATTTACGTAGATACACAATCTTGCAAAATTAGAATCTTGATGTCTTACAGTGTTGGTGTGCTTGGACTTCACTACATAGCATAAAACCAAGTCGTCCCAATGTCTGTCTGTGCCTACGTCTTTAAAACTACGCAACGGATCTTGATGCGGTGATTCAAGGGGAAGATTTATATGTATAATACATTGCACCCGTGCGAAACCGGGGAAGGTCGCTAGTAATGTTATAAATTACAGGATAATAAGTTGATAATCCCAACCATGATCTCAATTGAAATTAGGATGTTTCTTTATATTTACATATTAAAACCCCAAAACAAATTCTGCCCACTATCGTTCTAATTTTAAATAAACTAAAGGGAATACGATCTGTAAAATCTTACTGTTTTTAAAAATAGACAATTCTTTTTTTTTTTCGTGTGAGAAGGTGGCAAGCGAACTGGTGGTTTACCTGATATTAATTGGTAACGACCGCCCATGGACATTTGCAACACCCGTAAGATTGCAAATGCGTTGCCACCGTTTAATAGAGTGGGCCCCGGTCACCCATCTCACCAGACGAAATGCAGAAGGTCGTGGTAATTCCCCGAACGGACCTGACCATTTGTAGAACAGCCAACTGTTGACTAGCACACAGTTGATAGAATTCGCGTAAATGAAAAGAACACTTACAGTTTGATCACTTAAATTGATGCGAACCACTTTGTGGCCTGAAGACTTTGCCAATGCTGTGACTAAACTAGTCTTTCCGACTCCTGGATTTCCTTCCAAAAGAATGGCTTTATTCAATTGCAGACCCCGTAATAATCTTAGTGTGTTCGACGCTGTCGTTGGTGCAGTGAACGTAAATTTCCGTTCTACATCGGTTTCTTTTATGTGATTTCCAACATCGATGAAAAATGGTTTTATGCCGAATTTAACACCGTCACATTCGGCGCTTAAGATTGAAGATTTTGAATTCAGGAAGTCTTTTAGGCCCTCTTCGTATTCGTTATCGATTGCTCTAATCTGTCTCAGCAAGAACTCAACGGCCGATTTCCTTAAAGTAGCCAGAGCTTCAAGGTCAACGTGTCCAGTCAACGCCGTCCCGAAGCAGTCCAAGAACGTCATACACGCCCCATGCACGTATGCTTCAGGGACATCCAGAAGCCTCTTTGCAACAGACACATTTATGAATTGAATCCACGACAATAAATCACGTATACTGAACGGGAACTTGTTCGTAACTTCAGAACTTTTCAACCAACTCGTGAAATCCAATATGAAACTGCCGATGCCGGAAGTGCCATCCTCTTGGTTGCCTAAAGCAATGCCTTTCTCGACGCTCTTCTCCAGGACTTTCAGGAGATCCTCTCTGGATGTGACACTGTCACACCAAATTTCGGTGAATCTATTCCGCAGGGCGGGCGACAGCTCTTTCTTGCCGAAATCCCCGCCGGGATTCATGGTCCCAATGAAGTGAAAATTTTTAGCGGCAGTTACGACGAGAATATCCGCTCCGTCTTCCATCCCTTTCTCGGCTAACACCAATTGCCTTTCGGGTTCTAGTAAAGAGTTCAGTCGTTCCAAAACACTGTCATCGGCTAATGAAATTTCATCGGCCAAGAACATGTGACCATTCTCCATAGACGAAATTAGCGGTCCGTCTACCCATTCAAAGAGTCTGCCGTCGTTATTGTACTGCCGCACCGGCCGAAGACCTCCCAGGAAATCGGAACTCTCCGTGTGCATGTGGCAATTCACCGAAAGCAGTTTTCGATTGCTGATGGCCGCCAGCACTTGACATATGGTGGTCTTCCCGCATCCAGTTTCACCGACAAGCAACACGGGTTCGTCAAACACAAACGCTTTAGCGATCAAGACGGCCAATCTCCTCATGTTATAAGTCCACACGACATGCGAGAACTCGGCTAGATTGTTGTTGAGTATTATCTCCAGAATGTTTTTCGTTACGGGTGACGTATTCTGGTGTAGGCTGAACAAATTCTCCGGGCTTACCTTCCGTTTGATATGTTTTTCAATTACCTCCTCTATAATGAATCTTTCGTCCGCCTGACGAACTTTGCCGGCCAATATTAGGTAGCCTTCATCGGCGATGTGTTGGTCCCAATCGTAAAACTTATCGGTAGTCAGCACTTCTTTTGAAACATGTTTATACCTGTTTCCCCACCTGAATAGGTCCCTCAGGGTGATAAAGCCATCCTTTCCTTGTACTGCAGCGGAACCCCTTCGCCTGACTTGCAAATCGGCCATTACGGCGATCATCTTTTTGCTGTAAGTGGGGGGAACATGGCATCTCTGGTGCAGAATGGTCTCCAGTTCACTCCTCGGGATTTCGTCAAAGTGGAGCTCAACGAACCTGTTTCGGAACGCCCTGGATAACATTTTTCGCCCACCGTACAGGCCGGGGGGGTTTTGTGTGGCGAAGAGCATGAAATTGGGGTCAGCTTTGACGACTTCCTGCGTCTCCGGTATGAATAACTCGCGATTGTCATCAAGAACACGGTTAAGAGCCTCGAGCACATCACTAGGCGCTAAATTCAATTCATCCAGGATGATCCAATAGCCCTTCCTCATAGCCTCTACCAGTACACCTTCTTTAAAAACGAGATTGCCGCTCGAGTCCGTCGCATACGATCCAATGTACTCTTGCAAATCAGTGTGTTCATGGTTATTGATTCTCACGCAGTAATTTCCAGAAGCCCTAGCAACGTAAGTGATAAGTGACGTTTTCCCCACAGAAGTATCGCCCTGCAGTAAAATGGGCAAACGCCCTAGTGACACTATACGGGCTATGTCTCTTAGATTCTTCCGTACTGTAGGGGTTAAAATATATCCGTCTGGAATGTCGATATCTAACTTTCCTTGTGGAATCCAATGACCTTCAAAAAGCAAGTAGTTTTTCCCTGGAACTTGAGGCTCGGGTATAGCTTGGTTCAATACACTTCTTATGTTCTTTTTGCCTATGACGGCTCTGTAAAAAAGTACGTGTTCGTTATGACATGGCAACGTAACTTATTTTTTAAGGATAAATGTGAAAAAAAAAAAAATGATAAACTTACCTCGCCACCATAGACTCTACTTTTGGGTGCGACGAGCGATCTAGTTGAGTAAGAAATGATAGGCAGAATGCTTCATACAGAGACCTAGCCACTGTTCCACATTTCGCTTTGGCAGCTGCCGTCAACGCTCGACACAAAGTTCTCAGAGAATAATGCGGGGCGTTACCTGAAAGAAAATAATGGAATAAAGTGGCTATTTACAGCTGAATTTATAAAGTCTAGGATTACTTCTAATTCACTCACCAGCTCCATCGATTAAGTTCAATTTGGCTTCTTTTTTAACAGTAGAGTAAAAATTGTAAATAGCTTCTAGAATGGCACCACTTAAGTTCATATGATACAAATATTCCCCGATAAGAAGTATCAAATCATTCCTTTCGGTCAGTTCGTCGACGAAAAACTCGGTGAAACGATTCCTCAAACCAACGGGTAAGTCTTTCTTACCCACATCCGTAGGTGGGTTCATGCAGGCGAACAAGGTGAAATCTGGATGACGCTTAATGGGTACCTTGTCGCCCTTTTCCAATAAATCGATGCTTTCATTTTTGTCCTCTAACAGACCGGCCAAACATTCCAATATTTCGGCTGAGGCTAAATTAATCTCATCCAACAGCACCCAATGACCTTCTTGCATTGCTTTCACCAAAGAGCCCTCTATGAAAGCAAACGTCAGCCTAGTAGCTGATTTCACTTGTTGCTCCAACTTAGCAAGTTTGTGGCCGAAGGTTAGCCAACGTTTCAATTTATTCTCTACTATTTCTTTAGACAAGCGATTAACAGCGGCTTTGTGGCTTTGTTTCATCAAAGCGACAAGTGCCGTCCAATTCTCTGTTTCGTAGCAAGTTTCTATGTGGCCGAGGAACCTCTGATTCTTATCTGTGTTGTAGAAACCTCTGAATAGTTCGAGAAACTCATTTTTTATAGGTCGTATTACGAATTTCAGATCGACGGGTTTGTAGCCGCCGAGCAAATCTGCGGAGTCAGATTGTTGATTCATATTGATCACTACCAACTTATGACCTGTTTGCCGCGCCAGATATTGTACTGAGGAGGTTTTTCCAGTACCGGTTTCTCCGACCAGAAGCACCGGTTCATTAGCTGTGACACAGCACGCGATGCGCTCAAGCAAACAGGCAGATTGCCTTGTGAATGAGAACACTTCCTGTTTAATATCAAAGTTGATTGTTTCTAAGCTTTTTTCCACTCTAGGCACTTTGGCTCGGCCAACATCTAGGGATGATGGATTCAAAGAGACTTTAGGTTTGTAATGTTTGCAATAAAATTCCGATTTAGTTTCTACAATTCCCAGGCAGGTACCCACTTTCTTTGCTAACTCCAACCTGTGGGCGGGTGATGATACTGAACATGTGAAAATGTCTAAAGCGTCTTGTAGTACCTTCAAAGCAGATTCAGGGCTTGCCACATCAAATCCCACCACTGCTCTTGAACACCATTTCATTAAATCTCGTGTAGATATAAGTCTAGAGCCTCTTAGTAATACCATATTTGATTCTTTATCTGTATTGGGAACAGTTGCAGTTGTTTGTAATGAAGTGTCATGGCTACCTACAGAGAACATCATAAATACTTCAATTATTCTATGACAAATTGACGAAAGACTTGGATACAACTTATGAATGATTTCTGCAAGCTCGGATCTTGAAAGTGGTTCGATATTAATTTGAGTTAAATGCCTTTGTAAGAGTGTGCTTGAATTTGACATCTTCTTTTGGAAACCATAGTTTGTTGTCACTGTCCTACAAACAAAAAAAAACTGGTTAGCTAATAATTCTAAGAACACTTTATACTGTTTTAATGAAACAATACAGCTCTAAGAAATATACATAATAAAATAATTAAAGTACATATTTTAAATTGTCACCCTTTTTCATCCAAAGTTGGCAATTTAAAAATGCAAAGGAATTTCTTATTATTTCTTCTTCGCTAAAATTACGCAATACAAAAATTAAAATCATGATTTACCTTTGTGTAACAAACAATTGAAAACCTGGTGTAACTGGCAATGCATCTCTATACCCAGGCACACAAAGTGTATTCCTTTCTAAAAGCGAGCTAAGTGTGGATGCAACATCTAAAGCTGCACAGTCAATATCTTCTAAAAGCAGCCAATGGCCATTTTGTACAGCCTGAAACACAGATAAGAGCAATTTCTTAAAGCTTCTACAATTGAAACAAGTAATACAATAAAATTATTAAAGCTTTTTTTAACTGTAGTAAGGCCATGCTGCAGCCTCGGCTGTTGCACGAATGGGCAGGCTCGTCCGAGTACCACAACCTCACAGAAGACTGGCGTAAAGTGGAAGTATAACAAATACATTCGCGTTTCGCCTGGTGAGTGAGGTAGCCTGCTCAATCTTTAAAAGGTTGTCAACGCATCTGTAACCGGGTGGCGGATTCACTTCCGGTCAATCGCCTTCTCGCTTAGCAACTTTTCACATAAAAAAAGTAAGATATTGTTAACAAAATCCTATAATGCCTGAACTTATGTCAAATTGGTGTATGTACCGACTAGTTTTGGATCTAGCATAACGCCGATGACTCCATGGCGTAGTTGCCAAGGTATTGACTTCGACGTCAGGGGCTTATTTTTTATTTCCACATGAGACAACTATTTGTAGTGAAACACAGATAAATGCTTCGGATTTGAGTGTTTATCCACATGAAATTGATTTATGTTAAACATCCTTACAATAAATGAAAGGGGCAATATTTTCCAAGGGAAAACTACAATAGATCTTAGAGGTCGCAGTGGCTGTTGGAATTTACTACCCAACCCTACATATCATACAATACAATCATTATCGTCGGCACATCCCGTGCCCTCCGCTCTGTCGAGTCGTGTTGGCCGCGCAGTAGCAGATGGGGCGCAATTTTTGATTGGACCTGATTTCAGCTGTTTTCCCTAGTTTTTTTTTCTTTTTACTATGGCTTAGCTGACATGTCAGTAATTTTGCCAATAATTCAGTACTTTGAGATCAACATGATGAATGTTTTTTCCTTAAGTAACATAGTTTCATTCTAGTCCTTGTAGTCATTTTCATATAAGTTTAATTGTTTGATTTGTTTGTGACCCATCAAATCAGTGGCCCTTTAATTTAAACTGCTTTTTTTGCTTTCAGATAATTAATCACCCTTTTTTAATTTTAGAAAAAAACATAGTTGAAACAAATAAAAGGTTACTGACCTCTGTCAGAACTCCAGGACTCCATATAAATTCACCAGGTACATCAGTACATTGATGAGATCCAAGCAACATTCGGGAGTCAGTTTGATCGCCTAATTGGATCTTCTTAAAGGCAGACCCTTTTCGGCCCGTTATTGCAGCTAAATACTCCACAAGGCATGTTTTCCCTGATCCCACCGGTCCCATCAAAGAAAGTGCTTGGCCTTAAATAAAAGATCAAATAAATAAGCACTAAAATATTACTAATGATGGGGATATGACTAAATAAATATATTTTAACGTAAACCATATGTAACATATAATTAATGTAAACCATATGCAGTCCAATTTTAAGATTTTTATTTTTTATTGGTTATTTAGTAAGTATTTCATAAAATTTTAAGTGGATACACATTCTTGATATTAGTAAATAAAATAAAGTGATTAGTTGGATTAATAAAATAAGAAATGGACTTGTTAAATAATTTATTCTGTATTATATGATAGAAAATATATTTATTTATGATACACATGAATGTATTAACTAATACTATTATTTTAAGATTTGTAGAAATAAAACAATAAAAATTAAATATTACCTGAGGCTACGGCAAGTGCTATGCTTCTTAAATTACTTACAGTAGACTTTACAGGAACAAGGCAACTTGGCTGTACATTATTGTTGTTGTAAATTGGTAACATAATACCATCTATATTTATAACACTAGTAGTGTTTAAGTTCATATCTGTTAAACTTTCTTCATTCACCAATGTTACTACATTTTTATTAGTCTGATTAATTTCCAAACATTCTGGCTGGGATATATTAAGAATATTTCTTAATATATTGGATTGAGCTTCTGTCATATTTGTTAATATAGCCATACATTCTTTTACCATCCTGAAAACCATAAATATGTTTTTAATATTTTATTCTTTACAGTTTTTAATTTAGTTTTTGTTTTTTAAGACATACCATCTTATTTCAACATTTTCATGATGACAAAAGTTGGTGACAAAGTTTGTCCAGTCCCATTTTGATGAGAACTCATTAGGTAATTTTGACAACAGTGTATAACAGCAATTCACAATTCTATAGTCTGTGATCTTTTGCCGGCAATCCAGGAGTCTTCGTTTTTTTGGTGCAACATTATATGAATCCTCATGGTGTATGAACACCTCAAATGGTGGCACAGGATTAATTTGAAAATATTTGAGAGCATATCTAAAATAGCACAAAATTCCATCATTAAGCAAAAACCATTAAAAAACCAGTTAAACATATAAACACACTCATTCAAAAATCACTGACAAATAAATTCAGCTGGTCTAAAAGATGAATTAAGGCTTCCTTATATATATATATATAAGCATAAGACTTTTTCGTTAAAAATATTCCATTTGTTAATACAAGTCAAACATTCAGTTTTTCACTCTTAGTGCAATACATTGATACTCAAAAACATTATTTATAAATTAAGATAAATTAGATTTTTTTTATGTGAGAAGGTGGCAAGCGTGCTGGCAGTTCAATGTTAATTGATAGTTGGCTGCCCATTCATATTGTTTGTGGACAGATCTGCCCATTCGTGCAACAGCAAAGACAGTTCAATAGCCCTACTACCATTCAACAACATTTATCTATTACAAAGGTTAAATCACAGAGGTTAAATTCAATAATTTCTCAAAATCTAAATATTGGTGCAAATTTTAACTTTGTATTTATTGTTTTGGTTATTTCTCTATCCTTTAAAATATGTGTGTACTTAAAACATGCAAAACACTATTATAATACTACTTAATTACCAAATTAAGAAAGTACTTACTGTAGTATATCAGGATGATCACATAGCGTTGCCAAGACAATGGAAAATTCTAAATGGTTAGTTTTTTCGGAATCATTACAAATATCATTGTTGAAATGAGAAAATACTGGTTTCAAAGGTATCCTAGCAGATACCAAAGCTAAAAGTGAATTAGACAAATGTTTTCTAAAGAGTTCAGCATCTTCAAAGTTTAAAACGTACTCAGACAGAATGTTAATAACTTCTTCAAACTTCATACATTTTCTTAAGAATGCATCCTGAAAAGTATTTAATAAAAGAGGTAAAGTTTTAATTTAGTTTATTAACACGACTAAGATAAGTAGTTTAGTAATAAATTGTACTTTATGTTATAAATATTGGATAAGCACTGACCCTAATATGCTGACAAGTTTTCGCCAAGTTTGGATTTTTAGTGGCCGCTTCAATTCTTTCAACTGCTTCGATTGTTTTTTCGGACATTTTATCATGCCTTTGAATGCTAATAAACGATTTGGCTTACTTTAAATACAAGAAAATTAAAAAACAAAAATAAAGCTTTATTAGCCGGTAAACAGCTCCAAAACACACCACACGTGCTTTTTAAGATTTTAAGAATGGCAATGACAATTGACATTGACATGTGTCACTACAACTTGACAGCTTTTTTTTTATTCTAGACTGATCAACGGCTTGTGATCTGTTTCTATTGTTACATCGCTCCGTCCATAGATATAACTATAAAATCTTTCGCACGCATAAACACAAGCAAATAATTCTTTTTCTATTTGTGCATAGGATTGCTCGGATTTTGACAACGATTTTGACGCATATGAGACTGGTAGGTTATTTTGAAGTAAACAACAGCCTAAACCGTGCTTACTAGCGTCTACGGAAATAACTACTGGTTTTTCGAGACTATAATATTGCAGGACCGGAGGATTCGTTAAATACTCTTTTATAGTGTCAAAACACTCTTGATGCCGATGGTCCCAGTGCCATTTTACAGACTTCTTTAACAATTCTCGTAAAATATATGTTTTTTCAGATAAACTTGGAACGAATCTACCAACATATGTAACCATACCTAGAAAACTTTCGACGTCTTTTGTATTTTGTGGTGTAGGAAGCTTTTTTATGGCCAAAATATGACTGTCGTCAGGTTTGATGCCAGCGTTAGTAATCTTGTGCCCTAAATATTTTAACTCTTTTAACCCAACTTTGCATTTTTGACGATTTAGCTTAATATTTATCTTCCTACATCTATCCAATACGGCTCTTAGTCTTTTGTCATGATCTTCTTTAGAATTTGCGTATATCAATAAATCATCTACAAAAAGTATAACTCCTTCCATATCGTTAAAATGCTCATACAATTTTCTATAAAATATCTCTGACGCAGAACAAATGCCGTATGGCATCCTAAGAAATTTAAATCTACCAAAGGCCGTGTTAAACGTGCATAAATCCGTACAGGATTCATATAACGCTACTTGCCAAAACCCATGCTTTGCGTCTAAAGTACTGAAAACTTAGCCCCCGACAAACTGGATGTTATTTCTTCTAAGGTTGGTAACTTAAAGTGCTCACGACGAATGGCTTTGTTGAGGTCCTGGGGATCTAGGCATATACGCAGGTCACCGTTAGGCTTTTTCACTACCGTCATACTGTTTACCCAATCCGTTGGATGTTCGACTTTGGCAATAATACCTTGCGTCTGCATTTCTTGTAATTTACTACTAATTTTATCTTTTAATGCTAATGGTAATTTTCTTGGTGCATTAACAACTGGTCTAGCATCCTCTTTTAACTCGATGTTATAATATCCTGGCAAACAACCTATACCTGTAAAAACGTCTGGATATTCATCTAAAATTATATTTTTCTTTTCTACAGTGAAAACTCTTTTAACTAAGTTTAACTCCTCACATGAATTCTTGTCTAAAATTGGAACCGAATCCGACTCGACCACAATAAACTGTAAAATATGAGTGTCCATTTTATGTTTCACTTTTAGAAAACACTTGCCTATTACTTTTATCTCACCTCCTGAATAACCTTGTAGCTTTAAGGATGTACCTGTCAACTGAGATCGTTGAATATTTAATTCTTTCAATTTATTTATAGGGAGCACATTCACGTCAGCACCGGTATCTAATTTAAAAGTTACGTTTCTACCTCACATTTGTAGACACACTAGCCAGTCGTTACACATGGTATTTAAATGTTTATTTACCTGATCGGAAGAATCCTCGCGCACCTCATAGACTCTACACATCCTTGAATAGTGGTTGAACTTTTTACATTTTAAACATTGTTGTCCATATGCTGGGCATTTAAACTTTGCATGGGTTCGACCACACTGTAAACAACTGCGATACGTTGCCGTCGGTGTATACGACCCCCTCCTCTCCTCTCGTTGACCTGAACCAGTTTGATTCCCTCGAGCACTGCGTGAGTCCTGATACCGCTCCTGTTGTCCTGACGGGCCTGGGCGCGACCACTGTGCGCCCGTTCTCGCGCGCGATGACCTTGACTGCTGCGCTCGGGACGATTGATGTTTCTTTTTTATCATATTAAGATCCCCATGTTGTTGTGTTACTCCTTGCTTTCCGTCCGATATTTCATGAACGTGGTGACTGATTGAACTTTCTGTTTTTAAGTTTACGGCTTGAGCGCGAGATAATTCTGCTAAATTGCAAATATCTACTGCCTTTTTTAAGGTTAAATCGGGTTCTCTTAGCAAGCGTTCTCGCAAAGAACCGTCCTTTACTCCACATATTAGCCTGTCTCGTACTAGGTCTTGGCATAAGTCTTTGAACTCGCACTTCACCGCCATTTTGTTTAGCTCGAACACATACTGCTCGACAGACTCGAATTCAATCTGATCTCGTGTGAAAAACCTGTGCCGCTCAACCGTTAAATTCTTTTTTGGATAAAAGAAATCGTCGAACTTTTCTAATACTTTATTAACCGTTTCATATTTCCCCGCGAACTGATCATACACGTCCCTACATTTTTCACCGATTATATGAAGTAAAATGTTTATTTGGACTTTGGGATATTTTTTACTCAGTTCACACGCTTCTTAATAAATAATGAAACTCTGCTTCCACCTTTCACACTCTCTACTCAAGTTTTCAGATGTCACGTTCACTACATTGTTCTCGAACATAAACGGTTGCGGTGGTTGTAAAATTGCCTCCATTGTACTTCAAACTGTTCGTATTTTTTCACTTTTCGCACTTATTAATTTAGTCTTTACTTAATCACTTCTCTTTTACTTCTAATATTATTCACTTCTAATATACGTTAGTCCTCTTGAAATACCGGCTGCGCCATGTTATGTATGTTGTAGGGGCACGGGGAACGTGAGTTAAAGACGAGCGCTGCGTTAAGACTGTTTTATTAATTCGTTTTCCATCCACCCTCAACATGCTAATACATAATATTATGACAAATTATTATAAAAGCGTTTCTTAATTATTAGTTTAGGACTAGACAACGTTGTGTAAAATGTGTCCAAAAATATTATAAAAAAAATATGCAACTAAATAAAAATGTACTCTGTGGTGTCGAAAGTCATTGTCAAATCAAGTTAATTTTAAAATTTTGGCGGGTTTCATTACAGTTCCGTTCAGAGTTCAGAGGGTAGATTTATACTAGTTTTTGTAGGTTATTACTTACGATTTCATTAATAGTTATTAATAGTATATTAATCTATTTATAAAATTTTGTTGGACCACTATGATCATTAACTATTGCATGTATCGGTGGTATTTAATTATTTAAAAATTTTAAATCATTACATAAATAACATGGACAATTCTCAAACATCTGATATTTTTTTGGAAAATAGTATGACCGAAGATAGTTCTGTTATCGTATCCTTTTTAGGCATACCATATATAAATCACAAGTTATGATCACATTATTTTCCTGAACGTTTCTACCAGTATGAACATGAATCTTATGATGGCTTATTTTTAAGGACTAAAAAGTTCTTGTCCACTGAATGTGCCCTGGATGAACGGAAATTTTCCCTTCATTTATCGTCATCAATAGATGATTGTTATAACTGCATTTCACAGGTCAGATAATGTGTTAAATACGAACAGCTTAATGAATTTTATAAATTTCAAGAATATATTATAATAAAAATGATTTCAGTGTTTAGAAACAATAAGCAGTTTATTAGACAATGCAGATGTTAAATTGCCTGAAATTCATACGTATATGGAAGATGCAATATCTCTTCTGCATATGCTTTCTCATTTTATCAAAAAAGTTATTGAAACTTTGGTCATGACATGTTCTCTTTTAAAGACTTACCCAACAACTACCGGAAAAATAATATTATTGGTGTATACTCATTGCAAAGACAGGTATGTTGTTATTTTCTGTAATAATGATTTATGTTAAAAAAGATTGTTATGTTTTAAAAAGGAATTTATATCATTAATAGTATATAAATATAAGGTTTATATGATTATAATATTTAGATTTATACTCAAATAGACCTACATAAATCTTGCAGTGAGTCTACATATGGTATCCACTTAAATAATGTGGAGAAACAACTAAAGGAGTTATTTCGATCCTGCCATGAATTACAATTGGTTTATTTGATGACATTAGAAAAACATTTCGTATTTGATATTATTAAAAATGAAGATCAAAGTATACTTCTTGAAGGTAACCACAAATATTGATTTTATTAATAAACTGACACCCATCATCCTTAGTAGTTTATTTAATTTTTCTGCTCGTTTTATAACAATTTATTATTGTATTCAAAGGAATTCTACATTTTTAAACTACAATTTAATTAGATTTCATCATAATTATTTAATTTTCTTTTAAGTTCTAATATTTTAAACACTGTTAGGCATCCATTTTCTAACAAACATGAAATTTGAAACAAATTAAACATGATAATTTAAATTTGATTTTTATCACCTTAAATATATGTTGACACAACCACACACACACACACACCTAAAACAGCTCACATTAGTTTTTACTATTCAAGGATTGCTGTGGGAAAGCATATGGGATCTAAAAAAGCACATCATTTATTACACTATACTTTTATTAGCAAATTGTTACCAAATAAAATTACTGATTTACCTTATTTTTGCAGCACTTAACATTAATCTAAGGATTGGTGAAATAGTTCAGGCATTAGATGTTAAAACTATGGCTGAACAATGGAAGGCTAACATTGCTATTTGTGAAAAATACTCTAGTTGTTTTATAGATAAAGATATTTATAACAACTGTTCAGAACTTCTAGCTGCCATGATTGAAGCAAACATTAAAACAGCTCTAGAGGTTGGTTTCAAAAATAGTTTTTTTCTATGTAAGTAAAGAAGTAAAGTAAAAGCTTATATGTGTCCCACTACTGGGCAAAGGCCTACTCTGTACAGGGGCTATTAAGGACATAGTCCACCATGCAATCCCACTGTGGAATAGCAGACTTCACATAGGTATCTGTGAAGTTTTTTTTTGTGAAAACAATGTCCTTCACCATTGAGCATGTGGTAAGTCAGCACTTAAAATTAATATTTATAAGTGTAATAATCCGGGGATGCTCAGTTTGTTTGAGTATATAGAATTAAAAGATGACTCCGTGGCCCGGTTGCCAAGGTATTGGCTTCGCCGTCGGGGGTCCTGGGTTCGATTCCCACACGGGAAAACTATTTGTGCAACCCACAGATAGTTGTTTCGCATCTGGGTGTTTGTCCATGTGAAATTTATGTTTGTAAAACGTCCTTACAACACAGGATAATGTTATACTAAAGTAAGGGCAATGTTTTTATTATACTCTAGCTTAATTTTTCTGTTACCTACTTGGATAAAGTTGATAAATAACATAAAGTGCTTCTTAATAATTGCAGACTAGATAGAAAAGGCACAAGGATTATAAATAATCTTTCTACTATCAATGTAGTAAAAAGTCAATACATTATTAAATAATATATAATCCAAGAATAATTTTTTACAGAATGATAAACAAGAGAAAATTGTTTTGAGATCATTGAAAGTGGCCAGTTTCACCATTAAAATATTACTAAAAGTGAGCAATTTGTTCAAGCATGGATCTAAGAATAATTATGAATGCTTACTACATATGTTTATTAATACATTTATGTAAGTCTATAATCTTTCTTATATGGCTGGTGCCAGTTTTGTCACTGTATCTTATTTTTTTGAAAGAGCAGAATAGACCACAGGATTTCTTGCCGATTCTTCTCTGGTCAAGTTTATGTTTATGTACATCTCAAAATGTACCCAAGCATTGTATTCAGTGCTCACTTTCGAAATTTTGGTCGAATGGATATGATGTAGTTATTCCCAAAGAGGGTTCACGTTAGGTTAGCGAGAAATAATAATTTGAAGAATCTATTCTAGGATATTTTTGGTTGACATTTTTATTATTCCATACGACGAGGACGTCACGAATCCCGAAATTCGTATATATATTCTCTCGTTTTTTCTTCGTTTTGGCTGTTTTTTAAGATTCACTTACTTATTGATAGTCAAAAAACTCTACCACCACTCTATCGTCTGCATATTTCTAATAACACTTCTCATTATATGTATATTTTTCGTACATAATTAAGAACTTGGGTGACAGAATGCAGCCTTGGTGTACGCCTCTTTCTATGTGAAAAGTTTTGGATCTCTTGTTTTCTAATTTAACGAAGCTTGAGCTATTAAGGAACCAATTCTATATATGTAGGAAGGTAACGTGTTGAGGCACGCCCAACAATCAAACGCTTTGGCGTAATATATAGGTAAAGCAAAACACGTTTTGATAATTATATAGATGACGCATGTCCATACTGCGCGGCGTTTCAGTTGGTTCCGCTTTATATTATATGACATATATAAGTCAATGTGACAGATGATATAGAACGTATGATATCGAAAGATAGAGTCTATAGAATTGCAATCCATTACATGAATTGCTGCGGTATGACCACGCAACACTATTCGCTGTTGCACGAATGGGCAAGTCCGTCCGGGTTAGTACAACAACCTCACAGAAAACCGGCGTAAAGTAGAAGCGTTACTCTTTTGCGTTTCGTTTGGTGAGTGAGGTATCCGGGGCCCACATTATTAAAAGGTGATAACACGTCTGCAACCGGTGTTTCAAATATCCGTGAGCGGCGGTTATCACTTGACATAAGGTTACACTTTCACACATAAAAAAATACAGATAAGTATATGTATATTCCACACCGTATACCCAAAGTTAGGTTCAGTTATAGTAAAGGTAGCTGAGTATGAAAGAGGCCCAGCAGTGGTACATATATGGGCTGTTCCTTTACTTTAGGATATAAATTATCTTGCTTGCAGGTGTGACAATTCCATTCTTGAAGGAATCTTGAACAAATCTTCACAACTAATAAGCCAAATGGATTTACTTATATTGAACACGACACAAAGTCTTCTCTCGCAACTGTTACTCGATGAAAGGTTTTTCAATGTTAGTACAAGCGAGTTTTATTTAAATTTTCCTTGCTTTAAATTTATAAAATGAATGTTCATTAATCCACTTCAAAGTTAACACTTATAACTACTTGTTTAGGGATCAAAATCAAATTACAGTTATTATTTTAGTGCATTCTTCAATGTGATATCAGGAATGTGAAGGGTGATAATCTACTCGGATATATTTTGCTTTTAATATCGACCATCAAGGCTATCTTACAAAATAATGAGGACTACAAATCAACATTGTCTAAACCGAGATTAATTGAGTGTGTTTTAAACACTGTACGTTTCAGTGAGTATCTGGTTTCATTGTTATATTATGGAGTCATTGCATTTTGTAGTAGTAATATTCTTATAAATTCAAATTCAAATCTTTAATCAGTATAGAAGCATTACACTTACTTATTGATTGTCGAAATACAACTATCGGTTCGGAAAAGAAAAGCCACTGACCTTAGATAGATTAGGTACGTATAATATTTTGGTCAGGCACCCATAGGTTTACTATCACCAAGTGTGATGTTGCGGAGGTTTTCCATGGGCGGCAATCGCTTTATTTTCGAATTTTATACAAAAACTTTCCAGGCCATGTCTTTTTTAATATGGGATTGAGGTTCAAATTGAAAGAGGACACAGAATCATGCGGTTTGGAGCAACATCTCCTCACTCATGTAGTAGCGCTGTGTATGACTTTGAGCCCGGAGGAATTCGCAGCGGTCGAAAGGAGATTGTACGACGCTGTGCTGGGAATCGATTGCTGTAGCGCGCTGTTCTCTTCCAATTTGTGGATGCTTCTATCCAGGTACGTGTCAACGTCAGATAGGATTAAGAGCTGTATCGTGTCTGCCTGTAATTAACATAAGTACGGTGCAGAAAACACAATAAAGTATATAACTAAGGTGATACAACGTTTAAGTTGAGGAAATCAATATTCTAACTTGTAGAATATTCAACGGTCACCTGATAAACGGTGTTGCTAAACTTATTTCTCCGTTTGCTCGTAATTTTCTTTACAGTGACATCGAGTTATATCATTAAAGAGGATTCTAAACATAGAATCCTCTTTAATGATATAACAAAAAAACTAAATTCAATTAAAAAAAAATCTAAAAATAGGTATGGGATTTTTTCCCTACTGTGAAGCAGTCTATGACATCAAGTTGACAAAGCTTTATTTTAAAGTACATGTAATCAAAACTAATACTACTACTACTACTACTACTACTACTACTACTACTACTACTACTACTACTACTACTACATCATACTAAGACTTGAGTCTAGTCTAGTCTAGTCTAGTCTAGTCTAGTCATCGTCGAGTAAGGGAATCTTATCCTGTAGTTTGTTAATATTCCCGTTGCGAAAGGATATCTTTACCATTTGTTGAATGTGAAACATTAAACAAATGACGTAATAACCTTCTCCATAGTCATAACAACCAAAATAACCTTGCTGTTTTATAAAATACCTATAAATTTTAAAACATTTTTTTCATGTTATAAGGTGGGGGATACAGATGGGTCCCCAACCTATAGAAAAGTGTGTCCCGTTCACCTCACTCACCAAATGAAACGCCAAAGTATAATAATATTATGACAGGCCGTGGTACTTCCCCAGGCGAGACTAGCCGTTTCAGCTAAGCATTTTTTTTTATGTGAAAGTTGCCTCGTTTGGCAACTGCTTCGTGGCATACCAGAGTAAGGGGTATTAATATGTTTATGTACTTAATAATTATTGTAACTAACAAAAGTTTTTTAAGGGTTGCCAGCCACCAGTACACATTATCCACTGTAACGACTCTATGTAAAGCATACGAAAAGTTGGAAACAAACAATTTATTTCATAACTCTCCGCAAGAAGTTCATTTGGCCAATACCATAGCAGGATTATTTGAAAATTTACCAAATGAAGATAAAGTTATGTTCTGCAAACAGATTGAAATTAAAAGCGAGAACAGTTTATTGAGTATCCTTAAGATTAAGAACCTACCAATAAGTATTAGAACTAATGTTGAAGACAGTGTCCTTGAAAAACTTTTGGTAGGTCTTAACAAACTAAGCACAGCAGATCTGAATGTACAGGATATGAAACAATTGGTAAGTTCTAAATATCAGTACGCGGGCGCTCGCCTTTAATTTAGTCGAGTAATCATAGTTCGAATCCCAGTGCCGTAAATAGTTAATTTTAAGTGCTGACTTACGTGCTCAGCTGTGCAGGACAACATCGTGAGGGAATCTGAATATTTTCGAAAAATAAAAGAAATTCAGAATATTTCGAAGATAGGTGTACTCTGCCAATCAATGCCAATCTTGTACAATGCGTACTAGATAACTGAAAAATGTACTTAAACATACTTTTCTTTAGTAAATTAATACATATTATATAAACACCCGGACACTAGAAAAACACTATGTTCATCACACAATATTTCTCCAGTAGTGGGGAACGAACCCACACTCTCTGGCGCAGGAGACAGGTAAACCACTCACTACGCCATTGGTGCGTCATTTTCCCAGCAGTGGGACGCATATCGGTCGCTTATTTACTTTTTTCTTTATTTACCCGCATTCGAACCGAGATGAACCTCATCGTTCACACTATACACAGCAAAATAGTGAAACTATATGCCTGCGTACATCTTTCAGATTTTTTTAGCATGTAATGTTATGTAATTTCACTTTAGTTATTATTATAATGAGTAATTAATTATTCAGAATTGTTGATTAAAACTACTTACTGGATGTTTTCGTGTTTACAATAAATACTGTTTCGTGACCACGGGCCAATGTGTTCAAAACCTCGGGGAATAAGACTATAATTAAAAGCAAAAACATTCGTAACTTGGTTATATATGACAATAATTAAAAATATGAAAGTTAGCCGACTTTCAATGGGACAGTAACTATTCAATACACATAATTCTTTGGTGGGTTGGGTTCTGTTCCGTTTTTATGTCACTACATGGACTCTTGGTTGCTCTCAGGATCACAGTGATGAACCCACGTTTCATCATCGGTAACGATTCGGTCGAAAGTACTATGCGGGTTTTAACCACAGAGCTCTTTTTTATGTGAAAAGTTGCTAAGCGAGCAGACGGTTCACCTGATGTTAATTGAATACCGCGGCCCATGGACATCTGCTACACCCGAGGGTTCCAGATGCGTTGACAACCTTTTGAAAATTGGGCCTTGATATATTTAGATGATATGAAGGATAGGGTTTTTCTGTTAATGTTTTCATCTTATACGGGCATTTTCGAGTACAAGTTTCTCAACGATTCTTCGTTTTCTTCAGTGATGGCATTAACCGGCCCATCAGCACAGGGGTCGTCTTCAATACTCTCTCTACTCCGTTTGAGTTTCTGCATAGACGAGGCTTTGCCCAGCAGCGAGACATGTATATGCTGTTACTTTACTTTTTAACTTATTCTTGTAGTGTCTTTACTAATGAGCTTATTTAATTATTCTCGTATGTATATCACCCTGATACCGAGAATAAATTGAAAGCCCCTCGTAAAATACACTGTGCCATAGATACCTTGTTGCCACACTTAACACAGGACTGTGATTCTTCAATGTTGTTTATAATCTAAATGGGCATTTCTGATATTGTTTTTGCAGACTGATATAATACGAATCTCAGCAACCTGCACCTTCAAGGAACCGAACTTTAGCCTCGAGGAATACATTACAAATGCTTGGCTTAAGGCATGTCCCAGATTATTTTTAGAATTTCCGAGGAATATAGATTCTGGAATTTACTGGTATTACGCTTTCGTGGAGGCTTTAGCTTCTTTGACATCTGTTACAATTGATAAATTTAACGACTTTGATAACGCTGTAAAAGTAAGTATATTATTTTTGTTTAATATGATTTGTTAATGAAATTAACCAAACTAAATAGTTTGGTTAATTTGATACCTTAATTTCTTCATCATAGCCTGTTTAATTTATATCAAGGTTATTTGCAGATACATAACGTACTCACAAGTATAATATTAACGAGAGAAAACGAATTAATACTGCCAGCGATCGCTCTTTATAGCAAAATTTCTCTTTATCTCTTTGCCGATGAACAAAGTTCAGCATTGGATTCAATGATGAATGAAACCATAAGGCATTTGCTGCTAGAAACGAAACCAATGATAAAACGATACTCTCTGGGCGAATTTTCTAAATATAAGCAACGCAAAATGTTCAAAACTGTAGTTATGAAGACAATAATGGAGAGTCCAGAATTGCAAGATATTTGGAATCAGTATAATAATAATCGTAATAATCTAAATGATGAATGGCGACAGTGGACGATAGTAGCGAACTACAGTTTCATCCATAAGTGCGTTGAAATACACCAATACGATGATGATTCGACGTCGAAAAAGAAAACGCAATCTCATAGCAATTTCGAGTTGGACATTGATAATTTGTTCGAAGGCGAAAGTGAATCAGATGAGCCGGCGAGTAAAAAGGCTAAGATGGATGACAGTGAAGCGGAGGTGATTATAAAAAGACTAGAGCACGACTCCTACTCCTTGTCTCAGTGTGGTGAAATTACCGATGAATTGAAAAAGAGGATAGCGGCTGTATGTGGGACACTAAGAAACATAATTTGATGAATTTTGTAAGTTTTATTGATAACTTCAGTTTCTCCTTGGACATATTTTTATCTATTTTGTCTTTGTGGTTCGACGATCCATATGCATTCAGAACATAAAGATGTTATGGAGACACTAAAGTCTTTAAAACATCGATTATCACTATTTATCCCTGATGAAATTTCAGCGGAAAAAAATACCTTTTCGGAATAAAACTAACGCTCAACACGGTACAATAAAACGAATAAAATTTTTACATTTAAATTTATTGTTGTGTTAAAAAAATTTTACAAGTAAGTGAAATATAATAATCATAACCGTATGCAAGGTCAATATTACACTATCATACAATAGAGAAATACGAATGTGTAAGAAGATAAATGTGCGATAATGTTAATCAATCTAGACACGACAGTGTAATATTGGCCCGTGAGAAACTTAAAATAGATTTAATTGATACTCGGAGGTAATAAGACCTTAGCTCACGCGTTACAGTATCAACTAACTTCAGTCGCACTTGTTTTCATCTCATTCAATTCACCGACCGCTGACAAATTTATACCCGTTACAGCTGTACATTACTGTAAAACGCGCATAAATGTCATGTAACACAGCAACAATTACTAAATAACGTCTACTTTGAATACACCTAACATCCATTCTTATAGCTTATTCTACGCATCCGATTGATCCTTTCCGTATTAATTATTGTGATGGCGCCATTGTTCACGCGAAATACTTAAAAATTGGCTAACTAATAATTAATAGAATACGAATACACATATTATTGCCATACGAGACAGATATAGCGAAACTTAGCTAATGCGATTAAGCATAAAGCCCTAAAGCATATTTATACAGCTATAACTTACAAACGAATACATTTACTAAATAAATTATGAAAATAATACAGGGGAGTAAATAGATTTGATATTCATTATCTTAGCTTCGATCTTTCAGTTACAACATGTTTTTATTCTCTTCTATATAATAAAAGCCCTTCTATCCACAGTGTTCTATTAAGTAAAATCTATCTTGTCCATGCTCAGACTTATAAATCCTATATTGAATCCAAAGAATTATATATGATATTTTTAAAGCTTGTAGTTTCGAAACCTTTATACGTATGTGTAATAATAATAAATTCATTTGATTCAGAGCAAAAATACTTGTTTTCTTAGGACGAGCGTCCGTGGCGAACAGTGAGTTTTGACGTAAAAAATTGTCAGGCACATTACGTATGGTTTGATATAAAAACGTCTTTGTGCGAATTTGTATAATCTTAATATACGACTACACGTGGAACAACGCTTTAATAACATTGAAAAACTTTGTCACAACTTATATATTCGACTTTAATCCATTAATCGCGATCATAACATTGGAATGGTTTGTATCTGAGGACATTGAGTTTGTTAACTCATGAAGTTGTATTACCCATCAAAATTCTAAGTTCAATCATAACCCTTTCTATATTGGGTACTATTTACAGTGTATGGTGCTAATATAAATGTCCCACAAACTATAAAACTGTTCGTATTAACAACATTTGAAATATTTTTTCTTAAATGTTCTGAGGATTTGCTAGTTCTTCAGCAACTAATATATCGAGTTTCCCATGGTGGTCACATGCAATACAATCATACTAAGCACCGGGTTTGTAAACAATATTGCACATATACGTAATATAAATAATCATACGTAGTTAACGATTGAAAATGTATTCAGTTATATTATCTATTGCATTACACGAAAACTCTTTACGTAAAAGCTACGTTAATTCTAACACGTTAAGATACAAAACCTACACATTGAAAAATACTTATTTACCTTAGGCCAATAGTAAAACTTACGTCCATGAAAGGAGCTGCAATAAATATTATATCGGATTTTAATAACCTTCGTGGCAACTATAAACTTTCCTTAAACTTAAGAGTCTTGGCACAAATTAAATATCATTTCGGACCTTTTTAAGATATATAAACACGTTTAAACTCCCTTAACCTTAAGCGCTAGTGTAATTCGAAGAATATAATATAGGAAACTCAATTTGCGGGACGAGTGAGAAAGATTTAAATTAAATGTAAAATCACTTAGAAAGTATATAAATAAGGTTACTTAATGACATAGCGTTTAGAAAAGCTAATCGCAGTTAAATTATATAAATACAGTCCTACCGTCTAAATACCCTCAGAACAGTTAATATGTATATAAAATTCAGTTCTTTATTAGGATTATTTGGCATCTATCACCAATAGTACATTTAAACATGGTATACGTAGGTGAGGATACCTATTGGATATGCGCCTCGTCAAAGTAAATCCTTTATTTCTATTACAACAGTCGTTCATGACGACAAATCCCTGCCGAGCCTAAATTTCCTCCGTATCACGCACACATTCGCAAGCTCTTAACCACAATTGTCTTGACACGAAACACACAAACACACACACACACACGAATACACGATTTGACGCATGCACCGCAGCGCCCTCACATCTCATTCAAATGGACCTTGAAACCGATTTGATAATATAAAAATTTTGCTTCATCAACCTTTCGTCCCTCTATCGGAGGATTTTAAGGAATACGACGTATATAATGCAATAAGGTAGGAATAATGAAGAACAAGAAAGAATTGTACTTTTTAAAATTGCACAAAAGCGCCGAAAAAACGAATAAGCTGAAGATAATGCATTAATTTTAACAGTGTGTTGAATAAGCGTTAATATTTAAAGCCCTAAAGCCTAAACAGCAGACAAATCCCAACCGAATATCTAGATTATCTTGAAATTCGTTTTATTTAACCTTAGGTACATTAAAATACACTAGGTAAAAAAGAATGTCTTATAAATGTAAGTATTGAAGATACTTAAAAATTACGTATCGTAACAAGATTGCAAAGGAAATTATTTTACATCCTTCTCAGGCGTCTTAACATAAACGGACTTGAACCTTATAACGGTTTTCAAAATATTTATTTCTAGTTCTTACAAGTTATTGATTAATTAAGATCACATTTCAGTTAGAGCTTCCAGTAATGTTTACCTCGGTAACATACAAGTATAAACATAGTAACAGCTTGACAGTTGTAAGTTCGCACAAATAAGTATTAAGAAAGCGGTCACAAACAACAAGGGCGTAACATTGACGCAGGAAGGAGACGTTTACGTACAATTTACTTGCGATTAATATTTGCAATCGATACGAGGCGATTGAAGATTTAAATCGATGTTTTATAAACTTCAAGTTTTTAAATCTGCATCAATTCAAAACGAAGCACGTCACTTATGGCGCAGAGAGCGTTGGCGTTGTTTAGGCAAAGGGGCGAATTACAAATGGTTTCTTATTAAAGAGTAAGTTTGTATCGAAAATCTAAGATTTTGGTATTGACGAAGATCACGTACAACGACCGTTCCTGTGTCATTTCTGCCACAGCTTCACTTCTTACAATCATCCGGTTTCTTCTCACTGCGGCGAAAGGGGGCGCGTGGTTGCTGCGCATCGTGCCGTATTCACACCGAGCGGGACGGCGAATGATAACGAACGACGCGCCTTTCAATCGAGGCTCGGTGCATACGTCACGCCGTCGTGCCGCGACGGCTATGTCGCGTGTCGTGGCGCGTGGTGGTGACAGAGCGGTCGCGGCCTCACAATGTTCGGCGCGACGCCCGAGTGGTGGGCCTGCATCGGTCTGACGATCGCCTGGTGCGGCTGCATCTGCACAATGCCCGGGTGCGCTTGTAGCTGGCTCAAGCCCGGGTGCGGCTGCAACTGGCTCAAGCCGGGATGCGCTTGCAACTGGCTCAAGCCCGGGTGCGCTTGTAGCTGGCTCATGGCCGGGTGCGGCTGCATGGGCCCGATCGCTTGATGCGCCTGCATGTGCCCGAGGCTGGCCTGGTGCGCGGCCAGCTGGTGCATTTGCAGGTGCTGCATCGATGCGCTGCTGTGCAGCATCTGCAGCTCGGGCGGCATGTGGTACAGGCTGGGCGTCTGCAAATTTACGTTCCACCATTTAGTGTGCCTGTGTATTGGTATGGATTAGTCACGGCTCAACGCTCAATTCAACAGACGGCTTGAAGCCTACAACGGCAATAGGGTCCCGTTTTACCCTTTGGGTACGGAACCCAAAAAAAAATCTCAAGGGCAGAGCAATAGCACCAAACAAATGAATACATTAAATTAAAATAGCACCGCGGGGCTCACATGATGCGTGTGCACGTGTCGGTGGGGCGGCAGGGAGGGCCGGGCTCAGTAGGCGGACGCCTCCTTGTACTCGGAGTTGTCCATGGTGAAGAAGTCCTCCAGCTTCCACTGCAGGGTCTCGAAGGTGGGCCTCTTCAGCGGGTCCTTGTGCCAGCACTCGAGCATGATCTCGTAGAGCGCCGCCGGGCAGTTCTGCGGGCACGGCATCCGGTAGCCGTGCTCCACTTGGTGCAGCACCTCGGCGTTCGTCATGCCTGCCGAACAGCGTTGCGTTGACATTGTATGTTATGTGAAATATGTCGAGCGATCAGGCGGTTTTTTGTGTTGTTTTCCTCATAAATGGGTGTGTACACTAATTTATTGACAAATACGAATACATCCACGCGCCAAATCGGTTTAGTATCGCTTAAGAGACGTAGTTGTTGGCATAGTATTTGTTAAATTTTTCTACACAATAAAAGTCAACAACTACTTTATTTAATAATACGCTCAACAACCACCAAGGCGCTAGCGCCGTACGGGTGAGGCAAAAATCATAGTCGTGCGAATCAAATTTTTTAAATTATTCACTGCTCATTAATAAACCAATACTCCAAAAATATGAACGAAACCAACATTATTGAATAAACGTTATGAAACCTGTAGGATACGTTGATACATCCCTCGACATCGCGACATCTAGATTTTGCATTCGAAAACTGGACAACTCAGGAGTTTAATGGTTACACTGGCAAATGGTTCCTTTTCTAATTTCACGCAGGAAAATATTTTCACAGAGTCAACACAAAAATATAGATCCTGTAATATCGAGACAATATTATCAAGCTACATTTACGATGTAAAACAGTTATGATTCATCCGACCCTATACGCCGTAAAAATCGATATTCTACGTTGGCATGTTATGAAATAAAATTATTATCATAGAACATTAAATCGCTGCTATAAAACGTTTTAAGAATGTAATAAAAATGCTAGGCGGAAAGATATTTTGTTTTGCTTTTATTCCATGTAACAGCCAATTACTGATAACGAATGCACCTAAATAATTACTTAAATGAGGTCGCTGAGAGTATACGTGTTAAATTTATTTTACTATATCATTACAGTCCATGTTTGGATGTAAATTTTACAAATACATTGTTGTTGGAACACGGCATAGTTGTTTTATGCAAAAAAAGGAAAGCACGACGAGTCGGAGATACTTAAACTAGTCTGAATCAACTTTTCACTTTGTTGTTTCCGCATTACATCGTTTTTTTGTTTACTGTAAGGACTAATGTTTCACGGTTTACACAATATCACACTTTAAAAAAAAACAAAATTACACAAAGCACAACCATTCATTACAAAAACGTGAGGCGTTTTTGATGTTTTCTTCTGTCAATGGCTAGGTTTTAATTGTCCTATTATACTATCTGATTTTTTTAACATATTTAGGCAAATATAAGGGTCATGAATCAAAATGACTTAATAAAATGATTAAGTAATTTTTTAATTATACATTATATTATTTTTCATGTGCCGTGATAGGTCAGTGTCCGGGCCTTTAATCCAATTTACTCGAGCAACCTGAGTTCGATCCCCGGTGGCGGTACCAATGACATTGTTAATTTCAAGTGCTGACTTATCACGTGCTCAGCGCTGAAGGAAAACATCGTGAGGAAACCTGAATATTTTCGAAATAATAATAAGAAAAAATATTTCGCAGTGGGACATGTACAGGCTGTTACTTTACGTTTCTTTTTTTTCATTGCTAAGCTTTACAATAGTCATTAAAATATTTAACCCAGTTTACAAAACTTGAGTTTAAGAGAAATTTCCACATTTGATTCCATTACTACTTAACTTCTCTTGATATGTCGAAGCAATAATTTTCATTGATAATTTCATTTACTTATCTATAACCTCTTCGTCCTGAAATGAGGCATACACGTGACGCTCTGCGAGAGCACAGCCGCATAAGAAAGGATATTTTATTTAATTAGATAATTAATTTCCGAAATATATGTAAAATAAAATTATTTATACATATTGATCAAAGTGTTCACTTTTAATCACGGTTTAAAAATTTCTTAAGGTATAAATGTTTTTCTAATTCGAAACTAGCTGCCGCTATGGTATATAATCATTCATGTCTTGTTCTAATAATCAGGCTATGTAGTAGCGTGTAATAACATTAAAACGGCTGCACGTATCGATTTCCGTTCTCCTACTGACCGGCGGCGATATTCGATAGCGGATTGTCTGCGTAAGCGATATTGGGTTGCGAGTGCAACGTGCAAAGTAATTCTGTGAAACGCGGCAGATTACACGTCGACGGTAATAAGGAAACCGTAATATTAAACTGACTAGCTACTAAAATATTTTAATACGCTGTTGTAAATTTTGCCCTTTGGAATACGTTCGGCGCTTGCGACGATCGTCGTTGGTACTTAGAGACAGATTTAATTTAATTTTTTTAACACAGACCTTGCTGGAGGATAACAATCCTACGTCGTTATAAACAGGGTCGATTTACAAATATAAATTTCACGTCGTCAATCATCGGTGGATCACACAAAGTGTCCACCAGTGTGGGAATCGAAACCACGACAACCGGCGCTGAAGCCGGTTTTTTATTTATTTTAAGTTAATACCGCGGCCCATGGACATCTAGAGCACCTTGTAGGGGCTTACAGTTGCGTTGGCAACCTTTAAAAAAGAGAGCGAAACCGCGAAAGTACAATAACTTCCACTTCACACCGGTTCTCTATGTGGTCGTGGGTACTTCCCCGGACGAGTCTGCCCATTAGTGCAACAGTAGAACTTGTTGCGTGGCCCTAACACAGTAAGTGAAATAATTATCAAATGTATATTTCTGAGGACAGCGAAGAAAGGAGCCGTTGAAAAATAAACGTGTGAATTATTACGATACGACTGGGATTGATAATTTCCATTAACACTTTCTCTACGTAACAAAAACTGAAAATTGAACTAGTTTCCGTAAAGTTTTACCAGTTTACCATATTATGAGCTACGGGGGTTTAACGTCGTGAATGATGGGTTCGGTTCAGATAAATATTTATGTGACTTCCTCATTTTGTTCAGATTTGGGTGTGCAAGGAGCGACGCTTTGCATCAGTAGGTGCATTTAAATAAAAAATAGTAGCAATCATTAATTAATTAATTACAAAAAATGGCAATTAGTAGTTTAAATAATATGAATTATCGAATGTCTGGAAACGAAAATCGATATTGCGTTTATTATATTCCTAGACGCACTTACGAGGAATGCGAGATGATGCAAGTCGCTAACTTTCAACCATTACGAGTAAGATTGAGGAGTAAATGCGCAATTGTGTCGCCAAACGGCATGCGAAGTCTCAAGTCTAATATGAATAGCGTAGAAGAAAGGGTACATGTACACTGTATATGTTCAACCCTAATAAGATGATGTAGAAGAAGGGGGCTCATTCTATATGTTTAATATGGATCATGAAGAGGTTTACATTATAATGGATCATGTGGAAAAGTTTCACACTATGTTCAACCCAAATAAGATCATGTAGAAGAAACGGGATTACTCTACATGTTTAACGCTAACATGGATCATGTAGAAGAGACCGCACTGACCTGGGTAAGGTATCCGGCCGTAGGTGACGAGCTCGGTGAGCAATATGCCGAAAGACCAGACGTCGGACTTGATGCTGAACTTGCTGTAGTTGGCCGCCTCGGGAGCCGTCCACTTTATTGGGAAGCGGGCACCGACGCGCGCTTCGTACTCGTCCTCCTGAAGGGACAAATGTTCGTTGCGGACCACAATTCTATCTATATACTTATTGTTTAAAAATGTATGTGCAAAGGTACATGTATGTATTTATTTTATTTTAATTAGTTTTATTATTGCACCTGCATAAGATCTCGCCACACCATAGGTTGTCTGGCAGAGAATGCCGAAGGGCGTTAAGTCCACCTATTGTGTGCCGAATTCAGGTAAATGCGATAAAGACTAAATAAAATGTGTTGACAACCTTTTGAACAGCCCAATTTTCAAAAGGTTGTTAACGTCGGGCGTCGGTATTCACTTAACATCAGCTGAACAGTCTGCTTGTTTGGCAACTTTTCACATAAAAAAACTATCGTAAAAATGTTTTAACGCTGCCCAGAATTCGAACCTGCGCCTTCCGTATAACATGACCAGACGCTCTTACCACTAAGCTAAGCGGTCGACATCATCGCCGCGCGTCACTTATTACTGTTGTGTAGATGACTCGGTGGCGCAGTTGCTAAGTTCAATGGAGTTCCGGATTCGGGTGTTTAGTCCCAAGGAGCAATGCCTCGGCTGATAAGTACCAGGGGATCATAGAAGACCGGTGTGAAATGTAAATGTTTATACTTTTGCGTTATGTCCGTCGAGTGTGGTCACGCTACGCTCCCTTTATCTGCAACACTTATCGCATCCTTTTAATGTCGACACTGAAAGGAAACGGTTTGCGTCCTCGTTTACAGAGCATAGAACACAACAATTCGCTAATCGGTACTTTCGATTATAACGGTTTTCAAGGCAAAAACGATGAGGATTACACTGAACTGATGTTTTAATACGACTATGGCTTTGATTTAAATAAAATCTACGGCGAATTCAGTCGTATTAAATATTCATACTCTGCGGTACGATTGGTTGACGTTTAAGTAATGATAGAAATAAACCTAATCATTCACATACCAAAGTAACCCCTTATTACGATTTACTTTTACATTTTTATTGGGAACGAAAACTTGTCCCGAGAACTATTCCCACAAAAATTACTCATCTATAGTACGGACTATAATTAACATAGATACGCTATTAGTTCACAATTGACCTTTAATGCAACTATTACATTGTGACGCAATCATAAATTCTTTAAGCGTTGGCATTATAAGAGTAAGCATCATGTAATTAAAAGTATTTGTGAAATGAGGCGTGAATATATCTCAACGCATTTAATGTTCACCGTCTAGAATCTTCATGATTATTTGAAAGGTGAATAATATTTTAAATTTTAATATTACATTTTCGGTCACTGGGAAAAATAAACATTAAGTCTAATTCATTTATCAACTCAGAAATCAAGACAACTTAATAATTCTTTAAGTATAGTCATAGCAAGTCATGAATAAAAGACAATGGACGATGATCGAATCATGTAATTGCTGCGGACACGCGATTTAAGTCTAGAACTCTGGACCTTTCGAATCGTTTAGCCGCTAAATAAAATAAAATATATAGTGGCTCATTAATTCAGTGTACAACCGATAAGCATTAAAATATTTAAAAACGCACGCGGCAGACAAGGACCTTTCGCGGTGGCCACGCGCGTTTTCGTATTGCGATTGGCATTCGGCGAGATCGTGGGGAGTGAGAGAAAAAAAAAACAGACACCCATCAATCTGCCGACGGAATAAGGCGATGGAGGAAAGTGACTCGAGGTGGAGCGAGAAAGCCGCGATCAGAGCCGTCGTTGATACTATTTGCAGTTCTTATTCGCTTTCGTAATACATCTGCTACTGTGTTGCGAGCTTGATTAACGTGTGTTGTCCAATTGATAACCGGTTGCGATTAATGCGAATGGCAACAATGCTGGTCAATCGCCATGAGAAACCGCATCGAGGTTTGGACCACACATGGCGATAGCACAAAACGACACGTCTCCTAAATACGTTACAGCGATTACTCTTGGTGACGTTTCTAATATATTTCGCCGAAGAAGACGGCGAGGGTCGATAGGTCAGACGGTGTACCGTTGGCGAATCGATTAGATTAACCGATATCCTTAAATAACAGACGACTAACGTCGACGCCAAATGCTCGGAGGCCTACATAATGTAAAACTTAGAGAATTTATCAATTTAAAAAACATCAGACATTATAGAGATAGTGAATTTAAAGACGTCATGTATGATAAATTTGACTCTACTAACACCGAAACGCTAAGCACTAAAATGGCACACGGCCTTACAGACTAGCGGAGTTGGTTTTAACGTAAGGAATAATTTTAGTAAAAGCACTCGAGCGAGGCTTTGTTAGACAACGTTAGTTTTGAATACACTGCTGAATATAGGCCTCCCCCATAGACTGCCACGAAATACGACCATGAGCCACCTGCATCCATCGACTACCCGCACATTTGCACAGGTCGTCACTCCATCTAGCGGGGCGTCGTCTATACTGTGATGGTCAGTACGAGGCTACCACTCGAGAAACTTTCTTCCCCAACGGATATCGGACTTCAATCAAACATACTTAAATAAGTTAGAAATGTCCCACACACACACACGGGTCGTCCACACGCTGCCCTAGGAGTCGGGCAGGTGCAGGTACGGGCATCGGGGAATCGAACCCCATAACCCGGGCATTGTCTCAAGGGGACGCGAACAGTGTGGAAATAACGCGTGACTCTAAAGTTTACGTTATCCTATATGATGTACCATAGGCGCTACGGATGCGCGTAAAAATGTGCCGACACTGTTTACCTTCAACACTACATAACTAGAAATGTCCCATCGAATATACAATGCCGCTATGCGATTTCCTTACCTTAATGAGCCTCGCCAGACCAAAGTCCGCTATTTTGACGATGTTCGCGTCCGCGACCAGGACATTCCTGGCAGCCAGGTCACGGTGGATGTAATTCTGCGACTCGAGATACGCCATCCCAGCCGCGATTTGAGCAGCCATGTCAATTAGTTGCTGCAGTTTCAGGCCGCGTCCTTTACCTACACGCGTAAATACTTATAAAGATTATCTGGGATATATCCGGAGAAAATACCTAACTTAGAAGCGAATTATTTATATTTATAGAGTAGAAGAAAGTTTTATTTATAACAATATAAAGGGGATAGTAACAAAAACGATTGATCAACGCAATAGTCCATAATAGAAAAACGATTACAATTTAATTTAAGTAATGATCGAAACTATAGTTTACAGTTATTAAAGCACCTAAAGACACCGTCTTATAAAAAGAGTAAGACGGTGGCTTAATAAAAGGATTAAAACGGTCAATTTTAACTAGTTTCATTATGGAAAAAAATATACATCAATGTGTCGAAGAAGAATTATTTTATGTAGTTAAAAATCAGCTTAAAGTTTAAAGGAGGTTAATGGTCTCGCAATGATTGATTTAACGCAAAGATAAATATTTAAATATCACTCACCCTGCAAGTACTCCAACAAGGAACCGTTCTTCATCAGTTCGGTAATGATGTAAATCGGCTCCTCAAGTGTGCACACGGCGTACAGTTGTATCAGTTTGTTGTGCCGCAATTTCTTCATTATCTGTGCCTCGGCGAGGAAGTCCTTCGGGTCCATAGTGCCCGGCTTGAGGGTCTTGATTGCGACCGGTGTCGTGTTGTTCCATAGTCCCTCCCACACCTCGCCGAATTGGCCGTGCCCAAGTTTCCTGGCGAACTTGAGCGACGACCGGTCTATTTCCCACTGGTCGCGTGTTCTATGCGACAGACCTTCAGTGACGGGCTTCTCAACCTGTAATCAACGTGGAGTTACATACATTAAAATTGGTATTTAATTTTTCATTTGTATAAATGTCAAATTCAATATAGGTACGTTTCGATATTTATATGATTCGCGCGTCAATGCGTTCGTGCATCCAAGAAGTTATATTTTTATATAGAAAATCGTTAATTGTATCTCGTTTTTGTAAAACTCAATAACTCCTTGCGAAAATGTGTAGTCATTTTCGTACAAAGCGCCGATTCCACAAAACAGACATTTGCTGGCTAAGACGTTCGCCTCTATAATTATTTGACGCAGCGACTAATTATGCGGAATATGCATCTTGCTGGCACTTGCGAACGGGGAGGAAAATAAGAGCTCTCACAACAATAGACTGTAAAAACCAATTGTCATGTAGATGCATACCAATAAGCGTGCAAGCGTTCTACTCTTACTTGCAATGGGGAGTTTATTTGAGTGGGTGTTATGTAATGAATTAACAGTATAATTACTGTCTATTGTCTCGTTAAACCGACCATTTGTGTTGTAAAATTAAAGAAAATAGTCGTAATTCATGAAATTGATTTATTGAGTGCTCTCTCACCGGCGCTAATTAGACGTGAAGGTGACATGCTTTTCTTGACGTCGATATCTATTTGCCTTGCTAACGAATCTGTAGTAGGTGAAGAGCTCTTAATGTAGAAACCTAGGCTGCATTAAAAAGTCGCAAACTTCGAGGGCTCTGTTGAAGTATTATGTGGGTGTATTACGTATACTTTGCGATAGAAGCCATCTATGTGTCATTGAGGCTACAGCCTTAAAATAAAAAAGCAACTTGATTGAAATAATCCGCCAAATATTTTAAATTGTATACATGAATCATTCTTTACGTTTTTACCATATAAGATTTTAAAATAAACAAGTATAGCGAGGTGTGAACGTTTCCTTTTTCAAATTGAGAAAGCTGATTTTCTTGTGCAATCGTTCTCTCGGCGTATCGGCGGTGTGCATAGCGCTTAAACATGCGCAAATTTTTATTAGACGGTAAAACTAGAGACGAGTTCGAGATCTCGGGCCACATTACGCACTACATTACATGGTCGGCAATTACCGGAAGACGTCACTTAGCCGAACTCGAGCATTATCATACGTCAGTGATGCAGTGCGTGCGTGCTTTATTTTTTTTTTATTCACGCCGCGTAACACGACACGGGCGCGAGTCGGTGGCCGTCGACCGCGACCCGCGCCTGTCACGCTCGCAACTGCTATCCCCCCGATTAAACGTCGCACCTTATCGAATACACGTCCGATTAATTGCGTTATCGTTTCCCAACAAGATAAACGCCCTAATCAAACTTTCCACGTCCGAGGTTTCGACTGGTCGTGCACGAACCACACAGGCCTTTTCGTCAGCAGCCCAATAGAGTGGTGTTCTTCGGTGCAGATTAACTACGCCCACGGGTCAATGATCCCATCTTTAGAACGAAACTCCGTCATGTACCGAGCGTTCAGTAATCGACGATAAATTCGACTTGTAAATAATTCCTCAGCACGTAAGTAGGTACGGAGGCAGCCCCGCATAGCGACAGCTCGGGCACCGAGTCGGACCGCTGCCTACATTGTCACCAATATCGTAACGACATGCAAATGAGGGACGAAAGTTATGCAACACACAAATTATATGCAAATTCGTAATAAAACAGTATTGGCCCCGCGATCGCACAGTCCTAACATGTAAAGCGTACCGTAAATCGCGCGGTTCATGTAATCGGTCGTCGGCTTGTTGCACAAAGTAAGATTTGTTATACAATATTATGTCAAACTAGGGGTTAGGAAGCCAAGTACGAAACCGTAAAAACGCAGAGGTAGAAACATAAACAGCAAAAGACCTTGATAATAGTTCTAATGTTCCAAAAATTATAGATTAATTAAATTGTAAAGACTAATATAGATTATAAATAAATGATTGAGAATAATTTCTCTTTCATATATTTTTAGGGTTCCATAGCCAAAGGGTAAAACGCGACCCTATTGCTACGACTCCGCAGTCTGTCTGTCCGTCCGTCCTGCTGCCGAACAGACATCAACAAATACTTAAAAGTAGAATGAAACCATATTTAATTGGGGTTTCCGTACAACAGACATGATTTTTTGCCGTTTTTAAAGTTGGTACGGAAGCCATCAAGCGCGAGTCCTATAGCATCTTAAGGTTGACTCTACAGTTTTACAAGAATCGTTTGGCACGTGGTCGAAATTGGAACTAACGTCGCCATATTGGGAAATAAGATATAAAATAAGAAAAGAAATAATTGAAATCTATCCAGTAGTTTTGATGAGCTCTATCATTTAATTTAATTAATAAATCGGTGTCTTTATTTTCATCTTATATCGCTTCTTTCTATCATCATAAATCGAGAAGTGCACATATTGTGGTGTTGCAATCGATTACGTTTATACTTCTGTTGAGAAATGTGCAAAGTGCGGATGCGAGTCGTGCGAAAATATTACCATGAAACCACAACTGACACGTTGAAGAATAGGATGATGTAGGATTTTAATTTGAGTTTTTTGAATAACGTCTCGGATTCTTTGACGTCGCTTAATTCGGGCCCACATCACATCCCGACGTGTAACGAATTTTTAATCGTTTCGAGCCAGGTATATTCAATTATATAAAGTCCAAGAAAACAGCTGTTTTTAAACTTATTATCTTTAGCTGCTTCGAATCACAGAATTTTATTTAAGTAAAAGATTCCTAGACAAGATATAACCCCTTTTTCCCCATATGAGTAAAACATACAATTAATTTAATAAAATTCGACTCGTACGTCATCAATCGGTACATTTCGTTTGACAAATGCCTAAAATAAATATTGCTTCAAGAACAAAAAGTTCATTAAGGGAAATGAAGTATATTGTTGAGCACTGGTTTAAATGAACAATGGTGCTCATTAAAATATTTAGAATCAACGTGACACATTCAGCATTCATTTTTACTTCGTGTACGTGACAAAAAAAATCGTAAAAATGTGACTCAATGTAAATTGCTCGGCTTAGTCTCGATTTAATGGCCTTGTCAAGGAAACTTGTAATTTACTTCTATTAGTGTTATCTATTATTTATTTTCTGTTCTTATTTCATTAATTTTAGTTAAAAAAAAGAAAGAGTCATATGAACTTCTTTGCTGTCACCAATATTACAAACATAGATAGACTTCTTCCAAAGCATTCCAATTTCGCTTTGGAAGAGGTCTATGTAAACATGCTTTGTCTTTAAAAATGTATCAATATGTCAACTTAAAGTAAATGATATAAATATTTAAATAATATACAATATCTTTTAACCATATTACGATATAAGAAGCTATATCAACTATTTCAACTCATGTTACTTTTGAGGGGTGGAAAATTAAATCTTGAAAACATATCTCATAATTTCGTGAAATAAAACAAATGTATTTCATATTTGCTTAAAAACACGGAAATAACTAAAAACGTAACGTAGTCGTTTAACACCTGTGAAAAGTAAAGTCGCTCGCAAAACGGTAGTTTCTACCGTAGAAAATATTGTTCTTGTTAGTACAGTTAGTTGCGAACTCGTAAAAAGAGAACCATAGTAAAATTTAATAAACGTTCGATGGTTTAGATTTAGATGATAAAATTGAAGCACTCGACTGACTTCCAATCTGAATAAGTAAGCCAAGGCGACTATAATTTTCCCTATGCAGCAAGACTGTGATCTTTGTTTTTTAATGAAGTTGCTAACAATTCCCGGTAATGTCTTATCTAAGTCTTTACGACGAAAAAACTTCTATCTTAATCTGTATATTACATAATAATTTTCAATAATCCAGAAACCTATAATAAATCTGGACTCTTTTATTGAAATTAATAATTTTATATATTTGGATATTGAGTTACGAAATAATTCAAATTATTCCTGAGGATGGAAAAAATACTTGATAGATCCAAACTGTTCTAACGTCCAAATTAGGATGGTACAAAGTGCTAAAAACTAAAAATAAATGGTTGGAAATTGGCGATAGTGCCCATTTATGTAAGGCTCGATGCCTTAACTGGTTTCATATTTATTACCGTTAAACTAACAAGCAATAATATAGATGTATTGCCATTCTATATACTTCTGAAAGTTAATTAGTTTCATTAGTGGTGACAAATTAATTTAGATTGCTTGCATTAGCATTGCATTAGCTTGTAAGCAGTGCGAAATTTGAGATCGACTGAATTTATTTTTAGATGTATTCAAGTTATTACTATAGTAACAAACCGAACCCTACTTCGACGCCTTCAGCTAGAAGTCAAAGATCGTGTATCGGAACACCGACATACAACGTGGGACAATCTCCTAGAGGACATCGAGCCATCGCACACCGCCTACTGGCGGTTGGCCCGCAGTCTGAAAGCAGAGCCCCGCGAATCCCTACCGCCGTTAGCAATGCCTAATAGCACTTCATTAGCCCTAGATGACTCCGAAAAAGCCGAATGCCTTGCGGACAACCTAGAGCAGCAATGTACGCCATCGCGCGAACACATCGACACAGCCCACCTAACGGAGGTGGACCGCGTTATCGAAACTAGGGCTGCGCTTCCACCGGAAGGCGATCCATTAAACTCAGTGACCCCCGAAGAGGTCCAAGATATTATCAAAAATTTAAAACCCAAATCCGCCCCGGGCCCAGACAATATTAGTAATAAAATCCTTAAAGCTCTCCCTGGCCCACTTATCTGTTTACTGGCGACCATTTACAACACTTTACTCTCCAGTTGTTCCTTTCCGGACGACTGGAAAGAAGCCACGGTTATCGGCATTCGCAAGCCGAATAAACCAGCCAATCAGCCCTCTAGTTATCGTCCCATCAGCCTCCTTAGTTGCCTGGGGAAGCTTTACGAGCGGCTTCTATTAAACAGGCTCAAAGACCACGTGTTTTCCAACGGCCTTCTACCGGCGGAACAATTCGGCTTTCAAGCAAGACATTCCTGTCCCGATCAATTATACCGCCTAACGGAACATATCCTAAAAGGCCTAAATCACCCTAAACATATTAGCACGGGGGCTCTTTTCTTCGATGTCGCAAAGGCATTCGACAAAGTCTGGCACAACGGCTTGCTTTACAAGCTGTTCTCACTCAAAGTGCCAGACAGGCTTGTACACACCATTCAGGCCTTCTTGTCGAACCGTTCCTTTCGATATCGAGTTGAAGGCGCCCTATCCACTAGCCGCTCACCCTTACTTTTTACGCTCTACACGAGTGATATACCAAAAGACCCCCACGTCAATCTCGCGCTTTTCGCGGATGACACGGCGCTCTTTTATTCAGACCGCAACCTTAGTCAACTAACCACTCGACTCCAAAGCGCCGCCAACCGCCTCGGCGATTGGTTCCGCAAATGGAGAATTGAAGTAAATCCCGAAAAGAGTGTGGCGATTCACTTCACACGAAGTACTTACCCGTCACATCTTTATAAAGGTCGTCGCCAATGCAGAAAGCTAGGGCAAATATCTCTTTATGGCCAACCGCTCCCCTGGGAGAAAAAGGTAAAATATTTAGGAGTCACTTTCGACTCGCGTATGTCATTCACAGCGCATATTAATAACGTCCGTAACAGAGCCGCGTTCGTCTCCGGCCGGCTAAGCACTTTAACTAACCAGTCAAGTAAAATGTCCTTAAGACACAAATTACTTTTATACAAAGCTTGCGTACGGCCAATCATGTCCTACGCATGCATGATTTTCGCCCACACGCACCCTACTCGCTTGCACAAGTTGCAAGTAGTGCAAAATAAGTTCATCCGCCGCGCAACCGGTGCGCAGTGGTATCAACGCAACGTCGACCTGCACAGTGATTGCAGACTCCCGATGATTCGCGAATTTTTCAAAGACCTGACCAAACGGTTCTTCGATAGAGCCGAACATCATCCCAACCCTCTGGTGGTAAGCGCAGCAAATTACCAACCCGATCTAAACGCGAGCGTCAACAAGCGTCGCCCGCGAAACGTCCTCATCGACCTGGTCGAGGAAGGGGACTTAGGTACGTCGGACCCACCGTCGGGGGTCCCGCCGGATAACACTACACACACAGTTAGTGTAGCAACAAACACATTAGTTCGCCCTCGCCTCCGAGCACGGCGAGACCAACACAACGCGTACACAAGGTACACCCGCGTTCCAGGGCGGTTCTCACCGCCCCCAGCCACCGATTAGCTAAAAACACAGTCGACGGCCATCGGGGTCTCGGTCCGCACCGCTACTTCGATGGCCCTTAGATGACATGCCGTAGTTAAACGCACGCATGAGCACATGCGCGGCCCTACCCACAGCGGAGGGCCCAAACCCGTGGGTTCTGGCTAGCCCACCGGTTCTGCGTCAGATGAAGCTTTAATAGTCTCTGGACTGAAAGCACAAACATCAGTTAATACAAGATACAAGATACAAGATATAGTAACAAAACTTCGTCGACTGTTACCTTATTTCGTGAAGGTTTTTTCAGATGAGCCGCTGTGACATAAGAGCAAATACATGTTTACTTATTTTATGCTTATAGCCCCGCAGTGTCCAACACATGTACTTTAAACGTTCCGATTCCGTGAAAGAACGCGCGAGTGAGATGAATTATGGATTTGTTTAAGGCATTTGCCCATTTGCTTAGTAATAAGGGTTGCCAGAGTTCCTTTGGAACATTTGAGCGTACCGTGGGGGAATTAAACAATTATATGATTAGAAAGAGTGAAAAAAAAAAAAGAAGATTCACAATGATGGCTCACCGGGCCTATCGTAATAAATGACAAGTAGAACACGCGACATTCAGTGGATGCACTGAATAAGGTTTTTAATTTCAGAAATCCTTATAACACTAGCTTACGTATTAAGTAATAAATGTATCCATCGCAGGACAAGCCCGTATATAAACATTGGTTGGTGTTCCGTTGTAAAATTCTCAAATATAGCCTCAGTGCTACTTATACAATACCAAGGTGATGCGGACCGCCAAAAAATTCCTTAAATATTTACCTAAGCATGACGACTAATGCCGGATGCATGGCAATCCTGTCTGTATCTAAAGCGGGGCCATCTCGACCTTGGCGCAGGTCGTTCGACCGCGAAACTGGAATGATCTTTCTTGATAAATATACAATAGCGCCTTATTACACGTTATGTACATAAACTGGTGTAAGCAATCCATTTTCCACATATTTCTATTAGGTGTACACGTTTCTAAATTAGGGTCGTAAACAATCAGAGCGTGTAATTAAAGTAAATTATCAAGTTACGTGTAATCTACTGACTTAATAAGAAATAAAGATGCTCTTATTATATTTATTGTAATTTATATAATTGTGGAATTCTCATGTGCCATTATTAATTGTCGCAATTCACTATTAAATATGGAACGATACCGATAAGATGAACTGGTCATGCATTATTAATAGTTTCGTTTGATTTGTCATTAAATCAATTATTTAATCTATTTACACCTGCTGGCATGACAATTGTTGGAAAAAATTCCAATAATATTTATGCGTTACCAGGTATTATTCTCATTAAATTGTAGGATCGTTATCACGTCAATAGCATAGAAATTTCGAGAAATCGGCGTTCGGAATCGGGTAATAAAGAATGTAAATTTAAACTAAGACTAGCTGATCCGTGCGATTTCAGCGACGAGAATTGTTTTTGCTTTGCCACCCGTAGATGATATCGTGATGTTAAATGCTCAACCTTCCTCAAGAATTGGGCTGTCAAAAGCAAAAAGATTTTTTCAAATCCAACTAGTCCCAGAGATTGGCGCGTTCAAATAAACAAACATACTCTTCAACTGTATTATATTAAAAAAGTATAGATGAAATATAACTTTTAAATGGTGTTCCGTGCGATTTCAGCGGAGAGAATCGTTTTTGCTTCGCCACCGTAGGTGATATCGTGATCTTAAATACCCATAACCTTCCTCAAGAATTATGCTAGCAAATGCAAAAATTTTTTTTCAATTCCGACTAGTAGTTCCAGAGATTAGCGCGTTCAAATAAACAAATATACTTTTCAGCTGTATTATATTAAAAAAGAGTATAGATGAAATATAACTTTTAAATGGATATTATGTTTTTTTTAAATAAAATCCTGTCTACAACAACGTATCATAATTGTTACCGGTTATCAAAACTGACGGGTCACAGGAAGATGTAGTTCATTTACCGATTAAAATAAAACACGGTAAAAGCGTTTCAATCAAGAGGATCTCAATCAATAATTAAGGAGAATATCTCTTAAAATCTCTCGGTGCAGTCCATTCTCGAACGTTCGGTGCAAATTCATGCACGCTCAGCTGTGGCGCTCGTCGAAAATCATAAATTTTATGAGCGGGCCGATATCGAATTTTGCAATTTATGAGCGTCCATAATAATAAATTATTAGTATTGAACGTGGCCCTGATGTGACAGCGTAATGCCCCAACAATTGAACAGATTTCTATCCAACATTAATTTTAAATTAGTCGTTAGATTGCGCATCGTTAATATCGATTCAATAGAAGAAACTTAATCAAGTTGAGGTATTTAACATTGAATGACTGAGGATGTTCGTCTCAAGGACGATGAGTTTCAGAAAGGTTAAGCAATGTTTTTTTTTTAATTTACATACTTTTTCATTATTAATTTCTAGTTTAATTAACCGACTTCAAAAAAGGAGGAGGTTTCTCAATTCAACCGTATATATTTTTATTTTTTTATGTGTGTTCGCGGATAACTTCGTCGTTTATGAGTCGATTTTGATGATTCTTTTTTGTCGGAAAGGAGATATTCCGAGGGTGTTCCCATGATAAGGAAACCCGGATATGACGATGGCATCACATAGAAATCGAGGGCCATTATTGAATGTTATAATTTTCTGATTGAAGTCGGTTTTTTTTGTTCAAAATTATTTGAGTTAGTTTTATTATTGCATCTGCCTAAAGATCTCACCACACTATAGGTTGACTGGCAGAGAATGCCTAAAGGCATTAAGTCCGCCTATTGTGTTCCGAATTAAAGGAAATGCAGTAAAGACTAAATAAATAAATAAATACTTGCGACAATTACCCAGCCGATAAAAAATTATGTGAAACTGCGAAATAAAATTTAGATTCATAATTTATCCATATAATTCCTTTTTTCATTTCTTTTACCATATTAATTCACTCGTCCACAATGGTCGATGGAAACTTTAAATTTTAACAACTTGCTTCTAAACAAAATATAAATAATGAAATTCTGTTCAAGAAAGAATATGTAGTGTACTGAAACAGGAATATTAGCCCGATTGAGTAATTTTATATTTTGATTAGGTAATGTGACACAAGTGTTAGGGGGGAACGCTCAAGTCGAATCAAATCAAGATAAAATTCCTTTCAGTCTTCCAGTGACCATGTGACCATAGAGCAGCGAAAACCATCACTAATATCATCACGCAATAGACATTAAACATGTTAGATCCACCGACCTGTACGCATGGCTTGTTGAGGGCGACGCAGAGCCCGTCCGCGTCTTTGCTGTAGTGCTCTACCAGCTCCTGGAGAGTCCGGAAGGTGGTGCGGCGCGCGATGAAGAAACCCCCCTCGTCCAGCTGCCTGATGCGATAGTGCTTGACCGTGTCGCCGTCTCGCACTGTTTGAATGAATAGAGATCATTAACACACTCACATATTCCTTTAGAAACCGACTATGGAATCGCGACAGAACTAAAGTTGTTCTGGAGAAACCGGCAGCCTTTCTTCGGGTGTTTGAGGCAATGCGGTACAGAAATAGCGCAAACATCCCAAATATAAGGTCGTGTTACTAATACATGTGGCTTACAATTCAGCTGTACCATAAAATATCAATATAAACAACTAGCTGCTGCCCGCGACTACGTCTGCGTAGAGGGGTGAAAATTTAGGGTTGTATGTATTTTTGTATGCTGTATCATAAAAAAATAAAAACAAAAAATGTTATACAAAAATAAAAAAAACATTTTTAGGGTTGGACAACCCTTAACATTTAGGGGAATGAAAGATAGATGTTGTCCGATTCTCCACCCTGGCTTATATGCACACAAATTTTCACGAAAATCGGACGAGTCGTTTCGGAGGAGTTCAATTACAAACACCGTGACACGAGAATTTTATATATTATAGATTAAGTTTTCACGTGGCATAGTTCTTGACATAATTATATCATATTTTACATTATTTTTAAACTTTTAATCACCTATTCACTAAGCAACCATTGAAAGCACGATTCAATATGAGAGAATACAAGACATAATCACGTGCCAAAAGTAAAATAGAAAACATATTGCATCCCGTGCCACAGACAACAAAAGGTGCACGTCTTTTGTTTCTTCTAATGGACACGTGAATATAACATTGGAGCGGCTAATATGTGTTAAATTTACTGGCGAAACAAAGTTGACAGCATTCATTAAAGACATTCTACAAAGTAATGAATAATTTTATCAGTAATATTTATTTTATGATGTGCAACGATAAATTAATGTTGGTTATATATTAACTTGATTTTAGCCTACTTCAGAGTCAAGGTACTAATGAAACGCGTAACGAGCTGGGTGCCAATCATTGCACGATTCTGACACCTTCAGTAATCGTATGTAACGGTTCAATGATAAGATCGGCTGCATTGCCAGATCAGTGTGAGCGCCCGAGGAAAAATTAAACTATACAAAGTTTACGTCTCATGAAATCACGGTTAAATTTGACTTAAATGTTCCGCATGTGCCGGATATGCTGTAATTAATATCGTCACTGATGACTTTTAATTTAAGGTTGGAAGAATATAAAACAATAACAATATAATTAGTCACCGCGGGCATACTTTGTGACCAGAATTGAATTATTTTTTAATTAATTTAAGAAAATAAACCATGAATGGTTGAAGTCAAGTGCCTTTTTAATATTCTTTGATATATTATGGCACATTGTGGCTTTTATTGAAGCACTAATCAATAGATAATAAGGTTCACTCGTTTTTATCAAAGGATATGGTGCGGATGCTGACACATAAATTGATCACTTGCAACGCCACGTGCAACAATTATTAAAACCACAGTCTATGTATATCATATACACAATATACTATTATGTGAACGATATGCGGATAATTATATTATACATTTATAATAATCAAATAGAATCGATACAGTCTCAGTTTAAGGGTTGCTAAAGGCTTTTAACTTACTTAAGCAGGAAGTTGGGTTTAGAGTGCACGATACGTAAGTGCAAAGAAGGATAAAAGAATAGATTCACCAAGACAATGCAGCCTTTCTGATGGAGTGTCCTTCAAACACTAACCAGGGGAGAAAGGGCTCTTTTCATAATTTCCTCAATATATTACTACTACTTGTAGAAGGGTTTGCACATAAACTTATATTAATTATAAAAATATTTTTGATGTATGCTGATATCATTGCTCCTTATTCTGGTAGATACCTCTACTACCACCTAGTGCTTACGCAAAAAAAGACCATAAGCACATTAACTTAAATCAACAAATGTTATTTTCCTCAGAATACAGAAGTAAATACTCAGAAGCCACATCCACTGTAATTGTGTAATTGCATAGCTGCGTGCTATGTCCAAAACAAAAATCCCGCACTCTTATCTTTTCCAATCCGCGTAATGTAGCTGAGAAAGTATTTGCCCGTTTTTGGGATAAACGCTGACACAGCTTTGACAAAATTATATAATACTAAATAGTAATTATGAAAAAATAGTACCTCAGTAAAATTATATACCTAATAATCTCAATCAATTTAAATAAGTATGTTCTATAAATAAAACGTGTTCAGATAAACGCATTTAATTTCCGAGTCACCTTAGTATCGTATTATTTTCGCTAGAAATTTGAGCTTATTAAAAAAGATTTAAATTATATTTTTGCACACTTAGATTTCCTTTCTTTATCGGCAAGGAACCATACATTTGACAAGTACATGTACAATATATTATTAAGTTTTGCTTCCAATAAGTTATTTTTATGCAAAACTTACGTAGATTCTTCTGATGTATACAGCACAGTTCTCTGTTGCACGAATGGGCAGGTCCTTCGGGGACGCACCACGACCTCACAGAACACCGGCGTGAAGTGGAAGTGTTATACTTCTGCGTCTCGTCTGGTGAGTGAGGTAGCCGGGGCTCACTTTGTTAAAGGGTGGCAACCCTACGGGTGTTGCAAATGTCCATGGGCGGCGGTTATCACTTAACATCAGGTGAACCGCCAGCACGCCTGCCACTTTCTCACATTAAAAAAGACATGGACCGCATTGAAAAAAATATTTATAATTACCTAATACAGTTTGTAAAATTATATGCTTAAAAGTTGTCAAAAGTGGGGAAAATTGAAACTCTAATATTGACATCACTGACAATATGGAAATATCATTATTTATGATAGTTAAAAATACAAGACGGCCTAATTAATTTAACTTTGATAATTGTAAACTACGCTACTGCATTACGACGTTTATAGAGTTTGGTTTATAGAATTGGCTGCGTATCAAATTAAGAGTAGTTTTTAATGCCTCAGTACTTGTACCAGCATCCGTGGCTTCTGGTTTATTCTGGAGCGTATTCGATTGCTTTAGGGAAACGGACGATTTCTATTAGTTTTTTTTGTTTTGACAGCCCTAGTGATATTTCACAATAGCGTTGCACTTAAGCACTGATTTGGTCATAATATGGGTTATGAATAAAAGAAGCATTCGTGACGTTAAAATAAACGGAAGATTTATTTAAGACCGACGGGCCGGATATGCATAAACGTATAGGCGTCTTAGACAATAAGGACAATGCCGAACCTGTGCGTCATAACAATTACAAATAACTCGAAACGAAGCGCATTTTACTGACGTGGGAAGTTAAAAAAAAACTTGCAAAATGAGAAGATTGAAAAAAAAAAGGAAACCATGTATTTAATTTTTCGTTATTTAATACTTTATGGTTATTGATTTCTTTTTTACTCGATCACGGCTTAATTGTATAAGACTAGCTGACCCAGCAAACGTTGTTTTTCCATATAAGTTATTTCTAGGGAATTTGTGAATCTGAACACATATAAAGAATTTTCGGAACGCACGCAGGTATTATGGGAAAATAAAATTGTTGCTATTTCCATTTTCCATATAATTTTTCCATAATTTCTCATCGTTTAAACCTTACACAAATATTTCAGAATCAAAATTAGCAAAATCGGTCCGTTTTCTAGTTTTAGCGAGACTAACGAACAGCAATTGTTTTTTATATATATTGATAGATAACTAGCGACCCGCCCAGGCTTCGCACGGGTTTATGTGTCTCTATATAAAAAAATGTTTGATATATTATACATATAAAACTTCCTCTTGAATCACTCTATCTAGTAAAAAAACCGCATTAAGATCCGTTGCGTAGTTTTAAAAATCTAATCATACACAGGGGCAGACAGACAGCGAGACGACTTTGTTAATTATACAGTAATTATACATTACTATGTAGCGATGAAGACTATAGTTTCAGCCATCTAACACCCACAAGACCTATAATTCATCATCATTAGGCTGTGGCAGTCCACAGCTGAACATAAGCATCTACCCTTGCACGCCATCTTGTACAAATGTAGAGAAATCCTCGGCTTAGCCGACTTACTAAAATCGTCGACTTGCCTGAGGGCGTCTTACACTAACTTTGCCAAGACACGGTCTTCACTCAAGAACACGTCTCCCCCATCGGTCATCGGTTTTGCGGCTAATTGTACTGACCTGTCCATTGCCATTTCAACTTGCTAAGTTTAGAGCTACGTTGGTCACTTAAGTTCCTCTATCGGATCATCTCGTTCCAGAGATACCCCGACAATATAGCCCTCTCAATAGCTAGCGGAGCGATTGTGATAATAAAATAGTTATATCAGACATTTCTTTCACATTTAATCTTCGCTACATAGTCGTGAAAGAAAGTTAGTTTCATGTCCTTTATCGGCACGGCGTCTATTCGAATTGCTTTGAACCAAAGCTGAGAGAAAAAAGCCGCCAAAGTACGAGTCGGACTCGCGCACGAAGGGTTCCGTACCATTATCTATAAAAACGACAAAAAAAATAGCGGAGCCTTAGTAATGGGAGTCCCGCCGTTTTACCCTTCGGGTACGGAACTTATAGTTTTTTTTTCATCGCTAACGAGGCGTTCGATCAAATATCATTCAAATGTAATGTAAAGTAGCCACTTACTGTATATGCAAAAGGTTTCACGTCGACATTTTTGAGACATTCGCGTATTGGGATCGGCAGATGTGCATTTTTTATGCTAAACGTGGTCCTGTGCGATATGCATGAGCACGCCCGCTGAGAATTCTGCCTACAAGTTTAAATAGTTCTTGGGAATTTTTATAGCGCCTTTATTAGGGCTCCTTAGTTTGCACTTATTTTGTATTAGCGAAATGCATATTATATTTAATCCATTTTTTTCTCAATCCAAAAACCATGGACAGAATAATTACATAATTAATATGAACTGGTATATTTACCATGGAACGTTTATCCACTTACACAAAGTGTAATGTAAATATTATTAAAGCAAAAAGGTTTTATTAATTAATCCTTTTAACTTAAACGTTCTACACAGAAATAATCCTTTAACAATC